TAGGCTATTGGGATAATTTATATCATTATCATATCACCATAAACCCAACACTCAATCATCTATCACTCTTGTCTCAAAATTCCCATTCTACAGTTTATAACGAAAAAGCACCGGCGATGTTTTTGAATATATCATATTACTAACATGATATCCTAGGGGCAAACCGCGGGTTGATTTCCTCAAAATATCTGCTGCATCTCGCTTGATTTCGTACTTAAGAAGATATTAAAGATCTATATTATTTTGTTTTGTTGAGGAAGGATTTTGTTATAATTACGGGTGTATAGCTGCGGGATACTCGTGAAATAAAAAACTTTTGGGAGGTTTGGTGGTGAGAGATAGGTGAGGAGGTGAGAAGTGTATTGATAGGTGGAAAGTGTGGATGGAGTGGGCAGGGTAGTTAATGGATTGATGCTGATGTTTTGGGGTGTATAGGAATTTGCGGAGGGGGGCAGGGTGGTGGAAAGGGGGGTTGTGATGACGGCGGCGGTGCTTTTGGGTACGAAGGGAGGTTAGGGGATGATGAAGTAGTGGGACGGAAGAGTGGAGGAATGGAGGAGTGGATGGGTGGATAGAGGAATGGATGGAGGAATGGACGAAGGAATAGGACGAACAAAGGCAAGTACGGAATATTTGAGAATCAAGGATGAATGATTCCAGAAACTCTTCCGGAGTGAACGAACCCAAGATCATATCCTTCAAATGGTAATACGTTGAATCGTAAGGAAATCAAACCACGCAACGTTCTCCCTTTAGCCGTCCAACTTTTTAAGACTGATAGATAACCCTATTTTGGGAGTTTGGGGGAGATTTTTGAACTTAAGGAGGACATTAATTTGTAAGTTGATTCCTATGTGCTGTCACAAATGTTGCAATCATCAATCCTAATCCTATGGAAGATTTTGTAGCAGTTTTTGCGGTAGCTGAATAGTTTTAAGATGTGATCCCAGGACACCACTATGTGGCCAAATGTAGAAGATATTTGCTTAGCTGATTGAAGAGCGCAACGATAACAGGACTGCTTGCTCAATTGAGAAGAATCTGGAGTTAGATTTTTACTCAGGAAGTTGATGTCTGAATCTGGGTCTGGCTAGTAGGGGTGTTGCAAAAAACCACTCGGTAATCTCTATGTTTGCTTGGCAGGGGCTACATGATTGGTATTGAATTGATATTACCACTCGGTAATCTTGTGCTTGCTTGGCAGGGGGTTTGTGTAGTGCTGGATCTTGTTAATTACTCATGTAAGAACATCATGACATGTGAATCACGGATTAGCTTTTACTACACATGAAGAGGGGACAGGCAAGAGGAATTTGGAATATGCTATTGGCAGCGAGAAGAAGAAGGAGATGGTGATGAACATGGACATGCTTAGGGATCTAGCCTGCGTAGCTTCAAGTTGGGCTTAATCTTCTTGATCTCATAAACCGTTTGTGCTCAGGTTATGATAATGCTCCCGATAAAAATGTCAAAGTCGTATGTTGTCTTCCGGAATGTTATTAGTGCGGCTAGGAAATTTGCAAATATCACACAATGGAGGTTAATAAGTTAGGATGATCCCTTCTTACTTTACCATCATCACAAAACATTTGCTACATTAAGTGCTGCATATTTCTAGTTCGTACCAGTACAAATTCATGTAAAGCTTGCCTTCGAAAATCGGCCCCATTGAAGTATTTAAAGCATGGAAAATGCATGTTATGAATTGCCGACCCGAAAACATGGGCTGTTATTAAGTTTTGAGTCCCTTGTCCGAGCACAAAGACCAATTGACGTCCGGGGTAATCCGGGCACATCGGGACAAACAATCAATAGCCCTTACTGCCGGTACCAGTACTTGTGCTACTGAGCTTTGGAGACGGAGAGGCCCACCGGCGGTTTCCCCGTCTGATGTCCATTGATCAATGGAAGTGGACGGCCAGAAAGTATAAAACTCCAAGACTCTGCACATACCACATACTGGTTGTCCACCATATATGGATAATCAGGGTTGCCAGAGTTCGCAGAATTACAACCATGGTGAGCATGTGGAGAAAATGGCATTCCCCATTTCTCGTCCGCTCTCAAAGCTTGCATGTAGTGAGGAGTTATTGGGCATGTTTACTTCGAGATTCATTTTGGCGGCCACATTGTTTTGACTAAAGATACCTTATTCCACCAAACCAAGGAAGCTAGTACCATATAAACTAGACATAGGTTTGTCTAGCTTGATCCAACTCTAAATAATGGTGGACATTGTATAAAATAGTCAGCCAAAAGTGGATGATAAAATAGTTCTTCCAATCACATACACCGCAACCGCACAGCCTCCCAGCTGCTAAATGAATCGGTATATAATTGTTCTAGAATTCTAGATGGATGTGGTGAAAACTTTAGCGCATATCAATTAGCCTCTTTCGCGCATGTTAGCGCGTAAGCTTTTCCGTACTTTCTGGGTATCTACCCGAGTATTTCTGATCTACAGATCGATATATTCTCAAGTTAGCCACGATAACATTATCCCTAAATTATTTGGAAAAAAAAATAAACTTTGCTAAAATATCCCTGTAATTATCTATATTAGGTATAATTTCGCTTAACACAACTGAAACGTGTTAGGTTATAATGGGATGGGAAGAAAAACTCTATTTTGATCGTCCAACGAAACAACGCCATTTGATGTGTTTTGATGAAATCTAGATTTGTATGATAATGAACAATAGACAATGAACATTAACACCACTCAGTTCCTCATATCCCTTCACATACAACACATTTTGCTTCCTCAAATTATTAGCTAGCTATAACCACCTCATCTTATTAAGCTCTGAGGTGCCAAATTGTGCCTCAGCTCAGCCTCAAGCGGGGGTACCGGATAGGTCAAAAAGTCTATTCAGTCGCCCTACTATCCATGACCTCTACTCCATACCGCGACTACCTTCGTCTCCTTGCTCAATTGAACTTTCCAATTAAGAATTTATCTCTCCCAGACTTACCCATATATATTCTTCGTTTTTCGGCTTTGCCTCTTATTAGTTCTATTTTTTTGAGACTTTTCGAAGCAACCGGCTTGAAAGGGGTCAACATCATTCTGTAACAAGGCCAGGCCTGAGACTTACAAATATTCCTTGAATTGATCTTCTACACTCGCAGCATCTGTATAGCATGGCTATGGATAACAAAACACCCCGACACAGTTCGTCCTCGTTGAATATCTATTTACTGCATATTTTGAGTAACTCAGACTGATCGCGATACAGGAACTGCATGTGACACATGCAAGCGAATGAAGGTATTCAATCACAGAGGCTCCTTTACTTTTCGCCTATGAATTTACTCATGTCCATCAGATCAAATGCGAATGGGATCAAGAAGGAATATGCAATCGCTGCCAGGGGCGGGAGATGAATTGTACCGTCACGGCTAAGGTACGGAAAAAGAGGGAGAAAAAGAAGTACGAAGCAATTGAATCAATAACCAACGCATCTAATTGATTTATAGGGATAACCATATTTCTCTCCTGGAAGCTAAATTGAAACGTATGGAGCATGTTATGACAAATTCCGGACTCAGTGTGGATGCTTCCCGCGATGACAGACAGCCATCCGAAGAGATAAATGATCAAGCCGCAATGTTGGAAAAGTTCTCTGCACTTAATGTAAGTGACACCGGAGCTGAAGAGTTTTGGGGTGAGTTAATCCCGAATCACGCTCAGTGATACTCTGGTTAAACATCATCAGGTGCCGCTTCTGGATTTTCTATATTTTCTCCAAAAGGCCTTCAACTTATCAGTAAAATGACTGGAAACGACCATTTTGCGAACTATATATGTGCTACAAAACATATGAGAATGACCCAATACTCCGTCCCAGCGTCGCTATGGTATGCGATGCCGGATGACAAACACAAACCTCTTCCACCTAGGGAAATTGCGGATCAAATTCTAGAATGTAAGTTTGTCTGCTACTCCTTATCAACGCAAATTTATAAGTTGTGGTCTCAGTTATTTTTGAGAGGCTGATACCTTCGTTTCCTCTGTTCGAGCGGAAGACTTTCATGGAACGATACTCACGCCAGTATCCGGTCAAATGCTCAGAACACCCTGCCTGGTACGCCTGCCTCAATATCTGTTTTGCTTTTGCTTCAATTATACGTAAGGAAGAATTGCCAGTAAATTCACCCCAAAGTCCAAACTCTCCAAGATCCGGAAACCTGGAAAGCTTGGCATATGGGGGATGGCTTAAGAACGCAGCTAGTACTTTTGTTCATTTACAGCTCGGACCACCTTCCCTTATGGCGGTACAGGCAATGGCAGGATTAGTAATTCGCTCTTATTCTTACTCTATGGCAGATGTTAACTTTATAGTAGGCATTCATTCTGAACACACTCTCAGATGTATACCCGTGCTCTGTAGTGTCTGCAGCAACAATTCGACTTGCACAATCCATAGGACTCCATCGCAACATATCTGATTGTGGTCTTAGTGAGGCTGAAATAGAGCAAAGGCGTAACGTTTTCTGGATTGCTATCATGGTCGAACGTGGTGTAGTCATTCGTCACGGTCGCCCTTCGGTGATTCATGATGAAGATATTGGAGTTGACTTACCTCCTGATAGCCAATATCCGGGAGAGGCCGATGGAAGATTTGTTACGTTTCGCCATAATGCAATCTTATCTTTACTTCAGGGTCGAATCTACAATAGATTGTATTCCGCTAAATCATTTACAAAATCCAAAACGGAGAGGTTAAAAATAGTTGGGATGCTAGATGATGAACTTCAACAATGGTGTGAGACAATCCCAGTTGAAGTTCGGCCGGGTTACCCCTTAAAATGTGATAAAAATCATATTGTCACGGCCGTCTGCATGCAATGGGGATATTACCAATGCGTTAATACCATTCACCGAGTATCATTGTATTATGGCCCAGGGTCGTTGGATCTGGATGATAAAATACCTGAAAGCGACTTCGATCCTGACTTGAACCCACGAGTGTATGCGAGCGCTGCGATCTGTGTTAATGCAGCGAGAAAAACCATCGATTTATTAAATGATTGTTTAACGTTGTCAAGTCCAGTGGAAATAAATATTTTACGGCAAGTAGAAGTTTTTGTCGAAATTCAACTTATACTGACGTAACCTTTAGCATTTTTATTCACTACGCGCTTGCAGCATGTGTCTCTCTTTTTGAACATATTCTTCAATACCCTCTTGATCCACAGGCACAATACGATATCCAACTAATGAATGATGTAATATCATTTCTTTCTAGCTTCGAAGATAATGGCGCAGCCGAGAGCCATCCGGCAGTCCCGATATTTCACGAGATAAATCGCGTCGCTGCTGAGCATGTCAACAAGGCACAGCATGAAGCCACACAATATACCAAAAGATCACGAGATTCATCTCGTGATGTCGAAGAACCATATACGGAAAGCGATGAGTCGGAGGAGGAAGACTATGAAGTAGAAGAGGAGCTATGTAGTAATATCGTTGCTAAGGTATGAAAAATTGATAATCTTTGAGCTGAATACGAAGGACTAATGTTGTACAGGCCCGTGATCCAGAAAATTCGGTATCACCTACAAACTCTACGAGATCACAAATGTCTCCTATTCCCTCAGCACAACCACAATCCGATATTCCACCTGAAATGCGACAATTTGATCTTAACCCCTTGAACTACAAGTCAGAGCATATTCCTATGTCTATGCAACAAAGTTACAATTTACAACCAACGACACATGATCCTTACCAAACTCCTTCCTTTTACGACCACCACACAAATCTTCCTGATCTAAACTATCAACATCACCTAGATCACCCTGAAAACGACCAAAACCAACCTCGGTATATCTCACAGCTAAAATCAGAGCCTCAATCTTACCCTTCACACCCCAATGTACATACACCTCACCCGGCCACAGGCTTTTACTTTTCTTCTTCAGAACAACACCAACAGAATATAAATCCAAATCAATCAGAAACATATACCAATACATTGAGAAATCCAAACGCCGTTCCTCAAGATCAAATAGGTCCTACGGAAGAACGTCTGGTGCCGCAAGATGAGGGTTGGTTTTATCCAATGATGAGCCCATGGCTATATGGAGAGCAGTCAGATAGCAATCTAATCGTTGGAGCAGCTGATGAGAATGACGATGTGGCATGGAGAGGTGAGGGGAATAATGGGGAGAGAGGAGGATTGGATGGATGGCGTGGTCATGGGTGATAATGTTTAAAATTATGATGTGAATGGTATTATCAAATCGTTGAAGACTAGATTAGTCTTTAGACAAGGGAAAGTGATGAATAACGCCGCAGGGGATTACCGAATTCAACTTACCTAGGTTGCCTCTGCATTATTTGGACGAGGCAATGGCAGTAGGATGGTCTAGATTAATGGGAACATGATTACCAATGCCTTATTCAAACCTTAAATAATCAAACAGTATCCGCCAAAACCCCTCGGATTAATAATCCCCGATATCTTAATTATACATAAACTTAAATCTACTCGTCTACAATCCTTTGTGCCTCGACCTCACGATAATTTGCCGAAAAATATACAGCTTTGTTTAGTGTCAACAAGGGAGCAAATCTCACTATGACTACATTTTGATTCGGTAAATACACGAAACATACCTAACATCCAAAATCTCTTCGTTATAATTGTAATGTACATTTATAACACAGCTTCACACATCTACACAATTGAGACAACCATCCAATAATAAATATTTGATAACTCAGTATTATTCTGAAGAAGTCTAATAAAAGATTTTTTTACTAAAAAAGAATAAAAAATCCCAGACCGTTCCCATTATTGGCTTGGCTGGGTATTTAAAGTTCAATAAATATCTAGTACATGTCTCTTTGATTTCATGACTTTCGTTTATAGATGTGTTACACCTGTTGCGATAGAATGTTACATGACCTTGAAAACACGTGATGGAACGGTGAGGAACGGACGTTCCTAGGAACAATCAGGAACGCCCGCTCCTAGGAGCAACGGCTCCTGACTAGCCATCGGCACAAAGGTCTATATAATCAAGATGGATTTCCTTTGTATAGAGCTTCGTGCTCAAGATCAATCATTTAGTATACTCTACTATTAGTTACGAATTGCATTATTGTCATTACCTTAAGTCCCTGCTTGACGCCTAGTTATAAACCACCTCGAGAGCCTAGAGCACTTCCACGTGATCGAGACGGCAAACCTCGTAACAAGATGTGATCTACCCGATAGGGTCATCAGGTATCATCTATAATTTCCTTAGTGCAGACAGTGGTGAAAGGTGTAGAGTCATCTTATAAAAGTACTGAGGTAATATTAATAGACTAGAAAATTTGGGTAGTTTATTCAATGTGTGGTTTTGCTTGGGACTTTGAATTCGAATTCGAATGATGGACTTGGATGATTGATATTTGTGTTTCTGCTGTAAAGATATTGTGCTAGAATAAATACTAATACATCCCCACTGCTTCCATCAAACAATTAAACATCCCTCGTGGCGCAATTGGCTAGCGCGTTCGACTGTTAATCGTAATATCACGAATCACGTGATCGAGAGGTTGGTGGTTCGAGCCCACCCGAGGGAGAAAGATTTATCCTTTTGCCTTCCATTGTGCTTTCTTTTTTGAGGGGGGGAGTTCTTGATATCTTTGGAGTGCTGTTGTGAGTTGACACTTTTTCGAGCGTTGGCGATGAACGGGTTGAGTGCATGTGGGGTAGCTAGATAGGAGTGGAAGAATTTACCGGTGTGGGTGGGCTCGAGCCGCTGACTGGCGATCAATACCCCTGGGCTAATTTTTTGATGTTTTACTTTTTGATAGGTATTCTTTCGCCTTCGAATCATTTGGACGGGAAAGTTAAGGCCCAATGAATTCTTTACTCCTTGAAGATCAAACATCCACCTGTGTGATGGGAGACTACGCTTCACAAATGTGGCTGTGCAAAATATCGCTTTGAAGCCGGATATCCTGTGGCGGCTCAAGGTATTGGATATCGGTATTCAAACTGATAGCGAATTACATGCATGTGATGGGCCAATGCGATGAAAATGCAAAACAAGTTCGCGCGCAGAGCAGGGGATTGATTGTCCTATCCCTGTTGGGTATGACGTGTGGCTGGGGCTGTAATTTTTGGAGCTGGATTGAAGCATGGCGAGTCGCATTTGAGGATGAGTGAATAAAGAAAACATGTGTTGCATTGCATGTAAGAGTTTGATCTTGATTGTGGCCATGTTTTTAAATTATATTTGATATTTTGGCATCCAGATTTTTGTGCAATATCTTCCATCATTTATTAATCTACGACAAGAATAAAGAAGGACACCCATATTCTAAGAAGGAAGAACAGTCAAACCGCAGTCATGCTCGAATACTTCACATACAAGAAGGTCAAGAAACACCAAGCTGAGAAACAAGGAAACACCTCCAAATCCAACACCCCTCTTGCATCTGCAGTTCCAGCTTCCCCAGCAGTTTCTTCACGTCCGCGCCCTCTCAATACAGTCAGAAGTCCATCTGCGGAGTTGAGAAAAGAAGGCGCAAGTCCGATTCTTAATGAAGAAGATGAGTACTTCTTGCATAGGTTTATAAGTGCAGAGGAAACTCCACCTCCACTTCCGCTGAGAAGACCTACGTTACCGGTCAGACCTAGTGAAAGGGCTATTGAGGGAAGAAGGATGGGAGATGAGGCTGGGGAGTGGAGGGATAATGAGTTGCAGATGATTTTGAGGGAGGATGGTGAGGGAGAGATTGCTGAAAAAGATAAGGAGGATAAGGTGCGGGGTAAAGGAAAGGGAAAGATGGGTAAGGAGGAAGAGAAAATTGATGACAATACTGAGAAAGCGGCGAACAAATGGAAAAAGTTGAGTTTTTTGCATAAAGGCAAAAAGGTATGTGATGCGGAAGATCGATTTTCTCATCGAACAACAGCTAACATCTTCTTTCCAGGAAAGGGATACCAAAGATAAAAACTCAGGTCTACAACCAGACCCTAATATTTCCGACACAGAAGCCCAACGCGAACAAGACGATCTCACCAAAGTCCTCGACGATCTCTCCTTGACTGCTTCCAATAACCGCGCCTTTTCCCTCTCCCCCGATTCCACCGTCCTCGTCCAAAAATTCACCCTCATCCTCAAAGATCTTATAAACGGTGTACCAACCGCCTACGACGACCTCGTCCATCTACTAGAAGATTCCCAAGGAACCCTCTCCAAATCCTACGATTCCCTCCCTTCCTTCCTCCAAAAACTGATCACTCAACTCCCCCAAAAAGTAACAACAACTCTCGCTCCCGAACTCCTAGCCGTAGCTACAGAAGCCCAAGCCCACAATGTCGCGAATGCTGCATCTGCCGCACAAACAGGTGGAATGGGCGCTGCAGCTAAGGCATTCCTTACACCTTCTTCCCTTAAAGATTTAGTTACCAAACCGGGTGCTGTGGTGAGTATGTTAAAAGCGATTGTCAATGCGTTGAAATTGCGCTGGCCGGCTTTTATGGGGACGAATGTTTTGCTTAGTTTGGCACTTTTTGTGCTGTTGTTTGTTTTTTGGTATTGTTATAAGAGGGGGAAGGAGGTTAGGTTGGCGAGGGATGGGAGGGCTCTTGCTGAGGGGGAGGGATTTACACCTGGGGAGGAGGGAGGTAAAGATCTAGGGGTGATTCGACAGGGATCGAGACGGGAGGGTGGTGGTGGCAGTGATGGTGATGGGGATGGGTATAAAGCGAGGAGAGATGCGCGAAGGAGAGAAAAGGAAGATAGGAGGGAAGAGGGAATGAGTAGAAGTCGAAGAAGTGAAAAGGGGAGGAAATAAATACTTCAATTGATGGGATAATGTGATGGTGATGATGGATGCTTATGATGATACGATATGATGGATATGATGGATACCCCTAATATGATGGAATATAAAGCCTGATTTATTTTATTTTATTTTTACTTGTATTTCGGTTGGGTTTGGGTAATTGGTTTTGGTTCTCGTGGATGATACACATGATGTGGTGGGATATGAATAATTTGCAGGCAATAGCAATGAACAATCTATAAAATATACTCAAGACTCCATTCCATATACCTAATACCCTGAGGAAAAGCGAACTACTTCAGATTTAATCAATCGATTGTATCTAAAAAGATCTATGTTATAACATCTGAATAATACTTCTCGAAAGATATAGACTTAACTAAGTATTTAAAATATATCTAATAATTTATCTTAATTTTCTTTTTTTCTTTTTATTCTTTATTTATTACTCATTTTGTTAATCTTAGGATTTTATTCATATAATTTTACTTAAATAGTTAAAGAAGAATAAGATTGAATAAGTAGATTATACAAAAATGGAACATCTTACTTGTAATTTGTTCACCTACTTACTGCTTTGCTTGCTCATTTCTATACAAATCTTCTTTTACTTCTTAACAATTTATTATAGTCTTACACAGATAAGTATCCCAACCGCTAAATAATATAATATCCCCAGCCAAGCGGCACCTAGTTATTTCCCTATTTTGTTTATCAATTGATTCCTTTCATTAATGTGCTAGTATATCTGCTATTACCCCGAGCACTTCTTCATAGGCAATAAATTCGTATGCAAACAGCATTCCTTCTATCCATTAGCTCAAGTTCAGACACCCAACTTGTAAACTCTCTGACACTCGCTGCTTTCACAAAGCTTCAATAGCTCTCAAAAGACAATCCAATCCCCTCTCACTAATGCCACTTTCTTCATTTTCAACCTCTAGTCTCTTCCCCTTCGTCCCCGTTTCCTTCAAACACCAAGCCACATCACTCAACATGCCCAGCGGCAAATAAATTCCCTTTTCTCCTCTTGCCCGCTCTAAGCTTTCTCCAAGTCTACTAGTGTACTCCCATTCCCTCGCCGCGACTTCAGCTCTATCAACCACTTTCCGTGGTATTCCACACATACTTGCACAATGCATACCGAAACTACCTTCGGCAACTCCATTTTCTAATTTATACAAAAAGAGTACGCTTCTTGATTCATCGTCAACTTCGATAGCCATACGCTTATTGATGACTTCGGGGTGGGAATCGAATTCTAGAGCGAGAGAATGGTAATGCGTGGCGAAGAAACCGATACAGCCGATATGAGATGCGACGTGGTGAAGTACAGCTTGAGCGACTGAGACACCATCGTAACTACTGGTGCCACGACCGAGTTCGTCGAGGATGACGAGGGATCGAGACGTAGCTTCAGAGAGGATTTTCTTAGTTTCTGAGAGTTCGACGAAGAAGGTGGATTGGGCGGCAAAGATGTTGTCATTGGCACCTAAACGGGACATGATACGGTCGACAGGAGTAAGTGTTGCGGATTTGGCAGGTACGTAACAACCTAGTTGTGCCATTATTACTGCGACGCAGGTCTACAAGTAGATTGTTAGTATGATCATTGTGTTAAAGAGATAGAAGACATACCATTCGTAGGATTGTAGACTTTCCGGCCGCATTAGCACCAGTGAGTAAATTGATATTAGCTGACTTTCCACCAAGTTGGACATCATTAGGAATAAAGTCCGTCACATTTGGTAAAATGCAAGGATGTCTAAGTTCTTCAAATTCAACCACACTTCGCTCCGAGTCAACAAACTTGGGTCTACAAGATGGAGTACCAAGGGCTGAGGATGCAGCAGCAAGACTGAAAAGACAATCAAGTTGGGCAACAGTCTTAACAGCCTGAAGCCATATTTCATAATCTTCATCGAAACGCGCGTAAAATCTGCTAGCTACTTGCTTGACAATTTGACCATGCGTTTCTTGAGTCTCTTGAAGATCTCGGATTATGTTGGTGAGTTCGGGGAAGTAGTAGCGCTTAAACCCGGATGCAGCAGACATCATCTTCCAATCGTTAGGTACTTTGATAGAGACCGGCATCTGCAGTTGATAGATCTCTTTGCCAATATTCTTAAACTCGATTTTTTTTGAATCATACTTCTTCTGATATTTTTTCAGTAAGGATGCCAGCTCTTGATGAATCTCCTCAATACGGTCTTGGCTCGCATCAAAATCTTCTTCGACTCCTCTTTCAGGAACCAGAATTTTGTCCTCTTTTGCCTTTTTCCGATCAAATGCATTCTTCCACCATTGTAGAGGATCCGCAAGGTTAGGAATTGTCGCAACCAAACGACTAAAGACGCCATCACCACCACTATAATTACCAAGGATTTCCTTTTGGATGTATTCGATTTGCTCAAACCCTTCTAGTACTTTGAGAAAATCTTCAGGTCTGCATGATCCAGCATGGATTCGAGAGATAAGACGTTCCAAATCAGGCAACGTGGAAGTTGAGGATTTGAATGAACGACTCAAGTTATCATCTTTGTTTAGCAAATCCACAGCATCGAGACGTTCGTTAATCCTCTTAATGTCGGACAGGGGATGCGACACCCATTGTCGAAACAATCGCTTTCCAAATGGTGTAGTGCAACGATCGAGGAGTGTGTATAGGGTACCATCTGTATTCCCATCGAATGTGTTGGAAAAAATCTCGAGGTTGATAAGAGTTTGACCATCAAGTACAAGAGTTGTCCCTTTCTGGATGGGATTGTACCAAGCGAAGTTACCTTGCGTAAGAAGAGCTTTCTCAAGCTGAAGGACTTTCAAATACTGGAAAAGAGCTCCGAAGGCGGAAATCAACAGATCATTATCTCTTGCTTTTTCAAGCTCTTCAGGCCAGGTTTCTTTTCCACCATCTCCTGAAGCAAAGTAACCACCGTAATCTAATTCTCTGCGGGATTTCTCAGCGGTTAAAAATTCCTTCTCCGATTTTAAGTAATTCCAAACAGTTGTTGGGCCAGTGTTATTCTTTAAGATACGAAGCACCTTCGTCGAAACACATGACTTTTCGAGCAACAGTTCCTGAGGACGGATTTGAGCGACAAATGTCTCAAATTTGGTCAAATCTACGTCATCAGTGAATTCGGAGAGAAAAAACTGGCCTGTAGATGTATCAACAAATGATATACCAAATGCTGGCAAATTATCATCTGTGATGGACTCTTTGATGGCCACGCAGTATGTTGCTGAATCATCTTGTAACATACTACCCTCGACCAAGGTACCAGCGGTGAGAATATAAGATAGCTCTCGATGAATGATTTTATCAGGTTTCTTGCCTTTGCTTGACGGGCCTGCACTATCTTCTCGTTCACGCATTTCTTTTGCTAAAGCCGATTCCTTTTGATCACCAACGGCAACTTTGTATCCTTTGGCAAGAAATTGGTTTGCCCAGTGCTGTAATGACATTTCTGGTACACCGACCATTGACATATTAACGCGGTCAGTAAGTTTCAAATCAAATATCTGATGTCCAATGGTAGCATCTCTCTCATATAATTCGTAGAACTTGCCCTTCTTGAAGAAAAGAATAGTGTCCCAACACTTTTGCTTTATTTCCCAGTATTGCTTCTCGAAGGGTGTAAACTTGTTGAACGCCATTGGCGGTATGTATAGCGTACGAGGATCATAATCAGGATGACCAGGAGGATTTCGATCAATGTCCCGCTCATTTGCTAGCCACTCATATCGTTGATCTGGGTCACTTTTGGATGCCTTTTCTTTGAATTTCTTCCCACTCGAATTAGGAGTCCTCGGGACACTCGAAGACTTGGCTTTTAAAGGTTGAATGTTCTCTGGGTCATATTTCCATTGTTGAGCTGTCGAAGCCTCTGGTATTTGTATATCCTCATCGTCATCGAATGATTGATGGGCTGGCGATATATTAGATCGCTTTCGAGGTGCTGTCGTGGATATTGGCCGCTTTCTCTTTCTAGAAGATTTGCTTGGAGCATCGAAATCGTCATCGACAACGAAATCGTCCAATTCATCTATTATCTGTGAGTTATTGTTAACTAGAAATCACCACGATAGGCTCACCATCGTCATCATCAGCTCCATATAAGTCACCCATAAATGTATCCTCATCGTCATCATCGCTTTCAATCATTGGCTTCTTTCCCTTTCTTCGTTGAGTAGTTCTCGGAGTTACATCTTCATCGTCATCGTCAGATTCGGCATAGCTAATTACCTTCTTCGCCGCCTAATGAATAAGAGTTTTAGCTCGAGCCAGCGGGCATTTTCAGAAGGGAATTGTGTACCTTTCGTGAAGGGCTGCTCGCTAGAACTAAACCATCGATATCTGCAAGCTGCTCCGCTGCCTTTTCAGCAGGTGCTGGAGGCGATGACGAGCAATCGTCTACCTCTGTCGGGATTCCACCATTTTTGTTCTCCTGTGAGCTTGGTGGCTCAATGTTGTCGCTACTTGGGACTGGGGTTACGCTCTTCTGGACGGACTTTTTGAACTGGGGTCTCTTCACGGTGCTGCTGGGCTTCGGTGTAGATTTTGAACTATTTGCAGAGCCATTGGGTTGCAAGATTCCACCAGGCGCGTCTGTGGAAGGTTTCCTGGTCGGAGTACTGGCAGGTTTCTTCGAAAAAAATCCAAGAATTGATGCTTGATTTTTGCTCGATCCCACGCTAGAATTTTGTTTCTTCAAGCTGGGAGGAGGGCGAGCTGGGGTCGTCTCATTCTCTTTATTCTTCACCATATTGAATTAATTGCGTCAGACTAAAATCTGTTGAAGTCAACAATGAGAACATGTATTGAGTAGGATCTTGTATTATGTTATGAATTATGAATTGAAAAAAATAACTTTTTGGCCGCTCAACGTGAAATTGTTGAGGAGAACACGCGCAACGCGGGTTAGCGCGTCAAACCGCGAAAGAGTGCACGATCGAACTACTAATTAATTTTGTAAGGTCTTGGGTTTATTAGGTAAGCCATGAGAACGGGTTTGCCAGGGATGTATTTGCGAAACTGTAACTGTTACCGTCTTCCCCCATCACTTGAAATTTAAAACGGACATGAATATTATTTTAATATTCAATCAATGCTGTTACTTAAGTTTTCTCCCAGTTGGATGGATAGTGCTGAACAGTCGTATTCAATCAAGGGAGCTATCAACATTAGGTAATCTTACGACAATCACCATGATTGTCCATCCTTCCATCCCAGTTTAACTCAGTCTTCAACGTTGATCTTCGTCAAAAGTTTGTATCATTCCTCGTTCCTTCTAATGGGATTTTAGAAATTCTGGTATTTCAAAGAATCACCGTGGTATCTTTAATTAATGTCATATTCCTGAAATACTGTCAGGTTGAGCTAGGCTTGGCCGGCATATATGCACGATAGGTGGGAGCAGAAAGATATTGATGGATGGCAATTATAGATTTCCTTCGTCTAGTATAATCTTCATTATTCTCAGACTTTCATCTACATAATCTTCTTCTCTCTAACCACCAGACTCACCAAAAACGCTAACGCTGATAGTCCCACACTCACCGCGTGGCTCGCTTCTAAGCTTTTCACGTAGGCTTCTATTACCTGCAGCCTGATATTTCCATGCAAGTCCTTCACGCTCCCTACATCACTCATAACTTTCCTTACCACACTGTCATCCAAACCTAGTCCTCCAAGCGCTTCGCCCAAAGCACTGTTTTGGACCCCAGCGCACAGGGCCACGCCAACAACCGTACCGATACTGGACATTAGATACATTCCTGCGGTTGCCATGCCCATCTCATTTTTCTGACAGAGACAGTGAGTGCAATGAATGTGCAGGCAGCTGTTATTCCGAGGCCAAACCCTCCTGGGAATATAGCGAGAGAGGACACGAGAGAAAGGTTATTGCTATGCCATGTGGTGAGAAGGATGGTGTAGGAGAAGATGGATGAGAGCGTAGAGAGGGTTAGAAGATATTTATAATGGCCGGTACTGGAGGCTGTTAGTATGCTAATTTTAGAATGATCTGACCAGAATAATTGAATGGGCAATGAACGAACCGGCTAATCAGCCAACCTGCGAGGAGGCCTCCCGTCGTATTACCAAACACGGCAGGGAAGAGATGAAGTCCCGCAGTGGTATTAGAGCTTCCTTGTGTTACGCGAAAGTAGAGTGGGACGGAATACATCATCTTTGCTATATTAGTAACGAGCATATCAAAGATAGGAGACAGGGAGGTCTTACGCCAACTTGTGCACCCAGCTGCAATGCATTGATAGCATATGATGCTGCCACATCTCTTTGAATCGCAAGTGCGGGTGGAAATATGGGCTCAGTAGCAACCTTGATCTCGTAACTCACAAATACAGCGCCAAGCAGAACGGATCCCAACAACAGTCCGATGACTATAGGATGAGACCAAGGTAGTGCTTGTCCCGCAAGACTGAGTGCGGCGAGAAAAGCAGCGATAGTTCCAGTCAGCATGAAAGCCCCAACAAAATCAATTCTTCGAAGCCTTGAAGGCCCATCGTCGGCATGGATAGGCTCGTCGGATAACGAGCGGGTTGGAAGTTTGTATGCTACCAAAACAATAGCGAAAAGCATCAGAGGTCCTTGTCCGATGAATGACCTGCCACCTGATGTCAGAAAATTGGATATCACCGGAAACTCTAATCTGGAATGGAATATTTACCAGCGCCAACCTATCGTGTCTGCTAACAGTCCGCCCAAGGGACCACCAATACTCCTTCCAATGGTCCCAACGACGTTAACATAACTCCTCCAGGCAGCGACATGAATCAGAGGTACAAGATCTGGACATGTTAGGATGTGGCTTGGAAATCGAGTATAATTCTAATCACTCACCAACTATTAGAACAGACACCATGACGCTCATACCGGCACCTCCCATACCAGCTACTACTCTGCCCATCACAGTTTGCCACATTGCCTGAGAAAGTCCACTATCAAAATATCAGCGCGGCCATTTTAGACATCGGAAAATATGACACACGTTAAGACACATCCAATCACAAAGAATCCATATGAAATTAAAAGAACTGGCTTTCTTCCATATATATCACTAATCTTGCCTGTAAGTGGTTGAACAGCGCACATCGCCAAAGAATAGCTAGTAGTCAGCCAGCTGGCATCACCGAGAGCCCGGAATTCGGAAGCAATGGTACCATATGTTGCAAGAACGAGCGTGCCATCTGCATATGATATGAAAACACCTGAAAGCATCAGCGTCAAGGAGTTCAATAAAGAATTTGTAAGGGTTTACCAATGAGCAGAAGACTTATTATAATAGCAGCGCTCTTCGTAACTCTCCCTGTGGTTTCGTTCTCGGCTTGAACATTTTGTGCGGATTCGACGTCTGGAAAGGTTGAGGTCGACTTATAATTTGGTGTTGAGGTAGCGGTGACCGGCGAAAGTAATGAATCTGTTTCTGAGGACGATTTTATCGAATTCGCGTGTCTAGATGAAGCTTGACTTGAATCATCTTTGTGGATGGTATCTGTCTCATGTGCTGCCATATTTCAAAGTCCAATGCTACTCCCAACGACAATTACTTACTATGGTTCATGGCGGTCGTCAAAGTTTAAGCAGACCACAAGACGATTTTAAATGGCTAGACCAGTACCTTGTTCCCTAGGCTATTGACCCAAATGGTGCTCATGCAAGGCAATTTACCCGAACTCAATTGGAGCGAAAAATTGAAAAGCTCATCATCTCATTAAAAATCTCACCATGCTGCTCTAGACGTTCGACTTGGTCTCGCATGTGGTGGTGGATTTTATTAAACGGCCTAATGAAAGATGTATGGAGGGAGGCTTAGGCGGAAAGCCCCTGTAGAATGAGCCCTGAAGCCCCGCAATTTGATGATGAAAACAGGCACGGATCTCACGCCATACATTAAGTTAAGGCTGCTTTAGCATTCACTTGGTTAGCATAACTCAAATCCGCTGATTTTCGCCATGTCCTATAGCGAAAATTATTTGGGATATTAAAAACAGCGTCGATGATGTTCCCCCTACTCGTACATCTCCAGCTACCCAACTTGCCGACTTTCTGACGGCACAAATGAACGGGTACTGAGTACTTCACATCGAAGTGTGGAATTTGAATCAATCATGGTAACTTCCGGCGAATTTTTAATGTCCAAATTGACTGGCTTCATTTCCGAATCACCAGGAGGAGCTATCAATGATTACTATCTGAAATACGAGAATTGGGAGCCATAGAGACAATACTAAAGGGTCGTGAAAAAGAAGACCTCAGCATGAAGTTCCCGTCAGCGTTTACTCTAGGACTTGCTACAGTTTCTGCTGCCATGAAAGCTTCGATTAAACAGAAGAATGATGGAAGACCAAACATAGTGCTTGTTTTGACGGATGATCAGGACCTGCATCTGCAGTCAGTCGATTATATGCCTCTACTGAAAAAGCATATAATTGATCAAGGAACCTTTTTCAAACGTCATTACTGTACTACTGCGATATGTTGTCCTTCGAGGGTAACTTTATGGACAGGCAAGAATGCCCATAACACAAATGTCACGGATGTAGCACCTCCTTATGGTCAGTGTTTATCTTAGTCTCTTGTGTACTTTCGAAGCTGATGTATTAGAATAGGTGGATATCAGAAATTTGTTGAGCAGGGCTTCAACGATGCTTATCTCCCGGTATGGCTTCAGGATGCTGGATACAGCACTTTCTACACAGGGAAGCTTTTCAATCATCACACTGTAGACAATTGGAACTCTCCCCATCCAGCTGGATGGACTTCATCTGATTTCCTCCTGGATCCATTCACATATCAATATTACAACTCGACATTTCAAAGGAATGAGCATCCCCCTGTAAGTCACGAGGGCGAATACTCAACAGACGTTCTCGCTCAAAAGGCATATGGATTGCTCGATGAAGGGGTACAATCCGGAAAGCCATTCTTTTTAGTCGCAGCGCCAATTGCTCCTCATTCAAATGTTGGTCCCGATGCATTTAAACCAGGAGAAGGAATTCTAATGACCACTCCTCTTCCTGCCGAGAGACACAAACATTTATTTCCTAGTGCAAAGGTTCCCAGAAATGCAAATTTCAATCCAGATAAGGTAAGTCATGTGCTTGTCGCGGGAAGCTGGAACTAATGTTCTGATGTAGCCTAGCGGGGCATCATGGGTAAAACATCTAGATCAGCTCACGGATGAAGCTATCGCATACAATGATGAGTTCTACCGGGCTCGTCTTCAAACCCTTCAAGCAGTAGATGAACTTATCGAAGGTCTATTTCATCGACTAACTGATTATGGAATACTCGATAACACATATTTCATCTTTTCTACTGACAATGGCTATCACATCTCTCAACACCGTCTTGCTCCAGGAAAAGAGTGTGGATTTGAGGAAGATATCAACATTCCTCTTGTCATCCGTGGCCCCGGAGTTCCACAAGGAGAAGAAACAAGTATTGTGACCGCACATACCGACCTTGCTCCAACTATCCTCAAAATTGCCAATGGCGACTGGAAAAGGCAAGATCTTGATGGTAGCGTAATTCCTCTCGATTCCCAAGGACTCAAAGATGCCGAGGCAACTAGACAAGAACACGTGAACGTCGAGTTTTGGGGAAAAGCACTCCCTGAAGGGATCCGCAAATTTTCACTCGATGATGGGAAAGTGGTCCATTATAGTGTGAATAATACCTATAAAGCTCTACGCATAATTAGCGACGCCCATAATCTCTACTACTCAGTCTGGTGTACCAATGAACACGAGCTTTACGATCTGACCACCGATCCTCATCAAATTAACAACATATATCCATCCTCATCGACTACCACAAACCCCTCTACCCAAAGCAAGCTCAATCTTGACAAACTAATCCCCCGCCTCGATGCTCTTCTCATGGTTACAAAATCATGCAAGGGTCATACGTGTGTACAACCTTGGTCTGTATTGCATCCAGCTGGTAATGTAAGAACACTAGACGATGCTTTATCACCTCGCTTCGACAAATTTTACACGGAAGACATGGCGGAAAGAGTAGTTAAATATGACAAGTGTGAGTTGGGATATATCCTAGAGAGTGAAGGGCCTCAGGAAGTGATTGCTTTTGAGGAGGATGAAACGAAGTGGGAATTGTGAGGTTATTTTTCAGCTTTTTCTACTTGATGTAGTCTTATTATAAATAACCTCGGGAAAAGCAAGGACTTCGAATCTCGAAACAAAAAGTTAAAAAAGGACATCCAGAATAAAATCCATCTATTTTCCCCTCCTCCTTCCAACCACGAAGGATATTCTCCACCCCACCCCCACACCTCTCACACCCCAACCCTTCCCAAACTCAATAAGACCTTCCACCCCCACCCGTATCAAAATCAACCACAACCCTAAACCTCTTCGGCGTCCACCTCCACCCACCCTCCTCATCCCCCAAAACCCACCACGTCTCCGGCCATCGAACCAAAAAGAAATACCCCCACAGTCCCCAAAAACATATCAATAAACATAATCCCGCAAACCATTCATACCATATAAAACAATTGGGACAGAGATTATCCTGTGGTGTGACGAGGTGATGAAGTCCTTTTTGGGCTGTTGCGCGCAGAATTTCGATTTGAGAGGAGGGGAGGGGGGCGAGGGGGGATTTGGTGGTGCTGGCGGTGGTGGTGGTGGTGGGAGAGGGAGAGGGAGAATGTGGTGATGTAGGTGATGTAGGTGATGTAGGTGATGTAGGTGATGTAGGTGATGTAGGTGATGTAGGTGATGATGAGGGCGGGGAGATAATCCGCGTAGGAAGTATATGTCCGCACGAATACGAAAAAACAATTTCCGGATCTAGATTCTCAGGGTGATAAGGAGGAGGAATCGGAATAAAGTCTATAGGATTTGGACCGCGCCAATTCCAAGTCCAGAATTTGAGGTAGCTGGGTTGCTGCTGATTTTTTCTTTTTCCTTCTGTTTTTGCTTTTTTATCCGTCTTCAGTTTCTTTTCGCGCGTCTGCGCGTTGCTTTTCCACAGCGCGGATGGTCGGAATACATCGATACTTGTATATCGAGGAGATCTCCGAGCGGCATCTCGTCGTTTGAAATTCTCGATTGTTTGTCTGATTTCTTCTTCACTTTCATCCATGGATTCAGATGATATGTTTGCGAATTCTACGGATTTTCGTCTGTGTGGACCAGGAGTGGGATGTGAGGGTTGGAATAGTTGTTGGATTATTTCTTCGTCTTTTGCTGCTTCTTTTTTGGATTTGTTGATCGCTTCTTCTGTGTCATTTTGCTTCTTATCTTGGCTTCTTTCTGAGCTTTGTGAGTCTTCTTCGTCTGTGTCCTCGAATACAGGCACTCTGGATATATCTTGTCCCGAGGTCTTCCCTGAGGTATCTCGAGATAGTTGTTCTCTCCATGTTTTGTAGGTGCTGATACGTGGTGATGTAGGACTTGCGTGCTCTGAGTGCCCTCCTCGTCGTGGTCTCATTCCTAATGTACTCATGATAGCTATTGCAAAGCCGTGTATATGTTGATAAGTTGATTAATAGATTCAATTCAAATGTCCAAAATTATGTTGGTAGTTAAGTCGGAAGAAAAAGCTGTATCTATTGAGCAGCCATTTTTGAATTTCTTTATCCTCATATCTGTACTTTTCCAAGCTAGGAATGAAGACGTTTGCGTTGGAAATTTCTTTCACGAAATTCTAACAAACAACATAACGTGTTGGTCAGTTTGTTAACAAAGCCATTGTTCCACCAAGCTTATTTGCAAGTACTTGCGAACCGAGTTCTCGAGACCAAAAAAATAATGAAGTAACTATGAATTCCAATTCAGTAGCTCGTACTCTAATTAGGTCGTGATAAAAACGTGTTATTATGTACCGAAAGTAAATGAAAATAAGGGGAGCAAGGAGAGAATTTAGACGAGCGAACTAGCTTTACTACTTATTTTCCCACACCTAGTTGGAACTGTGGTAAGAACAAATAGAGCTACTCTTGGCTGACAGTCCATAGTTTGTGAAAATTTTGCAAATATATACTATCAACAACCGCCAAGGTAAATCACCGTCTTGAAGACCATTAGCTTTACTTCGCGTAAAAGGTAGGCTGGGACGATGATAACACAAACCTTTCTCCCCAGTTCGACTATATTCACCACCCTCCAACTTCAAATCTCTCAGAATCCCTACTCAGACTCTTCCTCCAACGTCCTCCGGGCACTCCTTGGAAATATTACAAAATCCCAAATATAACTCACATAGCCCAGCCCCCCAAACTCCGTCAACATCATACTCGGCAACATCTTCACCATTCCTGTCCCAAATACCTCATAACTAATGTCCCAATAACAGCTTCGCACTACCCGACACCCACGGGCTTTCCTATCACATCATCTTACACCGTATAGTCTCATACTACACAAAAAACTCCCATCGCTTGATTAATCCACACATATTCACCAATCATTTACACCCCATCCCCAACCACATTCGCCCAACAAATTTATCCAAGTAGATTGTAATCTTTTCATTATATCATTAAATCATTAAATCATAAAATAAGTGAAATAGATATACAATATATGTATACAAATCCCGACCCAACAACCCAGAAATTTATTCCCCAATCTGAAATCCAATATAAAGAAAAACAAGGAAAAGGAAAGGAGAAAGAAAAGAAATCTCTCTACTCTCTACCCTCTGATCGAAATCTTTATCTTTCGTGAAAACATTGATGTGTGAATATCATAGCCGACTGATCTTTCTAGCCATGTAAACAGAATAGTTTACCCCAAAAACATACATGGTTTCTTGCGCATGATACTAGGTAAACCAAGCAACAGTCAATCAAACCACCGACGAATTAACCGGTTGAGCCCCGCCATCACGAGCAGCAGCATTTGAATGCGCCGCCGTAGCCCCAGTCGCACCAAACCCATTACCATAACCCGTCGACGTACCCGCACCCGCCCCCGTCACCGGAGCAGACGAACTACCAGCCGCACCATTCGCATATGAATTCTTCTCATGAAACGAACCCGGCTGCTCATTATAATCCCTAATATGCAAACCCAGATGAGCCGGATCAATATTGCGATGACCATTCAGGAGCAAAATCCCAAAACCAATCTTAGCAAGTACATCCAGAACACCATAGAACACAGCTTCGGAATCAGGAGCTATGATATTTCCGCCCTCTGAGAGTCCCCATGCGATAGGATATAGAAACCACAGGAACATGGTGATGCCCCCGCACATCCAGTATGTTTTGTTTACTTCTGTGCCTAGGGATTTAGCGTGGCGAGCACCGACGAAGAGGATGTTCCAGGCGATGCCGAAGAGGGCGAACATGGCGAAGACGAAGTATCCCCATTTATAAGAGGAGGCGACGAGGGCACCGACGAGTCCGGTGATAATCATTACCTCGTCGAGAAATATCGTGAATAGGATTGTAGGCCATGGAAGACCGGCTGTTAAGAGGATATCTAAGAGTAACAGCTAGAATAGAAGAAAAAGGAGAAAGATTAGTAAAATAACCAAGCGTATGAGAAGCCTGCTAGCAGAGAATCTTACAGGAGTAGTAACAACCCAATCGATATATCTCACGTAGAAAATCTCCCTCGTAACACCCCTAACTTTCGGATTACCACGTTGAAATTCCTGAATGATGGAAGCATATCCCAAATTCGAGGCCATGGTAAAATAAGCAATTGCAGCCGTCATCGTGATAGCCGCAGTAATATAATGAAAAATACGTTTGCTTCGTGGAATGCGGAAACTCCATGCTAGGAAACATAGAGTTGCAAAGGCCATTGCGGCAGTGATGGCCCAATACACATCGCTTCCACGGGTTGTGATAGCTATATCGGTAGAGGTAGGATAGTGGAAAACATCTGGGTTTATGTGTAGCGCCTCGTTGCGTTTCTCGATCATTTTGATGGAAATGTGGAAGTTTCGTGGGGAATTGTGTTATCAATGAACAACAGTATGAAGAGGGGTATAAATGCAAAATCTAAGCAGATATCGAAGAAGGGCGGGATGCTGAAAATATGGAACTATATATATGCATAGGAAGCAAGGGATGCGTTAATCCAATTCAGAAGAAATGGTTTATAACGATCTTATCATATCTAACTAAGCTAAATGTCCCACCTCAAAATGATACCATGATCAACATTGCCAGAACTACCTGCCGATATTTTGTCATCAGTATCAAAGTCGGGACTTTCTGAGGTTGAATGACAAGACACCATTGATTACACAATAAAATCGATTTGGAAGCTTGATTTGGATTCAACAGAACTCATCCATGTGACTCTATCTAGTACTGTTTTCGATCCGAAAACGAGGGGAATCACATCTTGCAGCCAATAATGGATTATCTGCTATGTACTTAATTACCCGAATTCCCCTAATGGCTACTGTGTATAGAACCCGGCAATGCCGGGGATAGATGACAATAAAAAATTTCGATTACGGCTCACCTTAAAAAGGTTGATGTCAAGATGAAGAAAATTGTCTGAGGGTTTCGAGGATCCGTTGATGTTGATGTTGATGTTTGTTGATCGAAGACTCGACCTCAGGAGGAGGAAAAGCTAATTGGAGCTTAGCTCCAAATGACGTACAGAAATATAGGCTCTTTTACTAATCTCATTATGGAAACACATCCGGAAAATCAACATATTTTCATGCACACAGACAGATCCACAAGGCGAAAGCTTGATTTCTGCATTCATTTGACCCAAACATGTTCTAGAGCTACTTCATCGATGATGAGTATACTTTATACATGCAGTCCAATCTTCTAGAACAGTGAGCGCAACGCGAAATTCATCCCTGGAAAGCTTAAGGTCATTACATCAAAGAAACTTTTTTTCTCACCCCGCTCCCTTCCCTCCCGAAGGTAATAGTATCTTACTAGCTAGCATTGCCTTATTGTTGAAGTTAAAAGCCTTTTTCACATGACACAAAAGTACCAGAAGACCGTTACCGGAGGAGGTTCGATCACTCAATTGATCTGATCAATCGTTAAGTATATAAATCCTCCAATTAAGTCATTGTAATGCCTCCTTAAAATACCTAAAGCTGGACGTCTGGACATTCAATATACGAACAATGATTAGCTGGATATTACTTGAATGAATTGACTCTCACTGTAGCCCCGACGGTATGGCACAAACTATAGATGAGTAGACCATTCTAGGCCTGCAAACTACCGACACTGGCCCCTTATAAACAAGAAAACAAAAAGTAATTTTGATCGCCAGCTAGCTATCAGTTGTTGAGACTTTGAAAATTGAGAGGTGAATAAAAACGCAAATCATGGATATCTGATATGGCGATGTGAATTATGAATTATGTCGCTTTTCCAGATCCCCATCCCTTCTTCATCTCTTCGTCCCAGAGAACCACCAAATTACTATTAATGTATGCGATCGTAAGACTTAAAACCACAAAAGCCAGGGTGAAGATCCCAACGTTACTTAATATTGGTCTCTCTTTAACGATTCGATCCAAATTGTTCGTTCCTTTCCACTGGACGACCCCTTCATCTGGGACCGCATTGCTTTTATTCGTCCATGGAATTTGCATCCCTAGGTCATCAAGAATCTGTGTACTTGTGATCTTTGCTCCACCAAGAACAATTGGTACCCCAGTTCCTGGGTGTGTGGACGCACCCACAAAATATACACCATTGATTTCTGGATGTTTAGTCTTTGGACGAAATGCAAGGACATTAAAGAAGGAGTGAGACAGCCCAAGGATAGATCCTTTATCCAGATTAAAACGCGATTCCCATGATGTAGGTGTATTTAACTCTTCATGAATAATTAATGGGCCGAGCGGTCCACATTTTGTGCGCGACTCTATCGTTTCCAGTATTCTTTCGCGAGTCGACTTTACGATAGACTCCCAATCTTGTTCTCTTGCAACACCAGAGCCAGCTGCGACAGAGGGATGCTCTTGAGAGAGGCTGGATGTGGCCGATTTTAGAAGATGGCCAACTGGAACAAGAACCACGAGGGAATCTGTTCCTTCCGGGGCAGCCGTCGGATCGATTCGTGAGGGCACGTTCACGTAAAATGAAGGCTCATCGGGAATAGATTGCCTGTCAAAGATGGAATCGAATGATTCGCGATACTCATCTGCGAGAAATATGTTGTGCGCATTAAGTTGTGAAACCTGTTTGGAAAGAGCCCAGTAAAAAGAAATGGAGCTGCAAGAGCCAGCTCGCTTTTGTAAAGATTTGGCATAAGACGTGGATTTGGAAGAAGGAAATAGATTATTGTAAGCATAGACGAGGTCAGCATTGATTACGACAAGATCAGCGTCGAGCTTTTTGCCAGAAGATAGAAGAACTCCTGTTGCAGTTTTGCCATCCTGGGAAGTCAACACTGAAGTGACTGGTGAATTGAGTTGAATATCGACACCCAATCGCTCGCATATTCGGACCAAAGCCCCTACAATAGCATGAAATCCACCAACCGGGTACCAAATACCTTCAACAAGCTCCGTATACTGAAGTAGAGAATATGTGCCAGGAGCATCGAATGGAGACATTCCCATATACATACTCCCAAAGGTAAAAGCTCGCCTTAACCTCTCCGTCCAGAAGTACTTTGAAGCTCGAGAATATATACTTTCGAATGGATGAAGCTTAAAGATGTTGAGGAAGAAGCTAGGACGCAGCATGTTGAATATCGATGTGAAATTCTTATGCAAAACCTCGCGCACACTCAGCTCATAATGTCGATGAGCTTCTCCGAGCCACTGAAGATATCTCTCGAAGCCATCTTTTCCTTCCCATTTTTCGATTTCTCTCTTCATTATACTCGCATCGGTACTGAGCTCAAGCATCTCTCCATCCCCAAACCACAAATTGTAATTCGGCTCGCATTTTAATAGCTCCACACCTTCATCTTCGAGTGAAGTATCGAGATCGTGAAATGTTTGTTTGAACATTTTTGGGAGGAGCAAAAGGGAAGGCCCTTGGTCAAATCGATAACCATCATGATGAATTATACTGCATCGACCGCCCGTGAAATTGTTCTTTTCGAGTACAGTGACAGAAAAGCCTGCTTTTGCGAGTCGTGCTGCCGTTGCAACACCGCCAACGCCGGCGCCTATGTCCGGAAAACATGAGCTCATGAGATACAATACATAGCTAGATTTGAATGTTTTGAAGATGCGGGGTAAATATAGTAGGAGCAGAACTCACCAACTACAATTGCAGTCTTCTTTGCTCCTGCCGTCGCCATTATAGATTGCTGATGCGATTGAAATATATGGTACAAAGACCAGTAAACCTCGAAGTCATTCACATGTCGGACAAAAGTGATTACCTACCTATTGGATACGAGTAGGTAATACTCAATGCAAGGTCTTGCATTGCGATAGTGTTAGATCAAGGTGTCATCCATTTTTCTTAACTGGGCGCCATCCACCCCACCATCATCATGTTCAGTGCTAAAAGTGGTCCAAGCTCAATCTCCTCGGATAAGAATGCCAAGCCAAGTCGTACAAGGTTAATGATGAAATAATCTTACTATTTCATATATTCATAGATTTCATATATATTACAGTAAGCAGCCACAGAACTCTAGTCATCCTCGATTCGCCATGCTTCGTATTTATCTCTACATGGTATGTATGCTGGATTACAACAGTGCTAATGGTATCTCAAAAAGAGTCAACGCTGATTCAAAGCTTTCCAAACAACTCCGATGCGCCTCAGTTTCGGTACTGTAGCCCGACCTTTGGTAACTTTACGTTCCCGTTCTCTCATCACTCTCCCTATCTCGACATAGCTCTCAACAACAACTCTCATCGACACCTTGGCATGTCCCGGAATCTTTTCAATGGCAGGGCGAGCTTCCCGATAGATGCCAAAAGCCTTTTCTAGTAACCTTTCTCGTAGTTTGTCGATAACTGGTCCAGTAGGATTGTCCACAACCTGTTGAGGTTTCAAGCTTTCTTTCTCGAGCCATGAAGTGGGGAGATATACTCTTCCAATCCCAGCATCCACGGTCACATCTCTACAAATGTTGATACACTGTAGAGCTATTCCCATGCGGGCGCCAGCATGGATAAGATCGTTACGTCGATGAGATAAAATAACAGTTGAAGTATGGTGAAAAATTAATTCCAAGCACATTTCAGCCACTGTCCCAGCAACTCTCGTACTGTATGCAATGAGATCGTCTTCATTTCGAATGGGAAATTCTCTCGTCTCGCTGGAAGAATCCGCTTGATGAAATTCTAAATCCGTCTTGAATCCTGCTAGTAACTCGTACAAAGGCGCAGATGATAGAATGTGAGTTGGTAGAAACCGAAGTGCCCAATATGAAGATGGAGGGAAGCTATCCTGAATGTACGTATCAAGGCCGGGTCGCAACGAGTCAGTCATGTTGGTAGTTTCCTTTGATCCGTACACCAGGTCAAGGTAGTGTGTGAGTTTAGTAATCCATTCCCGAGCCTCAGAGTCAGTATTCGCATCATCAACAAGGTCATCGGCGACTCTGCAAAATGAATATCTAGATCACATTAGCAAAGATTGGAAGAAACGGTCGGGATATCTATGCTATACATACAATAAAATCAAGTCAATTCGAAGACGACCGTGAAAGACCGAGCTGGCCAAATAGAAACTCCTGCTCTTTCTTTTTAACCTGTCCACAGCTTCTTGAATGCCTCTCACCCGACACATATCGTACTTGCATGTGTCTGTTGTGAGGGCACGCACAAGCAATTTTGGGGAGGGGTATGCTGGAACGCTGGGAAACAATGTTGGAAATGTAAACAAAATAGCCAGTGCATGATCGAAAGCGACAAGACCAAACACAATAAGTATGTTGGTTGCGAGAAAAAACACGGCTTCTTCGATGTCAAGCCCATCCCATAATTGCAGACCTAATTTCGTCCCTGTCTCAATTGTCCATGTGCCTCTCTTCAGTGCCAAAGTATCTACTACCCATAAATATAAGGTGGGTAAGGTAATTGGTAATAGAGTAGTTGAATATGGTAGTCTAATCAAAAACTTGTAGGATAGAGTCCATAACAATAGTGCGAATGGTCCTGCCCAAGCCAAAATCAACCCTAAATATGTGCCCTTCCCGTTTTGCACAATAAGAAGGACTCCTAGTATAATAAGAGATATAAGAATTAGCTGGCCCAATTTCCTTGCAGTCTTGCGATGAAGGTGCAGATCCCAAGGACTCCGTTTCCTATCATTTGAACCATCCCATGTCCAAAGATAGGTCGAATGGAAGATTGGTTTGCTTAATAGTAAGTAGAGCAGAGTGGTATTGTATGTCTGTATCACAAAGAAGAATAGCTCTTCAGCAGGAATTGAAAACAGCCTGGGGCCAATAATCACATTGGATGGGTATGTCCATATTTTCCGGTGGATAAGATATGAATCCCAAGGGATGGTAGAAACGACAGCAATAGATATGAGAAACAGTATCTTATAGATATCTATGTGTTGAAGGAAAGGTCGATAAACGAATGTCAGGATGATGGCTGGTGGGATGGTATATTTGAGATGACTTAATAATCGTCAGCTCCATCAGAAAATATCGAGGTTAATGTACTAACACTAAGGCATAGTCGAAGCCCATTTTTGACACCAGAGTAAAGTTAAATTTGGTAGAATGCAGATCTACTAACGGCAAACATCTCTATATAAAGCCTATGAATTGGGAAATAGGTAGAGGATGGAGCGATGCGGAGAGAAGACTTAGTGGAAGCTCATGTAATGAGATCAGCACAATGATTCTAGAAGAAAAAGAAAAATGGAATAGAAGGGGCACCTCGGTAGCCTAAGTGTAGAAAGCTAGTAAGGACATGGAAGAATTACGGCACTGCGTAATCAGATTTGGAGAAATTGGCTTCCCGCAGGCATGGCATTTTAGCATGGTAATTGCGGGAGGCGGGTCATAACTACCAGGAGTAGCAAGTGGTAGTAGTTTGACTCTTTAGATCCAGGTACCTACCTACCTAGTAACCTACCCACCTGAGTGTGCATGTGATATGACGGGTTGTTTAGCTATTTTAGTTTTAAAGAACTACTACTTGCAGCTATTGCCAAATAATACCATCAAATAATACCTACCAGAGTACAATTGGTGAATGTAATCGATTATATGAAGAATTAAGACTTACTACGTACAATAATAGTGGCGGGTGCGGGGTCGGTGGTCCGGAGTCTATTTCTCTATCCTCTCGAATCCTTGCACAACTTGAGATCGATGTCGTCATTACTTCTCATTGATTACATAATCTTCCGTCGATCATTCATGTCCCTTCCCTCGTATCCATCACATATTATTCGATTTCCCAGCCATAACTTCTAACCGCCGTCATCTCATAAACCAAAGTTAAGTGAAGTATCTAGTAGTTCTCATACCTGCTAGTAGTAAATAAGTTGTCGTCATATGCTCGACCAACCAAGGAAACAATGCCTCTCATAGAATATCCCACCTCGTCCGACTAACTTCCTAGGAGCTTTTCCCCGAGATGCTTTGGAACGCCAGTTTGATGGGCCATGTAGGTAGGTATTTCCAAAGCAAGGAAATCTTGGTCTATTTCCGCACAGCCGTCGACCTTTCCTACAGTACTTTGTAATATTGCCTCGCATTTTTCTTAGGAAACTATTCACAATTTCACTGTATTTCAGAGACGACCTAGATATACCGTTACTCATTCATTGTCCTCACATAATTACTTCATTTTCCACATGTTCACATTAAGTACTCATCAAAACACAGCCTTACCTTCGCTCGTCTGTTCATGACGTTCGCCAATGAGAAAAAGGGAGGGTTCAGGAAACAACACCCATATCTCCATGGGAACTTCGCACCCATACATCGCACACAACCCTTGACGGCTTGTACCTATACTGGTATCATTCCAAAGGAGCTTGCGGGCGGAGAGTATGTACGCAATGGAGGAAATCCAGTGACAAATGGAGACTTGGGTAGAGATGCACATTGGTTTGACGGAGATGGGATGCTCAGTGGTGTAGCATTTCGAAGAGGGAAAAATGGAGGAATTCATCCGCATTTCGTCAATCAATATATTCTTACTGATGCTTATCTCTCGAGCATCTCAACACCATCTCTCCGTGCGCCTATACTTCCAAGCATAGCCACACTCGTCAATCCTGCTTCAACTCTTCTCACCATTATCCTGCGAATATTCCGAACCATATTTCTCATCATCCTCTCTAATCTTCCTGGATCTGCAAAGGCAATCAGAAAAATAAGTGTAGCCAATACCAGTATCCTATATCATGATGGCAGAGCTTTGGCAACATGTGAGAGTGGGCCACCGATGCGCATTTCGTTACCCGGTCTAGAAACTGTCGGCTGGTACAATGGTGTTCAAGCAGAAGGAGAGCCAGTTACGGAATTGGAGCCTAGCGAAGTTTTTGGCGGAAGTGGACTCATCGGATTTATGAAAGAATGGACGACGGCACATCCTCGAATTGATCCTGTCACGAACGAACTTATACTTTTTCATTCTACATTTGTTGCACCTTTTGTACATTATTCTATTATACCCAGCACACAGCATAATTTTTTACCTAGTAAATCTCCCCGACTCGTCAATGCAGCCGTACCCGGGGTGAAATCCGCAAAGATGATGCATGATTTTGGAGTGTCCCTTAGTCATACCATAATCATGGATCTCCCTCTTTCACTTGATCCTCTAAATCTTGCCCGCAACGAACCTGTGGTCTCTTATGATCCTGCGGGAAGATCCAGATTTGGTGTTTTCCCCAGATGGAAACCAGAAGACACTCAGTGGTTTGAAACGAATGCCTGCTGCATCTTTCACACGGCGAATACCTGGGACGAAACAGTCTACAATACATTTACCAGAGAAGATGAAACAATATCAGTAAACATGCTAGCATGCCGATTGACAAGTGCTTCACTAGTCTTTAGCGCAGGTGATGTTGCAGCACCTATTCCGAAAGCCAACCCTATCACAAACCCGGTGGAAGAAGAACAATGCCGATTGTATTACTATCGGTTTTCATTTACTCAAGCGGGGAACTTTATAAGCCACCAATTCGCTCTCTCGTCAATACCATTCGAATTTCCATCCTTACGAGATTCGATGGCGATGAGGGAAGCTCAATACATTTATGGTTGCTCAGTATCAGACAGCACATTTGGAGCTGCTCTAGGTCGTGCTGTGAAAATCGACTCACTTGTCAAAGTAGACGTCCTCGCTCTGATCTCGCGTGGAAAAGAGACCAATCAGATCCCCATCACAGGTTGTGTCGACAGACGGACAGTCGCGGAAGTTCTGGCCTCGAACGACCCTTGTGACCCTATCAAGATCTTTAAACTCCCCGGAGGTTTCTATGCCCAGGAATCCAGGTTTGTACCACGAGAAAATGGAAAAACGGAGGATGATGGCTGGCTACTTTCTTATGTCTTTGATGAAGCACAACTTGATGAATATGGTGTTGCAGGTTCTCAAGCAAAAAGTGAACTCTGGGTTATCGATGCAAGAGATATGAAAACTATTGTTTGCAAAATACAGCTTCCGCAGCGAGTCCCATATGGGTTGCATGGCGCTTGGTTCGGTGAGAAGGAGATTGAAGATCAACGACCGGTAGAAACTATCCGACACCTTCCCTTAAGAAAGGAGAAGACCGTCGGTGAGGGCATATGGATGCATTCATGGATGATGGTGCGGAAATGGCTTTTGGAGAAACTTGGTTAATCATGATGAATCCCACAATGTATGACATTACATGGCAACATCGATCTTGTTTGGGTGTCCCGTTTGGCATTGCAACTACATATTTTTGTGCGATTCTTCATTAATGTTACCTACTCCTGTAGTACATGTCCTCTATATACAACGATCATACGACAGCACCAACATCAGCACCAAAACAATTCATTCGACCAAATCCAGGCTCATCTATACTCAAGATGAAACGTGAAGACCCACCAGATCCCCTTTATGTTTACATAATGGGGATGTAATGTTCATGCTGCTTTAGCGTATGAGTACGAGTCCGAACCTCAGAAGAGGACAAAATTGTGAATCACCAATCAAGTGGCCTGCATTTGTTAGGTGATGATAAAGCAGCGATATAACCTCATGGGAGTAAAGTAAAGGGGAGGAGATGACCGGGGAAGTGTTTCATTGTAAATTTGTATGAGATGTTGAGATGTAAATTGATTATTTACTAATCTGGTTCTATGCGCTCTAATCACGTCGGCATATTCGGAATGAACCCTTTCTGGAGGATGAGATGAATGTGTTACGTTTCTTTTTGAATTTATAGCAAGGTTACTTAAAATTGAAGTCAGCAACGCTTTTCCTGCGAATTTCGGATTTGGTGATTATGTCGTCACGATAGTTCTGAAGAGCAGCGGAGGTATCTGGAGATAGCTCAGTTGTGTAAGATTTTACGACTTATTAGTTAAGTATAAGTACTAAGATCTAAATATGAATTTAACTCCTTATATGACATGGACTTTTCCTTCTTTGGTTAAATCACAATACATAACTACCTAGGTAGTAGTTATATTTGATAATCCGCAATTTCAGCAGAATGGCCCGTTAATTTATTTACGGAATTCAGATCAAGTACCGAGCAGGCATTCTTACAGGGCAACAGGGCACCACTAGCCTTAACGACCGCCGAAGCTTTTCTCCGTTTCATCTGAAATGTAAGTTCTTAGCAATTTTCCCCCAGCTACAAACCCCTAATCTAGATCATTGCTTCATTCAACGTGGTTTCGCCTTATGCACTCTTGAAGTCAAATATATTGCGCGCCCAATCCGGAAGATTTACCTTACCCACTCGTATGGTGCAATGGTCTCAGTAGATCATATCAGTCATGTTAAAGGCGTGGCGGTAATTGGCTTCGAATGGAAATATATATAAAATGCTATCCCATTGTTGAAAGATTCTTCCTTCCCTCACCCACATTCCTTTCTATTTTCGATCTTTTTTCCTGGAGAATATAAGTTCTTCAACGTCAGTCTTTACACTTGAAAATCTTCGCAATTATGCGTTCCACACTCTTTTACTCGGTGCTTGCCAGCGGCATCACTTCAGCTCTTGGAGATGCAAGCATCTCTACTTTTCCCAACTCTTTGAATTTGGCTGCTAGCTTCGATCCTATCAAGGCTGCCTACTGGACTGGTCTTCCTCATCATCGCCGAACTCCTTTCTCAATTTCCCCGGATGGAAAATCGGCTTACCTTGCCTACCTCGATGCTACATACTCCACCGTACACGTTCAACAAGTTTCCTTGACCGATTTCTCCGCAGTCGGTGATGCGATTTCTGTTACGGCATACGAAGCTGCTGGATTGGTGGCTCAAAATGATGGATTTGCTTTGATGGCAACGGTAAATGCTACAGGGACTAGCGATCTTCCTACAGATGGCTCTCCTATCGTTTCGTTGATCAGATATACGAATGGAAAGAAGACATGGGAGACGGCTTTGAACGGTCCGGGTGTTCATGCTTCGGATATGTTGACCTCGACTCCCGATGCTAATGGTGATTTGGTCTATTCTGCTAAGGCTGGTCTTTACGCTGGGTATTTCGTTGTTGAAGGTATGAATTTCACTCTTTCTCTCTCTCATCAAGTATAATTCTCACAAATCTTCACAGCTTATACCACTGATTATGCTGGTCATTTCGGTGATTCCATTCAATACGTCAACGATGATGGAGAATTACAAGTGATTCAAGGCGCCAGCAGCGATTTCGGTTGCTCCCACAACACAGGTATTGGTCTCGAAGCTGCCGATGCCGCTCCATTCGCAAGTGTCTGCGCAGAAGATCAAGGTGATATCTGGTTGAACACCGAAACTCAATACATGTCCGGTCAAAAAATCGCCAATGAAAACACAACCAACGGTGTCAGTGGTGAACCAATGGGTGGAATGTCCGGATCCTACTCTAACTTGGCCTCCATTCCCGGTTCGGATGGATACATTTTCGCTTGGCAATCACGCGGTGCTCTCGACCTTACCCTTAACGCTTGGATGGGAACACCATATACCCAATGCTCACCCAGATGGCTCAACCACAACGTCGCCATCTCCGTCATGACCGATAAACAGACTCTCGCTGGTGCTCAAGCTTCTTCAACTGTCGGTGCAGCAGAAGGTGATTCCCAAGTAACCTGGATCACATATTCCTCAACCGAAGACCACCAAAACGTCCACATCGCAGCCGTCAACTCCGAATACTCCATCGTCACCTACGAAACCCTCACTTCCCCAGACTGTCAACCAGTTCCTATGGGTTGCTCAGGTACATACGCAGGAACCTCATTCCAAGTCATCGACAACACCGGCGCCAAAGTAGGATCTGCAGTCGTCTCAACCGAGGCCTTTGTCAGTGGTGACATCGTCACCATCGGCACCGACAAAGTCTGCTGGCCTTACGTCTCTATGACCTGGGATTTGAGCACCCCCAAGGATAGCGGATCTCCCGTTTCCAAAATGTCCTTCGCATGTGCTACTTTGAGCGGAAACACCACCACAGCTTCTTCCATCTCTAGCGCTAGCTCTAGCTCCAGCACCGCAGCTAACATCGCATCTGCATCCCCCGCCGTCGCAGCCGTCGTTTCCCACGCTGCTCTCCCCTCCTCCTCCTCAGTAGCCCCTCTCGAAACTCCAAGCTCGGTTCCAAGCTCTACCGTCCCCGCGGCTGTTTTCTCCACTTCATCTGCTTTCCCATCTACAACGTTGAAGACGAAGACGAAGTCTAAACATACTAAGACTAAGACTAAGTCTTCTTCTACTAAGACTGAGAGGGATGTTGCTACGCCTTCTGCTGATCCTTGGGATGTTAGTGGGTTTTATGGGGATGCTGATGCGCAGCTGGTGATGATGAGTGTGATTTTGAGGAGGAAGGATTATTAAGTATTGGTTGGGGTGTTGGGGAGGTGGGTATAAGAGGGTGGTTGCTGGGTGGTTAGATGAGATGAAAGATGGAGAGGTTTGAGGGAAGTGGAAGGGGAAGGGTAAGGGGAAGGGGATGAAAATAGAATGATTTGATCCGCTGTAGGAAGATTTGTATTCGTGTGTATATATATAAATATAAATATTATACTGATAACTTTACTACTTCTCTTCTACTGAGAGAATGATATATACACTATACATGGTATATTATATATTTTAAAAGTTATATCAATTCTTTAATTATATATTTATTGAGATATATAAAACTCTATAATATTATAAAATCACAATAAAGTCTAAGATTTGATATAAAAAATTAATATTATATTATGTTAAAAGGAATGACCTTACACAGGGAATAGTGGGAAGCTGATAGGGCAGAACTGAGGTAATATTGGTCTAGTGTATGTTCGCACTACATCTAAGTTCTTGTTACGACGGCTTCTGGCCTCGTATCATATGACCACGTACGAAGTCATGTGATCCCTTCGATCCCTTTACCGAAGGGATCGAAGGGACCGAAGGAACGATAGGCATGAAGGTCTATATAATCAAGATGGATTTCCTTTGTATAGAGCTTCGTGCTCAAGATCAATCATTTAGTATACTCTACTATTAGTTACGAATTGCATATTATTATTGTCATTACTTTAAGTCCCTGCTTGACACCTAATTATAAACCATCTCGAGAGCCTAGAGCACTTCCACGTGATCTAGACGGCAAACCTCGTAACACTGATAGAGTGTATTTATTTAAATCCTCAATAGAGAAGAATATTTCAACAACAATTGATTTCAATTAATAGGATCCCAACATCTAGAGTTAGATTTAAATATGGATGAAGATGAAGATAAAAATATCAAATTAAATAAGATTTATCTTGAAAGCTTAAACTTAAACTTGAGTTTATATTTATATTTATATTTAACCATTACATCACAACATTATAATATCACAACAAAAAGAACACACAGATAGCTATCATAGATATAACAGGAACCAAAAAGATGAATTCTGAAATATTTGATTTACCTCTTTCCCCCTGTCCCTCTTTACTCTTTTCTTCCCAATCCATCATTCACAAATACACGCTCAACTATCTCATCCATAATGGTATCGAAATCGTTAACATCCAGATCATCCGCGCTATCCTTTCTATCCAATCATATCCCATTCAATCAATCGATCAATCCATTCATTCCATCCAATGGTGATCCCCATAAACAAAGAGCCAGCCACCCTCCAAACCAATAAACCTGTAACCAATCCATCATGAGGAAAAAAAATTCATGAACTCAAACCCCTCCTTTCCCATCCTCAGAACATATCGTAAAAGATTTATTATTTATTTATTGTTTCAAATCGTATGAATGAATGTATGTAAGAAAAAGAATCAAAACTCCTCAGAGCTTTAAACCGTCTCCCGATCAGTCTTAAGACGACGTTCGCGACCCTTAACCGACCAAGGGAAATGAGCGACTGGGATAACGAAGAAAGAGTTACTAGAAAAAGAAACGGAAAGTTAGTGATTTGAATTTCCTTTGAGAATTCAAAGATGTGTAAAAGAATGGAAACATACCTATCATCCGCAAGACCAGCCAGAGCATTATACCACGCCATAAATGCGGCGAACAAACCAAAATATCCACCAGCCTTGATCGCACCGGATAGTGGGGCTCCCGCAGCATTACATCGCAAGTGACCGACTCCCAGCATCAGGAATGCCAAGTCCAAGAAGAAGAAGAGGAGGAAAAATGCGACGGTGGAACGTAAGGTGCAAACCAACAGGATGGTGGTGAAGATAAACCAACCCATTAGGAAGAATCCAAAAGCTTGATTGAAATCGTAGTCCGAGTACGAGCTAGCAATCTCAAATCCACCAGGCGTGAGAAGGATTGCGAGTGAAATCCAGAATCCTCCGAATGATGAAAGAGCGGTTGCACCGAAAGTGTTTCCTACAGCCATTTCCCTATATCGTCATTAGCATTTGTATTTTGGATATGATATCATCTCAAACGAGGGTACTATTCAGTACATACCACATTCCCGCAAGCAATTGAACAAGACCACCATAACCAAAAGCAAGAGAGATGACGATATTTGGGCTTGAAACACCGGCAGTTCCGACATTGACAAGAGATAGGACGAAAGTAGTGAGAGCGAAAGCACTGAGACCCAACGGGGCAGGGTTGGCGAATTTTCTTTCCGTAGTAGGTTTGTAAAGACCAGGTTGGAACTCTCCACCAAATGCTGGGAATCTAGCGGATTCTCCTGTATTCATATGTGCCAATGGATTTCCTCCATAATCATATCCTCTCGAGGCAGCGGAATAGTTTATATCAGAGCCATTGACAAAGGCATGGTCGTGAGTATTGCTAACACCTGAAGTTTCGCTGGTGTACTCTTTATTGTATCCATTATCTGCGGTGGCGGTGGTAGCCATCTTGACTTTATTTGTTGGTGTTACTAATGCAATATATGTTGTAGGCAAGTTGAGGTTTTTGATATCTTAGTATAGAAGCTCAATTTGAAATCTCGATCTTTTTTGGTGTAATGGAAAGTAGGTAGTAACACAATTAATAAATGGATAGACAAGGGGAAAAAAAGTAGAAATTCTGATCAAAAGAATGAGAGGGGAAAGATCACCCGGATATATAGTGAATTCCCAAGCTATGTAGGTATGTACATCCTGCATCGTACATGGAGTGAATTTGGGGGATGACTAGGGTAAGCAAGCTTGATCATACAGTCCGGGGCAGTTTGCACGTACCGCGGTCCATTTTACAAAGAATTGGATTGAGTAATCATGTACAGATGATCAAATTGGTGATAGCATTGGTCAATCCCCATGTTTTCGTCTTTGTCGGGTCTCCAATAGAACTTCTGAACTTCGTAATGATTATCATATCGACATGCCGCATGGAGTATCACTTTGGATCCTGGACCCCGTCATCCACAAAATATTTCACTTTGCATATCTCCCCCTGCCGAAAATCCCGGTTTGGGCTGGAGTTGCAGTACTCCGTATGATAAAAATCATTGTGGGGGAGATGAAAATAGGCGGTTGGCTAATTAGATTGGTTGAGTGTTGTCTGTTCATGGTAATGTTTTAGTCTCTAGTTTCTCCTCTCTGGATGTTGAACAGATGGTGGTTTTGCACTACCTATAAAGAGTCCTATTTCCGTTCTACCTCTCACAAGGGATATCCCTTTCGAAAAGTATCGAAAATATCTGGACCCGTGGTGCAAACCGTGACATCTGCTCTTTCCAAAGAGAGCAAAAAGGGGACGTGTCACCAATACATGTATCGATCAGCTCATCCACAGTTATTGTTAACTTGGCTGCACTCATATCCTGCAGTGGGCAGTACAATAGCAGCCACGGGAGAAAATTGCCCATAATTCACTAATTGATAGTAAATAATTGGTTCAAAGTAGGCCAGTGAAGAGCATTTGATACCGTGTGTTGGAAAGAAAGTTGGTAGTTGGTTGGACCCCTTGATTAGGAAATGCCGTCGGTGGTTGTGGAATTCCATAATCCATGGTTATGACGACCAAAAATTCAAATCGGGACCGAATCTAAGCTTAAAGGGGTATCGAACGTGATTCGGAAATGGATCTTCCCCCTCTTTGAACCACTTTTTATCCGAACTCCCTGATTGTCAAATAATATACTTTTATGGGGGTTCGTAAAGTTCAAGATTTCCGATTTCCAATCATCGTCGCATGCCTTAAAAAGCTTGTTGAAAGGTCTGTGTGGATCAAAGTGGGTATTTGATGAGGAGAAACTGGGGAATTTGCAAAGGCAAATGTTACGGCTTGGAATTTCTCAACAATTTTTATTAGAATTTGTCAAATTGGGTATTATATCAGTTAATCTTCACATTATAGCTGATTCCAATATCAAAAGATCGATCACAAGTTCATAGTTCATAGCTCATAGTTCATAGCTCATATACCAATTCCGGACTACGATCAACGGTGTTTACTTGGTATTTATTGATAGCTGGGATCGTTCATCGCCGAGCTGATAGGGTGCTTTTAGTTTCATGCATCTACCTCAAGGTAGGATTGTAAGTGCATGAAAACCCCTGGATGTGTCACTACAGGAGTACAAGCGTCATTCATGGAAGCCTTATCGAACGAAATGAAAATATCATGAAAATGTTACTTTTCAAATGTATAATTATCACTTGCAGAGAGTTGATATTGCAGTGAAACTTGGTCACACGATCAAGAGATTATAGCTTTCATTGTATTATTACATTGGCTATCTTTTTGCTTTACTATAACCTACGTCGTACATCGCTTGGGAATATCTCAAGAGGTTCAATTATCCCGAGTATCCATTCGAGCACACGAGCACAGGAGTTGCACACCGAAGGAATAGATTGACTCACATTTCAAAAACATACTATACGCAGTCCAACCTTCCCAACTCGTATGGGAGGATTCACGACCTTCTACCATCTTAATTCTAGGCCACGGAGTGCGAACGGAGGCTCCATCTTCCACCCACAAGGAGTAACGGTATCCGTTCCATCAATGCAAGCTTACATTAAACCCATGAAAGAAATGCAAGATATCCTAGCAGGAACCGTCGGACTGGAGCAAAAGCTGATTGTAAATGGTTAGACATACCCCGAGATGCTTACTTTCACTTCACCGCGTCAAATGAAATCAATGACAGCTCAAAACCTCAATATTTAAACGAGGGGCTTTCAACACACACATGGAGACGAAGCCATACTCATCTCTTTTTCCCTAGTATTTTTAATCCCCTTCAAATGGTTAGTCGACACTTTTACGTACGCGTCAGATATAACATTTACAGCTCAAATGGAAAAATAGCACTAGAATATCGGAATTTACCCCAAATCAACGGATATAAACTTTCGTCCAAAAAGGAATATACCGTTGCGTAATGACAATAACATCTCCATCTTATCTCCGGTGGCATAAAGGAGAATAAAGAATGAACAAAATAAGATCATAGTACCGAAAACTTAAATACGATGTTCAAAGTTTCTAAAATGAGGAGAAGGAATGGGGGGAAAAGTCAAAAGTTAATAGTTAATAGGTACTAAGCAATAAACAAGATTATGTATATCCTGTAGTATGGAAAAATTAAGATTGCGGAAGTCTCGGTGGCGGAAAAGGAATAGTTTGGGGTTCCTCGGAAACTTTTCCGCTTTGCATTTCGGATGTTTCTCCTTCCATATTTGGTGGAGTTTTGAGTGATGAGTTATTTCATATCAAGGATATCCTTACACGTGAGGATCATGTGATGGATAGTTTTTTTTGGTTTCTTTTTAGTTAAAATCAGAAAATCACATCATGTGCTCATTCATGAAATATATTGAAAGGATCTACCTACCTAATAGACAAATAGATAAACCCCCTCAAAACTACACAAAAAAACAGAACCACACACGAGTAAACACCTACCTAGATAGTTTTCCCATCCTATCCCATCCCATCTCATACTACCCGAGTACTACCTACTCCCTATCTACCGTTACATCGACCTTCCCCACCAAAGTAAGTATCCTCCGTACAGGCTCAGCAGAATAGAATAGTTTCGAGCGATCTGCAGATAGCTCAGCAATCTCCACGTTCAATACAACTCTACCCCACCTTGACGAGCAAATCGTTCAACACACCTGCCTATCCATCTCATCTTTGCAGCTTTGCTATGCATGTGCTGCAGAGAGCTGCAAAGAGCCCGGCAGTTTGGTCTCTTTCTATGGGATTTAGGGGTGTGTGATTTTTATTATGTGTGTATAATATATGTATGTATGTATGTGTATAGTATATGTATGCACGGGGTACTACGTGGCCGTTTCTTAAGATTTGCTTGGGAGTTTGGTGGCTTGAAAGCTTGAAAGCTTGATGAGGAGGGATGATGGATGGATGAGGGGATGGGGACGGAGAATTATTTGTAGTCTTATTTATCACTTTGTTCTTTGCGTTTGGTGTATACTTATAAGATTATGTTCATACACGCAAGTAGATAGATTGGAAATGGGTAACAGGTGAGAGGTTTGTTCAACCTTTACCTTTCGACATTTATTCGTGATTGATTATATCAAATTACATCAAATAAATTACATCACAATCAAAGATATCTTGTATTATTCCGTATAGATAGATAGATTTACTTTGATATAAAAACTGGATTGTTACGATGGTAACAGCTGACTTGTTTTCGTAAGCTTGGGCCATGTGCAAATCGGTTTCGATTCGCTCAATTTACTATGAGATTTCGGTCACCCTAAGAACTCATATGCACGCACCATCAGAGCATATAAACAAGTATGTTGGATCACCTTGGATCACCAGTGATCCAAGGTGATCCAAGGAGCATGAAGATCTATATATTCAATATGAATTTCCTTTTGTAGAGCTTCGTGCTCAAGATCAATCATTTAGTATACTCTACTATTAGTTACGAATTGCATATTATTATTGTCATTACTTTAAGTCCCTGCTTGACGCCTAGTTATAAACCACCTCGAGAGCCTAGAGTACTTCCACGTGATCTAGACGGCAAACCTCGTAACAAAACCCTATACAAATTGAAAATCATAATTTCAATCATTTATATCTCAATCAATAAAATTGTAAAAAATCTAGAATTTTCAGAATCAATCAATATGTATATAATCAATTTATAATCAAAATTTCAATTGATTTAATTGATTAATTATTAAGATATTAATAATTAAAAATCGTTATTTTTGGTGTAAAAAGATGGTCCAAAAAAGAGGTGATCCAAAAAGGGGGTACTAGACTTATCTACTAAAGATTTACTTGCACACATTACATTATGCAATATAATATTAAGATTAGCTTCGGTATTCATTTTCAATCGATGATTTTAAACCCATTTCAGCATAGATAAATATAATATAATATAATAGGAAAGTATGAGAGGTGGAAGCTGGAGCTAGCTTGGAGGTTTGGTCGGAGGATTGTTACAACGGCTATCTTCTATGCCGCGTCACATGACTAAACCAAGGTAACGTGATTAAAGTCACGTTATGGACCGCTGAGGAACGCTGGCTGTCCAGGAATGCTGGCTATCCAGGACCGCGCAGCGGTCCTGACTAGCCATAGGCATGAAGGTCTATATAATCAAGATGGATTTCCTTTGTATAGAGCTTCGTGCTCAAGATCAATCATTTAGTATACTCTACTATTAGTTACGAATTGCATATCATTATTGTCATTACTTCAAGTCCCTGCTTGACGCCTAGTTATAAACCTACTTCGAGAGCCTAGAGCACTTCCACGTGATCTAGACGGCAAACCTCGTAACAAGGATGTGTGAGAAGAATAGGCATGCTCGAGTGAGCATAAGTATATAAGTATATAAGTATATAAGTGTAACGATACTATACTGGAGGCAGCGGCTGCCTAAGGTTTCGTCTGGTTGGTAGTTGTGGGTTAAGGCTTTATCACTGGTCTTCACTTGGGAGTGAAGTCGTTACTAGATCAAGTAGAATGTAGGTAAACTAATTGATAACTAAGTTGAGCACAAAGCTCCTTAACTACGAGACTAAATGAATGTTTATATACCCTATATCATCTTTTGAGGACCTTTGGGACCCTAAGGTCCAAAAGGTCCTCGAGGTCACGTGAATTAATGAATCGTGACAATAAGCTTCTAGGATTCTTTATATATAAATAATATATTTATTGTATTAGACGACCTTTAAAAAGGTGAGGTACAAGATTTAAATTTAATAATTTCAATTCAAGATTAACAATTTTAATTTAAAACTAATAACAAAAATACCTATAGAAAATATTCTAACTACTTCTAGAAAGTATTTTAACTTTACAAAATTATAGTACAATTTAAAATTGTACAGAAAGTAAGTATTATTATTAGTTAAACTCAACAAATTTCGTATCCACTTATTTTTTCAGAAAGAGCAAAATCAACGAAAAATGCTTCTGGGAAGTACTTCGTGCTTCCTTGGAGTTCGAATATATTTAGCGCGGCAAGTTGATCAGTAAATAAAGATCTATGATTCGATTTCTAAATGCGTTACTAACTTTGCTGATAAGTCTTAGTTGAAGCTGAGTGATAGTCTCTAAAATGAAACAGCTGGAACAAAACTATAAATGACGTCCTCTTATTCTAGAAATTCTCATTTGGCTTTCTGGTCCTCCTCTTCTTGTCATCTCTTTTCTCTTCTGCACAAGGTATTTGAGGTGCCCGCGCTATCATAGACGAAGCCATCATTTTCAGAACCATCTGGGTTTCAGAAATCGATAAATCATTCGACCATTAGACCTGTCCTGAACCCATAAATATAAATCCCTCTAGTATGCAGAAGCATATTCCCCATGCCTTTGTCATGGACTATGACCCGAACTATAATGGTTTCCGAGCGCCTCATTCTCTAGGAAGTTAATGGCCTGAATACAGTTAAGTTAGTGTGTGTTGGGATATCGATCATGTACCACTAGCTTTGACGCTAGTGCACCGGCACTAGGGTTAGTTTGGTATTTTCATAGTTCGTTCTTGTTCTTTAGGCAAATCAATAGGAATATGATAAGGATAGATCTTGAAGCCTCACTTCCTCATGCTCGCCACTACGGACAATACTTCTATAGAAGACTTAGCAGTCTACCTATGGAGAAAAGTGAGATATCAGAACTAGAACACACTGGATGTCTATACCGAGTTTAGATCCAGAAATATTGAGATTGCAATTCGAAGAGTAAGAAAACATAAATCGAAACTGAGGTCTATGTACTCAGACGGGGCATAAGTATCTCAGCGAACTCGCCTCGTGAAAATTAGTGATTTTCTTCAATTTTTCAATGTAGTAAATGATTTTGAAACTAATCAATTAAGGCTTCATGAAACTGAATACTATTAATATATAAACAAATCTTGAGTCTGTCATCTTGAAAACTTCAAATCACACCCCCACCTTGCTGTCAAATTCAGATCTAAACTTCTCTCTAACAACGTTCCTCCTAAACTAACCATTAGCGACCGTTAAGGATCTGGTAGCTCTTGAAAATATTACGTCTAACGAATAGAAGCAAAAGCTTATTGAAGTTCTAACCTAAAAAGCACAACTTGAGTCATATAGAGAAGGAGCACATCATCGTGCTTGATTAATCAGTTTTACACTAATCATAAAAGAAGGCTTGCTTGTTGGCCGATTAACCAACATCCGAGTCAGAAACGGTGATACGAATAACGGGAGGCCAGATTCCTGGTCGTAATTTGATGCTAACGGTTCCTAGTAAAATTTCTGAGCAGTTGATGACCCGATTAGTCGTAGGAACAAACTTTGTCCTTGTTTGGAAAGCCAGTGCAATGGTACAATGCGACAACAATGAAATACTGGCGAATTGATGACAGCAGCTCCTACCCAGTTTAGTGATGAATACCCTCTTTCTGTGCCTCTCTCGCCCGCACATCAGCAATATCACTCGCTATGCTCATAAAACCCAACTACCATTCTACACTAAATGCCCAAGATACTACAGCCTGATGTATTCATTACTAGTACCAGCAGCTAATCGAATACACCAAATGCCGTACACGAGTACGGTCTCTCTAATTGGTTAAAATTAGAATCGTGATGTTGTACCGTGGCTGCTTGAGCCATGTTCATCACCGTATCGCTCATGTATGTAATTATTCGTACCGTGCTATTCCTCGTTTATCAGCACTAAATCCATGATCCGGTGCTTCTCTGATAATGCGTAGCGTACCAAACCCCGACGTCCTGAATTAGCGCGATCACCGACAACTCACCACTAGTGATAGTAATAACTTATATAAAATGGTTGAACCTCCCAAGGAATAAGATCTCTTCCCATTCTCACAACACATCCTACTTAGAATACCTCCATCTAGCAGAATCTTCTACTACTTAACTTGAAAGTTCTTCTTCTAGTCAACCGGTTGAACAAGAACCATTCATAGTATTAAGAACATTTTCCTTCATATTAGAAGATTTACTCAATAGACATGTCTGTTACTAACGAACACAGCCTCAAAACCAAACCGATCGTTCAAGATTACTCGACAAACTCGCTTACTGATAACGAGTGGGACCTCTCATGGTCGTACTTGCCTGACGACGAAAAGAGCGGCAGTAACCCAGAAAGTGAGATTTCTGGAGAAGAGTGGGATGCCAGCTTGTCCGAATGCGAACGGGACACAGCTTCCAATGCAGATGATTCCTGGTCTGTATTAGACGAAATATGGGACGCAGGAACTCCTTTCACATGGGGCGACACTGATGGAGCACAAATTGATTGGGACTATGAGAATCAGGAACTTCCGGAACCAATGCCCGCAGAGCCGAAACCAGTAATCATGATTGACACACTCGAGAAGCTCGACGAATTCTTGCCCGTCCTCTCTCAACTAAAGGATGGAGTTGAGCTTGCATTCGACTGCGAAGGTACCCCTTCGGAGGACGAAAATGGGGTTCCTATTCCTGGTGGAGGTTTTGGTCGCAACGGGGACATATCATTTTTGTCGATGACCATAATCTCAATGAACGAAACCTATGTCTTCGATGTCTGGGAGCTTAAGAGAACGGCTTTTGAGCGTGAGAGTAAGGACGGCCTGTCTCTCAAGAAGGTTTTAGAGTCCCACGACAGAATCCAGCTCTGGTGGGATGTGCGTACTGATTGGGATACCTTGTTTCACAAGTACGGGATTCAAATCGGAAAGGTTCGCGACGTGCAGCTAATGGAGCTTTTATCTCGCCGAGGACAGAGGTCAAGGATTTGTGGCTTAATGAGAGCTATGAGAGAAGAAGGTGGCAAATCTATGAGCCCGGCAGAGCTAGATGATTGGTTGAGCGAAAAGGAGGCTGGTGGAGATTATTTCAGGAAGCATGGCTGGCGACCATTGACAGCTAGACCAATCAACTATACTGCGAGAAAATATATTGCAGGCGATACGGAGTGCTTATATCAGTTGCAAAATCGATTGCAAGATAGATTGAGCCATTGGGCGTTTCGCATGCAAGGCAAAACTGTCGTGGGTCTAATAGATGCTATTGGAAAGCGTTCAGCACTCCAAGCAACTACGGGAGACTTGATGGAGTTCATTGACCAGCAGTCGGCTATCCGGGCTCATGATGCAACATCGCCTGAGTTTGCTCTCATGTCTTCAGAAGAAATGACTCTACCACCACCAGCTTTTCGCAGAATCGAATTCTGGGCGGAAAATTACGATAGATTGGTGAAGAGGCGGGCTGAAGAGTTGGAAAAGGAAGGCATGCTCTGTTGAGGATAATATCTGGTGGCAGTTTCTTCAAGGCAGCGAAGGATATAGAATGATTGCAGAAATATGTTCTGATAGAACAACATAGATCAATTATCTGAGCGAATGCTTCATTTACCAGGAAAACGAAAGGCATATATTAAAAATAAGGAATAGATATGCAGGAAGCAGCAGACGTAGTAAGTGATTTCAATCCAGCTAAGAAATTATAAATTAACCTAATTTGACAGTCTCCGATATTCAAATATTGATGCCTATTCAGCCATTGCCATCGTGAAGATAATGAGAGTGAATGTTCGCATATAGCCAAATCATCAATACTTTATAATTTGTTTTCCAGCCGGGCAACCTCCAATATATAATTCATCACGGAGAGCTAAAATTGTTAATCTCTTAAGACCTACCAGACTAGCAGGAGGCAGTGTTACCCACCGAGCTTGGCGAGAGTAGTTTTTCTTCGCAGCCCCTCTTCGCCACAGCGCACTCTAAAACAAAATATCAAAGAAACGTCTTTGCTCTACATATTTGTGGTAACTTTGTGCGAAGATTCATAAAAGAGATTCCCTTCTTTCTGTGATTCATAGACATTGAAAATTGGCATATCTAGAAATTCAGGTTGCTTCTAGTCGGCCCATCGCAACTAGAGAAAATTTCTGGTGCAAATGAGCAAGAAACAGAGGTAAGACAAAGGTAATGATCACGAAAGACGTGCAGGCTTGGTAGAATCCCAATCATCCATGCTAACATTATGGAATTCTTAGATCTTATTCCAACAGCAGCACTTCGAGCCTTCCACTCTAGGAATGTTAAAGCTGAAGATGATATCGACAGCAGTACTAGTGCAGCCTTTTACGCAACAAGAAAATCAAGCAGGAGCCGCGTATTGGCCCATTTGCTCTGGCATGGATATTGACTGGGATAGGGGGCCATCGGAAGTTGCTTCCACAGATGCAGCAGCCGCATCTGGTCCTAGTATTTCTGACATGGATGATGAACTCTGGAAGTGTGTTGCACCTACAGAAGTTGTTCCCACAGAATTTGGTGAGTAGCTTCGGCGGTTACACGGTGGCTCGAATATTTTCTATCACCTCGCACTGGTGCCCTAAACAAAATAATAACCCCAAAGACTAGCCATTATTGTCTATTGAATTAATCACCATACTTGGTTAGTTCCTTCCTATGACCTCGAATCTTTGTAGCATCGTCCCCGAACTTTAATGTGGCTGCAACGGAAAGGGATCATCGAGAAATCGAGCCATCACCTCCACGATGACTACTTAGGTCACTGAATACGACATATCTTCGATGTTCAAATCTTAGGAGATCAGGTGTTCGGTATGGCTGGTAGTAACAGCTTATCACTCACGATAAGTCTTGAGTCCAATCAAACTGTACAAGCCTGGTGGGATTTACAAAGTGATTTCGAGGCGCTCTCTCACCACTTCCAATATCCGTCCAAGATTATATTTAGACTCCCGCTACTCGGAATCATGCCCGCCAAAGGCACAGGTAAATTAAATAGCCTGGTAAGTTCTGTCCGCATTATCTTCACTGGAGCTCCTTTCTTCGTGGGTAGTGGGTACAGTCAAGGGTGGGCCAGAATGGAGAAGGATGCGCGAGATTACTTTGATTGGAACGGCTTCGAGGTGCTAGAGATACAACTGGTCAAGCCTTTGGCAATACAAAATTGTCGCTGTGATACAAAAACCACACTCAGCTTGTTTGATCATTTAGCTATGCATCTCCCGACAACCACTAAGAAATGAGGATAAGATCTCACAAGCTGTTCAAAAGGATTGCCGAGGAGGAATCATGAATCAAGGCTGACGCGATCTGGTCAGGAGAGGGCACGGATTATCATTCTCATTATATTGACCGAGATATTATGAATCATCCAAGAACTCCACCACGGCCAATGTTCTAAGATGTTGCCAGCGGTATATTCTTGGGGTCGAGAGGGTGACATCATGAATGGCATGGAGTAATGCAATCAAAGAATAAATGAGTGTTTGAAGTGGTTAATTTTGGGATCGTGTAGCTTGCTTGGTGGATAACAGCTGTTCGAAGATACCTTGCTTCCAGATTTCACCAACTAATCTTCTTGATTGAGATGTTTTGATTCCTTAGTCGATTGGAATTCATTGTAGCCAGGGCCAGATATAAAAATACTTCAGATTGGAGAATCAAGCATGGCATGCCAGAATGCAAATTTGTGATCCTCTGATATAACGGAATCACTGTTTCAAAGGACTTGGATGTTTGAATTGCTAAAATCTTCCACAACGTGCAAATCACATTCACGGCCCATGAAACTTCATGAGGTCCATGCTTGTGTTTGTGTTCTTGTTTAGACGACTGCTTTAAGCATGTAGGCTATTGGAGATTCTAGTACGTTCAATCAACCTGTTCGATAGATTGCCATACACTAGATTGCCATACATTGAATGAGTACCGTGGAATACAGTTATTCAGAGCCCTTGAGCTCTCGTGGAATAAATGGAAGAGGGCGGGCAGCTCAGGAAGCTCGAATTGAAAATCAAGAGTTTAAAAGAGGATATAATATCAATTAGCCACATGTGTAGTAAAGACAACACACAACGCAAGTAGAAAAGGGAAACGATCAACTAATTGTGTGGGAACAGAAGTTTGATGTTAAACTCAAAGGAAATCATCGGTACAACTTGCAGTCCGCGTACTCTAAATCAAGTTAGCGCACCGGCTCGCGTAAAGTGGTTTCATTCAGAATCTCGCGTTCCAGCCTCTTCTGATATCCTTCATCAATAATCAATTCAACATCAACCAACCTTTTCTGTCTAAATCAATACATCAATTCGTCTAATCGTCTAATCTTCCATAATATCAAGTCCCCAGCTATATCAACAATTCTTCCACCAGATCAATAACCCCACGATGTATCTCAAGCGCAAACGTTCTGAATCCGAAATCTCCACCGCTTCATCGCTCCTACCCAGTCCCCTCCATTCCAACAATGCCAATTCTATGAATATCGATTCCACATCAATAGCATCGCCAAATCTCTTTTCCTCTCGTACGAGAAAGCGTCACAGAGATAATCGACCAAATGAAGAGACTGTTCATCGTATGTCCGCTGGTTCCAACAATCCACCGTTTGCGAGTCAAGCATTAATCAACTCTACAGAACATACTCTCTCTCTCCTGTATTCCGCTCAACAGCCTTCAAATATAGATACAAGCTGTATGTCACCTCCATCGCCATCCGCAATTTCTCCCCGTACAATAATACCTCACCCGCCGAATAACCCTGCACACCAAGCCTCACTACACTCGTTCTGGCAATTACCATCAAACCGACAAATTTCACCTGACAGCGATTCTTCTTATGCATCATCTACATCGGTCTCTCCAAAAACTATCACACACCATCTTTTCCTACCCACCAATTGCGAGGATTGTGATGAATCACTAGCGAATAGAGAAGGCGGTGACGAAATGGATGTAGATACTATAATGGATATTAATATGCATGGAACTGGAGAGACAAATCATGGATGTACTAGTTGTGGAAAGCAAGTTTGCCATTCTTGTGCTGTGAGTAATTTGGGGATGGAAAGAAAATGTTTAAGTTGTGCGGGAAGGGAGAGAGACGGGAGGAAATGGGTTGGAGGTTTGGGGTGGATGAACTAGGGAGTGGAAATTTAAGTTGGATATGAAGCGAATACCCTGTGTGCGTTTCTTTGGAGATATTTTATGGATTGTCGTTGTCTATTCTGTTATGATGTCTAAAGCTTGGCGTTCAAAATTTGTGGAAACGGTTGATTTCCTATCAGGATATATTAATGTACAAGTCCTGAATGTTGATGAGGTTTCCTATAAATGCTGTGGAGTAAGAAGTATTGGATAGTCCCTGCTCTAGCTTCTTCTGTTTTGATATCTTTTACCCGTATAGAAGTAAAACAATGACTCTCCCTTCAACACATCAGCAACTGCTTTAGTGATGACTCCTAGTCAAATACAGCAAGCCTTTGCACCCTTCCTTCATAACTACACTGTTAGAACCAAAGCAAAGCTGTGAGCCTTTTTCTCTCATTTCTCTAAACTTTTTCACATTTGTCTGTCATCTCCATTCATACACATGGCATCAAAATAGCCCTTCACATACATATTACCCATACACTAGTTCCAGCTCCTTCCATTCCAACATTTGTGCAATAAATATTTATAGAAAAAATAAAGTCATCAAAATCTGCAAATAGATGATAGACTACTTGAATTTTCACTTCGCTTATTCCCTGTCTTTCCTTAACAACGACTTACCCTCTATGCTTTTCCATCGGAAAAGAGAAGTCTCTCCGCTCAAGGCAGAAATTTAGAAGAATAAATTTGTTCTATCCCACTCCATTCTCGAAATCTAGAAAACCATAAACGGAGATCCGAAACAAGAATAATGCTGAAACATCACATCACCCATTCATTCTCGTCTATAAGAAAATCCCCCTATTTCCCCCTCCTCCTTCTCTCCTCTCCTCTCCATACCCTTCGCAACCTAACATACAAACACAGAATCACAAAACCAAATCACAACCCCAACAGCAATCCCAGCACTCAAACCCCAGCACTTAAACCGCAAACCCAAAAATCCCCCACAAAACTGAATTTTCCACCAATCAAAATGTGTAAAAGCATAATATTCGATTTTAACTGTCCCCACTACGAACGACGACTCCGTCGCTGTTCTTATCAACGTCGTACTCGTTGTATTCCTGAACACTGTCCGCGATATCATCGTGTAGATAGGGAGGCTAGGAGGAGATGTGCTAGATGTATAACGAGGAGAAGGAGGAGGGAGAGAAGTGCGAGGAGGTGTAGGGTTATGTGAGTTGCGCGAGGTAAGTGAGATAAGTGAGGTAAGGTAAATGGTGGTTTTGGTAGGTGTTATCTTATGGATTTTTGATTTGCTGATGCTTGGAGAGGATTGGGAGGTACTGGACTGGGTAGGTACTGCTTACTATTGAGTTTTTTTTTTTGATATAATATAATTAGATATTAATGAAATAAATTTGATTCTTGAATGGCAAAAGGTGATTAGTCAGTTCCCTTTTGCAATGAGATACAGGATGTGAAAGTAAATTATAATTTAAATATATGTTTTTTTTAACTCTTTATAACTTGATACACAAGAAGAAGTCGACTATAACATTCTCTCTATATCTCCATGGAACAATACTCTTCTCTCCTATGTAGCTTCACACCTATTGCTATGAAAATAACTAACAAGTGAATATCTCTATTTTAGATTATCACTGAATATAATATAATTTTCAAAGTCACCTATCAGATTTATTTTAGTATTTATTTACTTTTCCCCTCCCATCTTATCATCCCCTCTCATCCCACCCACCAATCTCTCTCATTCTCTCATTCTCTCATCCTCTCATCCCATCATCCCATCATCCTCCATCAAATTACCCCATCCCACCACCTCCAAATTCCAACAAACCAATCACCAGATCTAGACAGACCACTTATAAAATCCCATCCCATCCCACTCTATTCCCAACCCTATAATAATTCCTAATCCACCATTATACAACATAAAACTTATATAGGTATATATATAATCTCCCCAATATCCATAGACTATATCCCCAAGAAAGCAAAATATATTTCCTAAAAACTGGAAACTGGAAACTTGGAAACTGGGAGGACTCGAATAATTTGTATGTGAAGTAAGACTTGCATACATTATATGTGCATAGATTTGCTAGGCACAACTGTTTAGGAATTGGACTCTTGATTATCTGAAGTATAGTTTGCACTGTATACCACTCAAACTTACATTAGACTTCTCCCTTCCTTTCATCCTCTCCATCCCATCACACCCCTGACAACCAATCCCCTATAAACAATATCTTTTTTTATCCTCGCACTCCCTTCAAACTTTCTTCCCCCACCCCCACGGAAAACACATTACATCACCCTCCTTTCTATTCATCCCCCTCCTTCTCATTCATCCCCTTCACACTATCTAGATTACCTACTTACCACGAACCAAGCAACTCACCACTAAGAAAAGAAAAGATAACATATAACGATATGGAAGATAAGATGACATGATATGAATGAAAGATGAACGAACCAAAATGAGATGAAATAGATTAGTTTCTTTAGTGTATAAGCAAATAGATGAATGGATGAATGGATGAATGGATGAATGGATGGATGAATAGATATCTGTGTTTTATTATATAGAGAGTTGAATGAATATCTAATGGCTATGTTTGCTTGATCATTAATTAAATTGTCATGACTTTGACCTTTACATGAAGGAAACTGTTCGTACCATTATCACTTGTAATTACAGATTCATGTCACAAAGTCTAAAGTCACATATCGTCTTCATCACAAGCAAAACAATATACATTCACATCAGATGGCACAACATTATGATGATCAGGTAGGTATCTTATTATCCATTTTATTTTATACCCATCCATCCATCCATCCATCCATCCACCTATGCATCCATGATAACAATCCCCAATGCACTTCGCTCCCTTCACTTCGCCCACAACATCCACCAATTCTTGGATATCAAGTAATAATCCCCATAACTATTGCGGAAAGCACGCAAGCCATTCTTATTCTGATTTGATCTTGGGTATCTCCATCCAACCATGCCACCTATCCTACCAAACAAAACCACCCCGAAAATAAAGTTCCTCCACCAAATCCCCATCAATCAATCTCTATTAAATAATCATGGAAGAATCTCCCATCCTTCCATCACCATAGATCCTCAACAATCTATCCACATCCACCCATTACTGAAGCATAACATCCTCCCGATAAGAAAGAATGCATGTCAGTAATGAATGCATTCAATATCCTATCGTGCTCCAAATTTTGATTGATTGTGACCCGATTTGAATCCGAATTTAATGTGCAAGAAGGGTATGAAGAGAACTAAAAACTTCCTGCAGAAACAAAGAAAATATCCACACCCAGAAAACCAACTCCATTTCCTTCCTAATTTTTTCTTCTCCAGTCACATTATCTTCCTTTTCAATTACTATCAAAAGGTAGATTGCGCCCCGAAAAGAAACAAAGGAAAGAAGTAAAAGTTGATTGCTGAAGAGCGGTGTGTGTTGTAATTGTGTGTTGTAAATAAAAAACGCTAGAACGACAAGATGATTGTTTTGAAGAGAAATAAAAACCGACGATTCGCTAATGCCAGATATTTTTCAATGGAAAAATAGGTCGATGAAACGCGCTGATGTCGAACAGAGAAACGATGAATTCTGTAGAATTAGGCTTCTGATCGAATGCCATGAGATAACCGATGAGTTCGGCACAATCAATACAAATTGTGGTACATGTGAGGGTGGTGTGGTATGATTTCCGAGATCAAGGCATAGATGATGCAAGGATGAGAATGATTCAAACAACTTCAAGGAGTTCTCAGTTACTGCATGACGATGTCTTGTTGATATGGCTGTTGCTGATATTGTTGTTGTTGTTGACTATATTGCATCTGAGCTTGTGGAGTTGGTGTGATCGGACATCTAGGTGCTGAAGTCTGATAAGGTTTATTTTCATTTCCATTCCCTTGACCAAAATATTCTCCTTCGGGGGTAATCGGCGGTGTGAGGTAACCATTGACAACATGCTGTCCATATGCCTTCTGCGGTGTGCTGTACACATCGTGTTGTTGTATTGGCTTCTGGATAGCGGTTGGTTCAGCGGGGGGAGTTGGTGGAGTGACATGGCATTGGCTCATAGCTGCTTGTTGGAGAAGGAATCGTCGAAGCACTTCGGAGACTCTTGATAACTGTGGAGCAGCATATTTTCTTGCGAGGACCGAGGATGGTTGATTAAGTTGTCGAGAAAGACTTAGCATCAAATCCGAATCGACTTGTCCATAGGTATCCATCTCGGGGCATCCAAGGATATCTCTCGAAAGTGCCAGAGATGCACGGGCCATTGCTGAAGGTTTGACTGAGACAAATTCTTTGTGGTACAGAGCCATTTCACAGATGTACCATGACATATGTTCGACGGTCATATCCTCATACTCAGGTCCTTCCAGTAAGGCCAATTGAAGCCAGCTATCGACGGTAGGGTGGCCAATCATCCACTCCAAAGTGTTCAATACGTGCCATTCCATCTGAGTGAACATCTCCTCGTCGTATAACGAGCAGCACATTGACTTTAGTTCTCGAATCATGGGAACTCGCTCTTTCTTGTCTCCATATTTGGCGGCAATGAGAAGTGCAGCACATCCAACCAATTGATAATGTCTCTTGTAGACAACACGACGCGAGCAGTATCTGTCGAGAAGGTTAACGGCGAGATGAAGTGTTTCTGGAAGAAGTTGAAAGGCAGAATGAGCTTCGATAAGGAAGTCGATGAGATAAGGTCGCATGAACCATTGAATCTCTTGTTGAATTTCTATCGAGGCAACGTCTGGCATAGTCGCATCCTGTGGAGATGTTAGCACAACGTCACATGAAATCAGTACAACGCAGAATAATTGACCTCCATCGATGCCATGTGATCAATAATATCATCCATGTAAGCATCACAAGCTTGTCGAGATAATTCGTTGGCCATCGCTTCTTGCCTCCTTCGACCCATCATCTTGATATATTCTTGAGTATTTGGTCGAGGTTGCTGCTGTTGTGATTGTTGTTGGAAAGTATTATCCTCCACGAAGAACGTGTCACAAGGCTGACTATATGACATGTTGAAGGTGATTTGGAGTTGTGGTTATTGTGTGTTTGGTTTTAGGGAAGGAATGGACGTCAAGTTCTCCTGGAGCTTCGACCTGACAGTGGCTTTCAATATAGGCGCTGGACTGCTGTATTGCTGGTTGTAAAGGAATGTGCTGTATAGTTCGATAGAACGATACTTTAGGATAAATTATTATTAGAGAGTGTGGGGTGGAACTATAATTCGAAAATGAACGTAAATGGCCAATAAAAGATGGCAAAAAATGCAAAAAGCTGAACCTTTCAAAGTTGATATTGATGAGGTGGCAGGTGAATATCACTTTATAAGATATCGGAGAAAAATCTGGTGAATTTTGGGATTAGCGAGATTTCCAGCCGGAATTGGAGTAGATAGGAGAAAAGGGAGATGCTGCAATCATGTCGAGGTGGACAAGGGGAATGCTTTTTTGATCATGCAAGAATGTATGGACGTGGGAGGGAGAGGGGGACTCGAAGCGTAAATTGGGGAGCAAGTCAGAATTCGAGACTCACCAAGGTAGATCCCTCTTAGATGGAAGACAATGGGAGGGTAATGCGGTAGAAATGTTTAAGATATTCTCCGGAGAAGCTAAGATAGGATGAACGAGTAAACGTCTCCGATCTTTGACTATCTTGATCTTTTGGTGTAGTTGCGTGCCGAGTATCTGACGAAGAGCTTTTGTGGAAGAATGTTGTTCAAGGTGAGATGCGTGACCGTTGGCATGTAAAATGCTAACTAAGTAAGGGGAACCAAGAGTTATATGTCAGTCAATGCCCTCCATGAAGAATTTTGCTTGTTTAATTGAATGAGTCTTGGGGTTGGGAGGTATTGCATAAAGATGGGGGGGTTCAGGATCAATGCTCACCTTGAACTGTCGAGTATCTTGGCTTTCAATTGTGGAGTCAAATCTTAAACTCCTTTCTTATAAAAGAGTCGATGAGATTGAGATTGACAACGGAAGGAGGTGCCACTTGAGAAGATTATTGAAAATTAATACTTCAACCAAACAATACAAAGAATAAAATAATTCGAGGTATTGGAGATTGAAGAATTTGATTGAGAAAAAATTCGAAACTTTTGGCAGAAATAACACAATTTTTTTTTGGTATTGAATTTGTTCTGAAGAGTGTCGAGATGAGGAAGGGTTAATGTTGAGAGTTGATTGGAGTGAAGTTGTGGTGGGAGGAGGGTGGTTGAGTAGGAGGGTGATTTCGATGCTGAATTGAATGACTAGACGATGATGCCCTTTACTTCTATTCAGAAAAGAATAATCTTCGTGATTGTCGAGACGAAGATTGAGGGAAGGTGAATGTGTATGTAGTAGTTTCTTTCTGTTTTCCTCGTAGAAAGAGACAGCTATGGACAGTCGAGGGAAAGTTTCAAGTATGAATATTGTTGTGCATAGAAAGCTGCAAATGTAGCAATTTTCTACCAAAATTCTTGCCTGTTTTTTTCAACTTTCTTCGAGCTTCAGCATAACAAGGTGTCAATTATCCAATGACCTCTTTGATTCCCTTTAATTGATATATGAATGAGGGTCTTTCGGAGGAGAGGAAAAGAGAGAAGAAATTTGGAGAGAAAAGAAGAAGAGGGGAGGTTGTGTAGTTCAATGAGTGAAAAGAATGGATCGAATGGATCTCGAGAGAAGGTTGAGGGTAAGAAAGTACGCAGTAGTGGAAATGGAACTAAAAGAGGGTCTCTTCTTACACCAGAATAGGAATGGTTTAGAGATTATTACTTTTTGACATGGGGGGGAATTGTATAAGTGGAGTAGGTGCTTTTGCAGGTATTGAGTAAGAAGTAGTGAGTCTGGCTGGTGTGTGTGGTCGGGCTTTTTCTTATTTATTTATTTATTTGACGACTTTCCTTGTTTGGCTAACGGGGAGAATTATTGCTGCATCAAGAAAGGTATCCAAGTAGCTGGAAGTGAGAGAGTGTGAGGTTGGGAGTAATAAGAAAGATATAGATATATAGATAGAGAGAGATGTGGACAGACAAGTAGACAGATAGGTAGACAGCTAGACAGACGACAGACAGACAGAGAAGCGGTGGCAGTAAAATATCTCCACAAGCAGCGGGAATTATTATTATATACGATATATAATTCTTATTCTCCCTCAATACCTACTACCTACTAGATACCTCCAACATCAGATGAAAAATCCCTAATCGGCGTTGTGAATGTGAATGTGGATGGATATGGATGTGGATGTACGGAGCATTTTTTAATGGTAATGGTGTGCTTTGTTGTGTTTTATTGAACGCGCTCTTCCCTGTTGGCTTGTATGATGTATGATGTATGTAGCAAGAACCTACTACCTACCTACCTATCTGGTTTCTTCATTACAATATGTACTTCAATAATAATAAGAATCCTTGACGAATTGGAATGGGAGAGACCAACACGGAAGTGAGCTTTTAATAGTATTTTAATGGTATGATTGATTTCAGTTTTCAATAAGGATAAGAGGGATGGAAAGATTGCTTGCTCTATCACCAATTATTCCTAATAGAGGAAAGGTTAGAATGCTTCTTCTTCTTTTGAGTGAAGGCATGGAAGGAAGTAAGTATTATTGTATTATTTATTGTATTACTGGTAATGTACTTGTACCTACGCACAATTATTATTACACTTACAGTATTATTATTAGAGAGGAATGAATTTATAAGCCAGACCGAGAAGAGGCAGTCGACTAATAATAAATGACCTCGGAATTTCCTTTGGGATCATTTGAAGTCACAGAAAAGTACGGGGTACTAGGTATACATAGCAAGATTTCAGAATGGCACGATTTTCGTATCAATTGATGGCTCTGCTCCGGTTAGAAAAGTCGCGTTTTCATGGTTTTCATTGGTCCCTGATCCATTTTACGTATTTCCTCCTTCCGGTGCATACCTATCTTTTCCTTATATTGATCCTGGTCCCCTTGAATCTTGATGTATGATGCATCTTAGCCATGACATTACCCAGCACACACGCCAAAACGCGTGAGAGACCCAAACTAACAGGTACTTGATTGATTGATGGTTATTAGTGTAGCATTGACTGGCATAAGCTCATCGTCGGTTCACAATGATGTAGGGTAGGGTATGTTTCTTGTATGGATCTCATGCATTTTAACATTACAGAGTGTTATAATACTACGGAGTCCCTCCTACTCGAGTGCTTTCTAGGCCATGGATCGACCCTCAGCACATAAATTCAGAGACTTTGACTTGGTACCTACCTAGTACCTACCTAGTACCTACTGCAAAGCAAGCACATTTTACTTGAATAGTATGATAGGAACAAACCATCTCCACTCATGTTCAAAGTATCATCGTATCACACACACACATTCACACGCACCTCTTTCATTCACCCATCCCAGAAGTCATATCTGAACCCCGACAGCTCAAAAGCCAGACATCCTAGAAATAAATCGAATCTCTTATACTTTTATTGAAATCTAACCATTCAAATATCCTTGATTGACACGCCTGAGAATACCTGCATACATGCATCAACCATGTCAACATGCAGGAAACAATACCCATGATTACCATCAAGCTTATTTAATTCATTTTGACTGGCTTATGGATCAATTCATATATTTCACATATCTCATTCATAATTCATTGATTTGATATTATTAACTCGTTTATGCTTTTTATACGGGGTATATGTATGTCATGTTGGAACGACATAAAAGCTTCACCAAGGATATGCACCTCTTTCCCCTATTTCCTAATTGTCTGCAATGAAGGGCTGAAGATGCGGCTCATTGGTCAATTGACTTAATTACGAGAACAAGGCAAATGCATCATACCTGAGCGAATCAATAATCTCATACCAATAATCAATCCATAGAAAGCAACACCTTGAACATGAGAATCGGATCTCGCCCAGACCTTTGATCATCTTGCATATTTTGTACCATCAGAGACACCCTCAACCGCGTTTCAAGAGAAGGATAAAAAGGTAAAGATAGAATAAACCCCAGCCTGTGAAGCTCAGATACAAATGAATGAACTAACCCGTTTATATATATATTCCGGAGACACATAGGAGGTACGATAGATATCTTGTACGCGATACATTATTTCCTAGGCGGAAACCTTCCTCGTCTCCAGCTTATTTCAAGCCACCAGTTCGTTGGAGTCTCCGTTTGATTTGATTAGATGATTCCAATTCGTTGTGCTATGTTGGCGCAATCTCCAAACCGTTTGTATTGGGGAATCACCATGGTCCATGGATCCTGTACTTTTAACTTTCCATCGTTTTCGGAATTTCCAATTTTCAAATATGCCGCTGAAATACTTCGGTAGGATTGAAATGATCTGCAATCAATTAATCAATCGACGACCTTCCCCAGACCAGACCTTGAGCTACCATTTTGATTGAGCAGCATATCAATCCCCATTATCCATGATTTGCCAGTCTATAAAGTCCCCTAGTATCTAGTGTTTGGTACTGCATAGCACAAAGCATAAACTTCCACACTCTAAGTATCTAAGTACCACCACTAATAGGCAAACGCCAACGAAAGAAATGATCACAACCACGGAGGAGATATAGCCACCATGCCATAGAAGTTTTCCGGTCCACTTAATCCTGAAACTATTACTGCCTTCCAAACAAAGATATCAAGATCCGGTTCTTCTTTCGGGCCTGGTTTTGAGCAATCATAGGCTATTCATTCAAATCATCCTGTCCGTACCAAATTGCGACTAGACTTGGGGTAAGTTCATGCACAAAATATCTGCACCAGATGATCATCAATCAACTCAATCCATTCATATCATCGGTAAATTAGCAGTTCAGAGCTCATCCAAAAGTCAAGAGCTTCGAAATCAAACAGACCCGCATATGCAAATTCGCCAAGTCCCTCCAAACTTCAACAGCCCCAAAGGTAAACCATTTGATACCAAAATGGACCAAACTTCCTAGACTTTCATCCTCATGACCGTTTATCCTCAACGGAAAACGCGGCGTCTTAATCTCTGGACTTACATTTATTGTTCTGGTGCGACATTTTGACTACTTCTATCTCTTTTAGACTTCTGATTTACCCTCAATCAAATGAATGGCAGGGAAAGACAAGATGAGGATTCATAATGTAGACAGTAGAATTGATGGACCCGGCAATTCGGTACATAAAAATTGTGAATACTATATAGTTTAGGTGGAGTGAAATATGACATGTGCATCTCATCTCATCCCACCACATTCATAATTACAATACATACATACTAGGTAAGATGCCAAACATCGTTGCTCTAACCACCCTATCCACTTACACTAGCTAAGTACTCCGTACAAGACTACCATACCAAACTTTCCTAAATCAAGTAACACCAATTTTTCCCGCGCTCACGCGATGCCGCGCCCGCTCCGCTCTACGAAAAACGCGTCCCTGTCCTACCTATACTACTTGTACTTTGTCTGTCCACACGCGATGACGCTACGGAGTACATTATCCTAGACTAGACCTGGACCTTGACCATGAACCAGAGTTTCCTACCCGATCCATCTATCCTATCACAAGGACCTTCCTTCCTTCCTTCCTTCATACGAGAGCCAATATATCCTAATTTCCTTTTTGCCACACAAATGGTCACACTTTCACAGGCAGGTGAAATAATTCACAAGATACTTACTTACTGACCGTACTGGTGAAGTTTGAACCAAGGTCTGAGATATCCAAGAAAAACCACAGGAACTTACGAAACCGGAAGATTTAAAATTTTTCAGGGTCCTGGGATTTCATTTCCGATCTTTTTTTTTACTTTTATCCCATATATCTATCCTATTTATCCTATTGATTGATCAGTTAATCAGTTGATCAGTCAGCCAATCGGTCAGCTAATTAGTCAGTCAATAAGTCAAGTCACTCACTCAATCACACCATGGAATTATCCTCCCCTTCCTAACCACTCACTCTCTCATTCACATATACTCTGTATTTCATACACACTTCACAAAACTTAAGTTTTATTAATCAGATCCAAGACTCAACTAAGACTTACAATATATGTAATATCCGAATAATCCCCTCCGGGATCTTGCGCCGCTTGCTATGTAGTATAGTACATATGTACAATATCGGCGTCAAGCGGATCCCGGCACGCACCTCGGTTACATTTTTATGCTTGGCTAGGTAGGTATGAATGAACTTCTCATGAACTGCTGGTATACCTATATTACTTACTGTGCCGTAAGAACTAGAAAACTTGGGAATAACTTCCCAAGGTCTAAGGTTCTCGTAGCGAATGGTTATTATATATTGAAAATATTTTTACCTAGTATTGTAAGGTGCTTGAACTTTGCGGTATGTAGGTATGTAATATGTAATATGTGTGTATATCATTGGATAACATATAGAGAAAGAAAAGAGAAGAAGAGATTTTACAAACTCTTTCCGCGAGGATCCGCTGATTTTGAAGATGGATGTTGTTGAGTTGCCGCCTCGGTACTGTACTACATATCGCTAGTTGGTAGCTCTGCGGTTGAATTTACTTATTTCATTTCTCCGCATTATTATGGATGGATTGGTGGTTTTGTTCTGATGGTTTGGTATATTTTCTATATATTCTGTAAATTCTGTACTACGTAAATTGATTAGAGCGTGTTTATTAATCACTTATATTCCTGCAGTATGTATATTAAAGAGAACTCTATAAGTAAATGTGAAAAATATATTGTATATCTCTGATTAGTTTGTACTCAAACTCTGTACATTCTCTATTCCCCACAACGTACACAGTATCTTCAAGTTGGGTGTTCGTCAAAACTTATATCTTCAGCCTCATTTTTTATTATAACATTTATATTATTTATATTATATCATATCACACCTCTGTAACTAGGATACAAACTAGATAAATACCCACTAGATAAACCCGTCCCCTTAAAAAAACCTCAGACTAACCAATTCTTACTTACTCAAGTACTAACATAGGTTATTCTACCGACTTTCCGTCTCCATCCATTCAAATACTGTTACTCCATTTCGTAGTCTCGGTCGTCGCCCTCCTCTGGAAATCTCTGATCTGATGATTCGGGAAGAAATTGAGGATACTTTTCGCGTGGTGCGTGCGCACTGCGTACATCTTGATTCTTAACTAGACGGGACAAGAGTCTTGTTTTGCACGCGTTAAGTAATAAGTTACTTGATGGAGTAGATTGATTGACTGACTGGTTTTTATCTAAACTTATGAAGGTCAGGATGATGATCAAGATGATGATGACGATCAAGCGTCATATATCAAGTATAGAGTTTATCATCATGATTTCATTAGCAATTTAGGATCTTTGACACGAAACTTTGATAGTCGCGACTCCCAGTGAGATTTTCGCGTTGCGTGTATATATGTGTGTGCGCGGAGGACCCGATATCATATCTTCGCGGGAGAGCTAATCCATACTATATACTAGGTATGTACAGAGCATTGCGGATGGGAATAGTTAGTAAGTAAGATGTTAGAGTATTTTCCTACTTTCTTATTATAAGCCTATGAATAAATGATCTTTGAATACTCGAGTATCCGTAGGTAGGTATCTATATCTGTAAAATATTGCATGCTCTGTTACAATTTCTATTTGAGGTTTGATTTGATGATATAATTACTATCTATCTATCCATCGATCGATTACATAGCATAGCAAATATCAATCCAATAGAATACCATCAACCCCTCATCAATCAATCAACCACCCACCTTATCTACCTACACAAAGTACATAATCTCAATCCTCACTCACCGTCTGAAAATTCATCCTCGCTTATGTATGGGGTAACTGTGCTTGTACTTGGATTATGAATGTGATGATGGTGCGTATGTATGTATGTACGAAATCCCTATGGAGTACCTATGTATGTATGTATATGCAGCAGAAAATTTCTTCCTTCCACCTGAAGGTCTGAATGAGGCTGCTGGTGGGGAGAGAGGATTATCATTTATTTGAGATTGTTTGATTTGTGGAGTGGGAAGGGATCTTAGTTTGTACTCTGTAAGTTTTATGATGTCGATGAGTGAGGATTTATATTTATCCACTACTGCTTGCTTCACTATCTGTACTTCATATTGCCAAACCTGGATATGTTTAATAGATATACTATATAGACATAGATTGGATTGTTTAACACGTGAGTTTTCATGCTTTCTCTGGCTTAAAGCTTAAACTTACTTGTGCCAGCTTACCAAGGTAGGTTTGAACTCGAGGTATCTACCTAGGTGAGAAGCTTAAGAGAAATAACTTCCAACTTCCAACCCCGCATTTTGTGCTCGCTTGCATAGGAAATCTAGGATGGTGAAAATAAAGTTATGCTATTTATGTTACCGTGTATATATTTATGCACTAACCATAATCACTATCACTATCCAATCCAATCCAATGATAATCTTAATTCTAATCCTCGAATACAATATCATTATCTTCAGAATTCGAGAATTAACTCGTTAATAATAATAATCTACACCGAGTATCCAAGTTTCCAGATGGGATCTATGTTCCATACGTATATGTACGCAGCAGACACTATGTACGCAGTAAGTATGTCTTAATCCTCACCTCACAACACAAGCCTCTACCCATCATATCACATCACATCACATCACATCATATCACCAAAAAGATCCGTTCAGCCTTCTAGATCTCCGCCCCAAATAACAAAAATAATCCCACCTCCGAAAAAAATAAGCAAGAATCAGAAACCGCGGCACGACCCTTACAAATTTATAGTTGTGAACACTACCGGATACACAAATTTGGTAGCGGAGTAAGGGAGAATGAGGAGTTTTTGAATCATCCGGATACTTTTTAACTTGGTGCCGACGTTTTTTTGACTTGTGAGTCGCCCCTGAGTGATGTGCGATGGAATTGATGGTTTTAATTCTTACCTCTTTTTTGTTATTATTATTGGGTTTTAGATGGGTTTGATGATGGATGGGTTTATGATGTATAGTACGGGACCCGAGTCTTAAGGTTACTGTTAACGACTTGGATGGTATGAATTGGGCAAGATAGGTAGGTAGATCTAAGAAGTAATAATAATAGTAAGAATAGGTTTTAACCCTATTAAATATCTTAGACTGCTTTTATTATATTTACTTTACTCGAGAGTAATAAATATTAAAATAGATATATCATCATGATTAAAGAACACCTAGCTAGCCTAGGTAGTCAATGTTACTTACTTACAACCCTTCTCTCCACCCACATACAGCAAAAGAGCCTCAATCCGAGCACAAAGCTACACACATCTAAACTCGGCATGACCGAGCTGCAAGTACCGTCGTACACATAAATTTAGCCCCCAAATACTAGGTATATTACATTCCACTCAACGCGTCAACGCGTACGAGATACTTACTGTACATGTAATTTTGTAAGAATGCCTGTGGAAGTACATACTTGCATATGCAGCTACTCTGGGCGCGGAGCTGCTGAGCAGCCGGAGCTACATATAGCGCGTACAGGATGGTGTAAAATAGGATAGGATAGGATAGGACAAGGAGGAAACTTGGTTTGAGGCTGCAGCGCAGCGCTTTGGTGATGAGATTATTTGTAGCTCATGATGAGGTTTGTGTAGCAGTGCTTTGAGTCTGGGATGCGCGTTGGAATTACTAGTAACCTTGTGTGGGATGCCTTGCCTTTGTTGTTAGTCGTGATAAGTGACGTGAGGTGAGATGAGATGTGAGGCGGAGGGACAACGGCGGAGTGAGTTTTGGTATTAATTGTATTTATTAACTATATTAGCAGAATATGTTGAAGGATAACTAGTTCTATGTAGTTACAAAATGAAGCTATGCTAGCTAGAAGATGCTATTTGTGTACCGATTTATGCGGGGTAATGCATTTTATGTTGACTTGTATAAATAGGGATAAGTTCCAAGGGACCACGAATAAGGCCTCGGTGCTTCTAAATCTTTAATTTGTGGAAAATGTATTTCGACATCTCCATTATAAATCAAGAAGATTCGAAATACTCAGAGTCTTAGACTCGATGATTGATGAATTGTTGATCTTCATGACTCTCTAGTGCTGTCTCCGCGCTGCTGGATCATGGCGGGATCATCAGATATTACGAAGCTCGCGGAACGGAGTGGAGGTACACACAACGATCAGTCATGGGCTCTGACATCCTCAATTCAGGATTTGTTCGTCAATTAGCTCATATGAAGCTCATCACTGCCACAACCTTGTCTGGTGCACAGAAATCATAATGTATAATTAGAAGTTCGAATAAGAAAAACCCGATCTATCTATCTATAGCAAATACATAACATCATACATACATACATACATATACAGCGGCCCGACAGAACAAACTTTTCACCAAGAGCTCAAACTCAAAAACCAAGAGTCTCATACCTACCTAGTTCAATAAAAACATAGCATACTTCAAAGCCTGAAGTTAGCCAGGATTAGATCACGCAGTCAAATTGAAGGTTTGAACGCAAATCTTAAGAATCATCACGAGCGGACATCTAGGTCTTGTTTCCATTTCTGTTAACCCGTGTCGGATTTTCACTATGCCAGGCTGTCATCGTATTGTATTCCCTAGAGGATAATCCGAGATCTTCACATTGGGCTGCGAACAGACCTAGGCGAGCAATTGCTTTTAGTGTTTGTTCAAAAATAACTTTTATACGAAAATCAACTAAAACATCTCATGATTAGATATTTCAATAAAATATACCTACGGAGTAAATTATTAGCATGCTAGAATCACGAAATCCTGGACATTAGCACAGAAAGCCTCATCGCGAATCTAACACGCTTCCCTAGTTTTCCCCACCCATTTAGTTGGTGAGTAACGCTGTGTACTACTGTAAGTAAAGTATGGAACTGGGGATTGCGCACTTTAATGTTGTATCCCCGAGAGTGGAAATTTCTGGAAGGGCATAGGATAGGATAAGAGGATGTCAATGAGGCGGCTCGGTGTATCTCAGCGTCGTGTTCTCTTGTCCGGAATTTGAATGAATAGGTATGAATGGGTGGCTTTGTAAGGCTAGAAGGGATGGATTATTTGGGGTCGCGGAATTCTGTGGAATGAGCACCGAAGATTGCTAGGTAAGGCAGTAAGGTATTTGGGTAACTGGAATTGGAAGGTGTGTCTGGTATATTTAGACGGGGGTTTGCGTCTGTGAGTGAGGTTAGTGAAGTTAGTGAAGTTAGTGAAGTTAGTGAAGTTAGTGAAGTTAGTGAAGTGAGGTTCAGTTGGATACGACATTAAACGGAAAACTACTGCGTATGTATGGAAATTGAATTGATACGCTGGAAAGTCATCCCCTTTTCCATGGTCTAAAGTGGTGGGTGGCTGTGGCTGAAGAGATGAACAAATTAAGAAATTAACTACCTAATTAACTAATTCTCAATTCGAGTCTTTCATTGGTCAATTCATTAATCACCGCCACACTATACACGCATCACGTACCTCCTGTTATTTTTCATCTCATCTTTAGCATCATCTATGCACAGGTATTAAAGCCGTCAAGCTATTGCAAATTCCCCATCCTATCACAAAATACGTATATTAGTGCCGCATTCAGGAAACTCAGCTAGGAACTCATTGACACCAACAATCCTACGGCCCACTCACACGGATATTGATTGATATTGATACATTTACTTCACATCACGAAACCTATTCTGCTTGATCTTGCCACACTTGCGTTCCCGTATATGTAATCAAATTAATGATAATGTGTAATGTGCATAAACCTAGTCTGACGCGTGGGAGAACGAATTGTATGCTATGTATGGTATGGGTATGATATAGAACGGAGAATGGAAAATGGAGAACAACCCAAATAATACGAAACTCTCACCAAATATACACGCTTCCTGGTGAAAGTTTCAAATAGTAATTACCGTACAGTATGTACTCCATATGTATCTAGGTAGGTACCTATAGTAGAAAACTCCCGTAGTCCTAGAGCCGCAAGCTATACTCGCTACAGATACAGTCACCTACCTACCTGTCTACCTAGTATCTACAGCACATACAACCGATAACATCCGAAATTCACGTTCCTCATAGAGTATTAGAGTCATAGTAATAAGAAGCAAGCATGCAATATTGCAATATCCGAATCACAAACCATTCAATTTCCATCAAACGTCCTGCCTGCACTGCACTGCACACATTTTACTAATTACCCAGCTTTACCGCACTCGTCCTAGCAATACAGCTCTACGAAATCCTTTCGTAATCACACGCAGTCACGCACCCACGCACCCAATGCGGTTGTTGTCTAAGACCCCATCTCTCGGATACGGAAGATCTTCGTTCGTCCTTGATTTTCGGCGGTGCTGGCTCAACCGAAATTGCACCTCATCATCATGGAAGCTTTTGCTGCTTTTTCTAGAATATTGTTTGATTTACATGCGCAGGAACCGACTGAGTAAAGGATGTCACTGTAATGGTTTTGATTGATTGATTGAAGGATGGATGGATTGATTGATTTGATTGATGGATAGATGTGTTGTCAAACAGCCAAATTTATCCATGTACGCCTTGGATCAAGGTTAAGGATGCCAATTGCAAATAGGAGGAGATTGGGATTTTCGGGGTCTATGCAAAAGTCGTGTATACATGATATGATGCATATATTTCTGCGGAGTAGTATGGAATTCCTCTCTTATGAGACTGACCAACCAACCAACAGTCCGTATGACATGGTTCCAACACCTCGTCCACTTTTCGCCTTCTTCATTTCCTTGGGTTTATTTTTAATTTTCTATCTGAAGAATGATCTGCTATGCAGCTAGGAAGCGTACAGAAAGGATGATAGATGGGTTGATAATTCATCGAGCACGACACCTCATTTCATGCATGCATGCATCCTTCCTTTTTCCCTTTACTCTGATCGACAGCACAGGAGAGGAATATGTAGTACCATGGGAATTAATCAATGGAATTGTAAGTACGAAGGTGCGAAGAAGAGGGGTATATCTCGGGTACGTGCAGCTTCTTCAGGGCAATGGAGATTGTTTGCGAGAGAGGTGGGACAAGGTGCTGGGAGGAAGCCTTGTATTGTGATGTATAGGTGAGGCATTGGTCAAGTGCTTAATGGCAACGCAAAGGGATGAAACATCTTGAGAAAATACCTGTGATCCGGCTCGAGAATAATCAAATCAAATACTCTTTTGATTGTTTGAGCTACTCGTCATATCCGATAAATGTATCACAAACAATTCTCTCTTTCTGCTTTACAAATGATTATCTGTCTACCATCTAGAAGTTCTAGTGGGACAAAAAGCTCCATTCCCGACGAGGAAAGTTTGCATCTCATTTCTTGAGATTGTCGGGAAGGTCTCATGCATATTTTGGAAATTACTCGGTGATACAATGTTCAATGCTGAGGTCTGTCAAGCTGAATAGGCGCTTTCTATGATGGATGACAGGACTTTGATGGAAAGCTCAGCTGCATTGTAGTACGAAGACACGACAGAAACCCCTATGGTATCATTGTCATGTATCGTGACTTGGCATGGATCATCAGCTTGATGAATTATCCATTGGAGGTAAATGTCCTCATGCATAGTTGGAGAAACTCATGATTTACTTGTTGCTTTTGATGAAGATGGATTTAGCATTTAGGATTTTGTGGAAGATGTTATGTAAATGATGAAAGTATCTGCGGTTTAATATGCATGATGAAAGAACAATTTGTAGCGTCTCATATCGTAATACCTGTTTGAATTCTTGAATTTATGCTTGTATATTGCTTAATATTTCAACATTTGTTGATGCATTCGCCGTTGAAATATATCTAAGCACTTGGCATTCTGCGGCTGCCTGGGTCTACTTCTCAGGCGAAGGGGAAATCTTCTCGCGGCAGGAACTTGCTACAAACCTTTTGGATTCTGTAAAGCTATATTTTGCTGATTTTGCTTTTTGAATTGGGGAACTCAAACTCAACCTAATTCATGCATACCTGGTTAGGATGGATTAGACAATTAAGCTCACAAAGAGTTCATTCTATCCATCGCGACAAAGAAGAAAGTCTTATAAAGAAAGCATCAAAGATAGCTTATGGGAGTAATCGAGAAGAAGAGGACGGTATAATTGATAAAGCAATATGAGAATGGAATATCTCCGTTTGCAGAGTCTAAAAAGATGTCCACAAAGGATCAAATCAGTTGGAGTTGACTTTTTTGAGGTTCTTCGCTGGATAGCTTCTGCCGAGAGCGCGCCTTGTCATTAGAGACGGGAAATCTTTGCTCGTTTTAAGTTATAATTGTGGTAAGTAGCTGTAGCCATTGTAAATACAATTTTTGTATTTCTATTTGATTTTCAATAACCCAAGAATCTCGGCAAGCACATATCTTGAAACTTGAGGTACGTCCGAAAATATTCCCATAATTGCCTCCATTATTATTTCATTGTGAGGAATGTACCGATTGTTTTCTTGAGAATCTTTCTTCCGCGAAGCTTACTTAAATACAAATGGAAGCTTAGTTATTTCGTATGAAAGAAAAGTTGATGCGACAGTGAAAGCTTGCACAAAGGACATCCCAAGCAGGACTTCGACACAATTCTTGGTAGTCAACCCAGTAATCTAAAGCTTCTTCGTCCGTGTAGGATTGCAGTCATTAGTAGGCCAAACTTGGGAACAGAAGTGGAAGCAGAAATAATCACACATATCCGTCAAGATGCCACCAAAAGAGTAAGTCGGTATGGAGATATCACAAACACTCATGCAATCTAACTCTTTCTCAGGACACCGGATGACTCGGAGCTGGAAGGGGCTTCGGAAGATGAGGGTCAAGGACAATTTGAAGAGGTTGGGCAACCTGCACCGCCTCCAGTCAAACCGCCTAGGAAGTTGAAAGTTCCTAAATTCTTGACTGATGAGATGCCTGTTGATGTGGCTCCTGATCCAGCAAACACCTTTAAAGGTCACGAACAACCGTCGGTTAATGAGCGCCTTGAACAAATCAAGACTTTTCTTGCTGATGAAGATGTGAACCGATGCTTAGATTTCAAAGACAAGCTCAGTCAAATCCAAGAATACCTCGCCCATGTTGAGGAGAACCAACTCCCACGGGATTGGAAATTGTTCAAAGATGCGAAGGTGATGACAGAAGCACAAGCCGATTGGCATGAACGCATGGAAAATTCAGATCTCGGCGCTCCTATATGTGTAGATTCTCCTCAAGTTCAACCATTTAGTACGAGGCTCATGTCGAATGAAGTAACTCTTGCTATTCGAGAGACAAGGGAGGTAAATGGCATCCAAACACAAGCTCGCGAAGATCGTCCTCCTTTCACAATACAACGTACTAAGGATCATTCTATATTTCTCAGGGCCATAAAAGAGGATGCCAGGAAAACTCTGACGGATCTTACGGAGGAGGAACAGAATCGTAATCTTTTCAAGATTGAGAACCGAGCATACGGTGACGCCAAGAATAACCCGGCATTAATTCCCCTTTGGACAGATCCTATTCGTGGTCTTTCTGAAACTGGAAAGAGTCAAAGTAGCAATGATCCTTGGTATGGCAATGGCCATGTATTAGGTGTCACTCCACAAACGGTGAGGAGGGCAGAACCAAAGCACAACGAGCTACCGCCTATCATCAATGCATACCAGGAAGTTGTACGATACTACTTGGACATGTACCGAGACAACGTTCTTACCCTCGGAATTGGAGATCAAAGACACGCCAAGAACTGGAACATAGCGGTTTTAAAGGCCTTTTTACGATTATTTCCGACGCCAGAGGCCAAAGATCTGGAGCGTAACGCTAACGTATATTCAACTGGGCAAAGAAAAGGCGATATGACAGATGAGGAGTATAGAGTTGTCAAAGACGATTGGAAGAACTACAACGATCTACAGGATAAGCTATTGGAGCATCTCTCTGCTAAGACTACTCCTCAAGTACAATTCTACTTTGACGAGCCGGATATGGTCAAGACAGATATATATGAGCCTACCAAGATTAATATTCCCAGAGAGTATGGCGAACGAATACGGGAAGTGCGTGAGATGCAGGACGAGATTGTCAGATATTTTAGGGAATGTCGTGATAATGGGGGTCCGCAAAAGTGCAACTGGTTCACATTGGGAAGAATGGCGGAGATACTTGCACCCGTCGAGCCTGAACTCTTTGGTGAAGTGGGACAACATTGGGCGCAATTCAGAACCAGGCTTCTTCCTTTGCTTTGGGACAAAGCGTACCATCCAGGAGATAAGGATCAGTGGCTCAAGCGTCGTGATTCGACAGAGAGAGCTGTGATTGATCCTTACATCGAGAGATTGCGAAATCTTTGGACTATTCTTTTTGACGAGAATCCTGAACTTCAACGCGAGGAGTCCACTGTGCAGAACGGCGAACCATGGATTATATTGTTACCATTACAAAAGGGGGCTCTACGGACGGACCCAATAAGACATAAGTTAGCGCCTAACTTTCAACAACCGTTCATCTTCTATGTGCCTTGGGTTACTCCTAAACCTGAGCTTTCGCCGAATTTGAAAAACCAATTAGACAGAATTCATCGGCTTTTAAGACTTAAAGATGAAGCCGGAGGTAAACTAACAGGCACCCAATTGTTAACACTTCGACAGAATCTAGCTCCTTTCTTCTATCCTAGACTTCGTCGAATGTATGATCAGACATTCAGTGATGATCAAAGAGTGAGAGATCCTGCACTTAAAGCATTTTCTCAAATCTTTAACCCTTGGCTCGCGGGATTCGAAGGAATTGGAATTGAGATTAGGAGTTATAAGCCCGAGGAGACTCAGGCTTTGCTAACGAAGACCATACCGGCAGTTTTAGCAAGTGCAAAAGATGAGGTGAAAGCTCCTCAATTCAGGCAACGAGATCCGTCGGTTCTGTATCAAAGTCAACAAAGATTGGACCCGGATGTGTTAAATACTCTTAATGTAAAACTGAACCGAGACCTTCCCGATGATGGTGATGTGGGAGATGCTACGAATGGAGGTTGGTCCCAGGACTTGAGAAAAACTTATACGAAAGTATTAGGTCCTCCGACAGTGCAAAGCATGAGAGAACAATTAGCCTATCTTGAACAAGAAATTTCGGAAGTGAGGCCTAATGATGACGTTGGTCGAGGTGCCTTGGAAAAAGAACGGGCTATTCTTATGCGAAAGTGTGAAGAGGAGGAGAGACGAACCATCGTGGGAGTCAAGGCTGCTGCGAATTCCAAGCTCAAGGATAAAATAATCACTGTTTTACAGAGTGTAGATTTTGTTGGCACAGATGTTGATACCGACAATCTTCCCGGAGTCTTTTACCTCGCCACTGAACCACCTTCACCCATGGAAATCCATCCTACAAAAGTTAATACTCTATCTCTTGTCCCCGATCTTGACACTGGTCTTCATCGTAACCGGGAGAGAAATTGGCAAAAATTTATCTTAGGCTACCCTGAACAAACCTCTCGTTATGACACGGGCACACTAAACTTTCAGTCGAAGGCTGAAAGAAGGGGCATCCAGAGAGCGGCTATTGAAATGTCTTTGAATTTTCTTGCTTCAAATCATGAGCAGCGTCGACCAGACGATCGATTTCGTCGTGTTTTACTTCCTTCGCCATGGCAATCACCTCTACCAGAAGTACCGATATCAATGGAACTTGAACCGAGTAAGCGACCTGTGGAATTGGACACGAAATATTACACTAAACTTATGGTCGAATACACGCGATGGAAAGAAGATGATTGGTATGATGCTCGTGAGAAGATCATCAAGGTTTCTCCGGGTCAAGTGCCTCCGCCAGCTAATTATAATGGTCCTTTTGCCATTCCGACAATGTTCGAATTCCAAGACACTGCCGCCAAATATTTGGGAAACTTGACTCCGACTTGGGACGCTTTGCTACATGCATCCAATGTTTTTTCACGTCCATTCCTGACTGCGGTTCTTGCACGTGTACAGAGGGGTGTAGACTTTGAGCCTGGTGAATCGGTCGATCCTCTTTACGAAGAAGCAAATGGTCTCGAAATAAGATTGACACCGCAAGAACTTGGTGTCCTTCGGGAATTAAGTGAACCATCTTGGAATTTTCATTGGCTTCCATATCCTCCGGTTGCAGATGAAGCAGAGGATATGCCTCGGCAGATTCTCGATGAGTTTGAAAGAGATATTGATGCGTTGCCAGAAGCAGAAAAGCCTCCATACTGGTCATCAGGACAACCTCCAACTGCTCCTCAGATTTTTGATATACCAGAAACGCAGAGGGATTTTCGTCTGACTAATAGATATGATCCTACTGTTAAATCTATCGAGTTTATCTCCATGGCTGTCCTTCTCCAACATATAAATAATCGTCGGCTTGATCAGAATTTGCCTACGTGGGATGTGGATACTGCGAGAGCTCACCTTATAAGGATGCATAAATATCATCACATACAGTATGTTTTGTACTAAACCATTGAATGTAAAAAATGGCTAATTTGTTTAGTTTTGAACCAGCTGAAGAAATAGATATACAAGAGGGCTTAGACAATGATCGCGTAGCAAGAGTGGCACTTACAGGTCACCCCGAGATGAAGTATGTAGAAAGCCGAAGACGAGCGCACAACGCATATGGAATTCAACATGAGTATCCTACCAACACCTACACTGTCCAATACAACTCGCATCGCTTCACAGGACCTCCCATTATCCAACCTAATCTCTACAATTTTATGGAAAAAGCTTCCTTCAAATTCGGTAGGGCCATCGCTATGTACACGGAAGAACTCACATTGGGCGAAGACCATTACACGCCAGATCTTAGTCTCGAAATTATCAATTACAGCTACGTGAACACGATAAAGCGCTCAAAAGGCGTGGAGCTCTACCCCGGCGAACCAAACGTACCCCGCGCAAATCCCAACCCAAATAACATAACCCTCATCCGCATCGCATCTGATCTCTACAAAGTCGCACCCGATATCTTCACTGATCATGGTCTCAACCCTGAAACTCTGCTCGATCCTATTGTCCCATTGCAAGAGCGAATGCAATACGCAGCCCTAATGATCCAAACCCAAGTCATCGAAGAACTAAACAACAACTGGGAATCACGATTCCCTATCAATGAAAAAGTGTGGGGATTCGCACGAGATCGACTTGTGAACCCAGTGCGTACTGTGGTAGCAGGCCGTACATTTACGGAATATCATCAGCCGCGTCAATACTTCAGTATGCGGAGATGGCCACCTTGTGAACAGAGTCCTGCTAGTCAACAGGTTATTAGGGATAGTGGACCCGTGTTACAGACGAAGATTACTGAGGTTGTTGTCCCTGAAAAATCAAGTCAGGAGAAGAAAATAGAATTATTGAGGCAGAAGAAGGAGCCGAAGCATATCGGAGGTGGACTGCCCAATTTTCCATTTGGGGAGACACCTTATCAGCAGGCTTATTTGAGTTGGAGGATGCAGGAGGATTTGAAAGATGGTAGGTCTCAATTTTCCCTTTTCCCTAATTTACAAATCACCAAGATACTAATTTCCTTATTCCCCAGTCCCCGAATTCAACCCCCCACCAAAAACCGGCCTGTCCAAATATCTTCCCACTCTCAATCCTCCTGCACCAATAGACCACTACGCCCTCCCCAAAATACCCTCTTCTTTCCAAGCCCGCAGTATCCCCATCGAGCTCCTCCGTCAACGAACCATCACCGCCGCTCAAGCCCTCCCCGGTCTACCTTCCCTCACCGAATACTACAGAGAAGCCGACGAAGCGCAAAAACTCCACGAATACAACCTATGGAAAAAATCCAACGAGCGGATCCAAAAAATCGAAGCCTTAACAGGGAAGAGCTGGCAAAATATGTCGAGAAATGAGAGGGAGCAGTGGGAAGGTGAATTGGCATCGTTGGATATGGAGGAACAGAGGGCGTTGCAGTATGCGGGGGGAATTGGTCCTACGGGTGATGGAGCGGGAATGCCTCGTCTTCTTGATGCTGGGGAGAGGGGCTTGGTGCTTAGGAATGGAAAGGCTGGGGGGAAGAGAAGTAGGAGTGCGAGTGCAGTTGGGAGGATGGGGAAATCGAAAAAGAGGAATGGTAAACCTTCGCCGATTTGGGTTGAACCGGTCATGTCGGGTGGATTGTAGGATTTCGAATGTTGAAGTTCTGAGAATCTATGGATTGGACAGTTGGAGAATTAAAATTGTAGGGAGATTTACGGGTATTTGTTACATAGTTGTTTTTCTTTTTGGAGTAGTTATTTATGGTCGTAGTCTGCATGTATTTGATATCATGTTTATTATAGGATTCGCATATTCTGTGATTTTATAGGTTTACTTGGACTCATTGAGTAAGATTACATGAATGTGAACTTGTATTTATGGAATTGGAGATGTATATGAAAGATCGCATTCAAATGAAAAACAGAATCTAAAACATATGTAATATGGATGTTGCATTGGAAGATAGGCATCATGACGCAACTCTGGATTGACTATACATTCGCTTATACATGTATGGGGGATTGATATGATGTATTGAGTTTGGCGAATTTGATTTCAGTTGTAAGTATTAACAAAGCATGATCTATTTAGCTAACATATTACAGGGCTTACAAGCTGTCAGTATTCGACATACTGATTTTGAAACGAGATCAAAAGGCAAAATGCCCCTATCCATTCCTCTGTTCTAGTCTAAATCAACACCGCCACATCTACTCGTATTTGTGGCGCTTCGCAATAGCGATACTAAATATGTGGCTCAATCCCCTGCAACACCCCGCCATCACCCTCTAGACGTAGTAGCGATCGACAATCATATCCTGCTTTGAGATAGCGATGCATCATTACGTCAGGACGAATTCACAAGCTTAAGTTATGCGCAACCCTCTATGACTTTTCTAATTTGTATCTAGATAGAGAACAATCAAACTAATTTTGTTTCCTACTACTTTCTTCCATTACAATGGGTTTGTTCAGACATAAAGACAAAACTCGTCCCGAGCCGCCTCCGGTAGCTCCTCCAATTCCCTCAGAGGAAGAAAATAGGGTACTGAATAATCGCAATAATGATTCTTTCAGAAGTAGCAATATATCGAGCGCAGATACTCGGATAAACCAAAATTCAAACCAAAATCCTGGAACTACGACAACCACTACCACTACAACTACCACAAGTAAGTATATGAAAAAAGATCTGTCTAGCGCTGAGGCAAAATCTGACATAGAATAAGCCACTACAACAGTTCATAATGATGGTACAACACAAACTCATACCCATCCATATGACCCTTCAATTGACCCTCCTCCTGCATCCTCAACCACTTACCCATCGAATGAACCACCACTACTAGCAAATGAAACTTCCCAACAACCTCAGACATCCATACCCTCAGAAGGAGAACCTTCGCTTAGAAGAAATAGCACTGGTGGCGGCCGGATCATCCCCGAACGTTCACCACTCCGAAACTCCAATCCCGTGCCTCCCCTCATGCTAGACCAAACTACCGACCCTCAAACCCCCAATCTAGCAAACGCCACTAGCACCAGCAGCAATCCCCAAACTATTCCCCAATCCAACCAAAACATCCACAACCAAAACCCAACCACAGAAACCACTCCCACTAATCCACCCCGAATGCCAATCAACGAGCAACAAACACCCAGCAGCCCCACCAAATCCAACGTCAATTTCTCCCGTCCAGGAGGTAAACGAGAAAATATCGTGAATGCCGCACGGGGTATACATGGAGCAGGCGAAGCGCTAAGAGGAAGCGTGAATTCGGCTATTGCTGAGGGATTTGGAGATCAGAAAGATTTGGAGCAGAATCAAGTGGTTAAAGCGCAGGGTATGAGGGATTTTACCAATAGTGGATTTAGGGAGAAGGCGGGAAATAGATTGAGGAGGAGAAGTCGGGGGATTACGAATGAAAATCGGGTTGGCGTTGTGGGGGAGAGGGTTTAGGTGTTCTTGTGCTTGTGGAGTGGAGTGGATTGGACTGGATTGGATTGGGATGTGATAGGATCCTGGACTGTAATATTTTTGATTGGAGGGAGCATTGATGTGTGTGGATTGGGGTTGGGATTCGTGGCTACCGGATTTGGTGTGCGTGATGATATGTATAGTATGAGATATATTTATTTTTACAATTAAAAATACGTAAATGATATGATGTTGAACCCGTGAGTATGCAGATGGATTATTAGTATACAAGCTGAAAATATTTCATCCCAACTCTAGTATTATAGTAGGGGTATAAACCACTTGAGCTAGTATTGGAGTTCATTTCAGGCAGGTGATCGATCAAATACCACATATTTCATCACAATCACTAACTATTACATAAATCTTCACATGAAAAACAATAAGCCGAAAAAAGAAAAAAACATGTGTTAATACTTACCAGATATGTATAGAAAGACAACTTAACTTACAAAGTCAAGGCTCCTACCTATTATTACCTTCGCAATGCTTATCAAAAACAAAGAAGGAAAAAAAAAGAAGAAATCCCCACTTACCTAGATAGACCACTTACAAACTCTCAATCAACATCTCTCCTCAAAACCCTAACCCCACCATCCCAATCATTCATCCTAACAACCCACTCCCTCATATCCGCCTCAACCTTCACCCTCCTCCTAACCCACTCCTCCTCCTCCCTATCCGTCATCACCCTCCCACTTTCCACATTTCCCGCCTCATCCAATCCCATCGACTCCGCACACCTCTTACAAGGCGCCGGATCATAAAGCGGTTCATCCACCACCTGCAGACACGGCACACGAGCCGCAAACGAAAACTCCAGAGAAGTAATAGGGATTTCTCTCGAAATCGAATCTGTCGATTGCACTACTAAACGACGAGCTAAGCCGCCTAGAGCTTCGACAGCGGAGCTGGCAGATTGACTTACGGTTCGTGTGAGGGTTGGACTTCGTGATGGGCTGGAGCCGGAACTGGTTGATGGTGTTTGATTGGTGATGACTTGGTTTTGGGAGGAGCTGCATAGGAGAGAGTGTTGGGTGTAGGTTGTGGTGATGTGGCCGCAGAAATGGTGGAAGGTTTTTTCGGCGTGGCAGGTTGTGGCGGGGTCGGGGGATTGGCCTCGGGGGAGGGTTCGGATGTTTTGGGTTGGCATTTTAGGTTTGGGTGTAGGGTTGGTGTTCGGTGTGTGTTAGTTTTAGTAATTTGGTTGAGCTGGTGCTAGTATGTGTTTATCTTAGTCTTGGTGTTAGTGTTAGTGTGACTTTGGCGTATGGGAATGGAGGAAAAGGAAATGGGGTGGAGCGTTACTTATTTTTCACAGAATAGAGTTGTTCAGGAAAGGAGTGTGGAACAATAACATTGTTCATAAAGTTGAGAAGGGCTTCATTAATTTGTACGGAACAAAGAAACTGGAGGATTGTTCCGTATTTCCTTTGTTCTTACAAGGACCTGAGTCCTCTCAATTCAGCCGGTATGGGATAGCCCTCTCATTTTTTCGTCCTTGGTCTGCTATCTACCCCTAAAAATCACAGTGACGAATTAATGTGATACGACCAGACAAGATGTGAAAGAGTCTCTAGAATTAGGGGCCCTCGATGACACTCAACCGAGGCAAGCTGGTATTAGAGATTGAGTTCTGCTATTCATAATTTGGTGATAATGTATGATGATAGACTCTTCAGTATATAGATAACACAAGAAATTATCTCCACGTCTGGATAGCAAAAGCTTGTTGATGCTCATCCCGCTTGGCAACAATACATGGGACCTGGAACTACCCTGTCTTGCCCATTCGTGAAAACTACAAACAATTTCACTCCAATATAGAGCTTTAATACATTTCAATGTGTGAAATCCAAACTAGGCATCAATACCTAAATGAAAAAGAGGATTTGAAGATAGGACATAGCGTATCATAAATACTAAGCCTGAACGTGCTATGCAGATTCATCATTCCCGATGGAAAATTACTCCATGTGGGCCCGAAAATCATACCACATAGCTTTGAGGAACGTCAACTCACTAAGTCTATTCTCTCTAAACATGACCTATCTCAAACATGGGCCATTGAACCCCCAGGGAAAACGCAACTAAAAACACACATTACTGAAACACAATTCACATTTATATCATACGCATTTTGTTGAAAGAAAAAAGTTGATTTTTATTATACCCACTCGGGTCTTGCTATTTACCCATTGTAGATTATGTACTGATTTAAAGAAATTGACTGTAGGAAAGATAACTAGGAAATATCTGTACTCTATATAGATTCTAGGAAAGTGACGCTAAGAAAATGACTCTAGGAAAGATCTATACTCTATATAGACTCTAGGAAAGTGACACAAGGAAACCAATGCCAGGAAACTGACTATATGAAACTGACTCTAGGGAAGTGACTTGTATGAAATATAACTAAGAGAGATATATAGACGTGCCAAAGGAAAACCAAAAAGAGCATTATACACAGACTTACCTTAACTTATGTAATCCACGGCCACAACCACAACTCTCCAACCCTCAGGGACTTTAACTCTAAATGACTCTCCCTGTCCCGGCTCTGGGACCCTAACTTCCTTTCTCTCATAATCAAGTCCATACATAGGAACTGATCTATAGATAGGACAATTACGAGCTTCGTAAGATTCACGAGATTCATAGATTCTAGGTTCTTCATATCTAGGACTTTCCCGAGTTCGGTATCTGCTACGATTTTCAAACGCCTCGTTCGAACGGTTTTCGTTTTGTCTCTGCCTAAAACGCTCCCCAACACGTTCTTCCTCTTGTGCTATGTTGTATTGCAAACGCTCTTCCAATCTCCTCAATTCTTCTTCTTCGGCTTCGGCTTTTCTTCTGAGCCTTTCTTCCCGATTTTCTTTTCTTGTCTGAAGTCTTTCTCTTAATCTTTCTCTTTCCTCTCTTCCCTCCTCAAAATCCCTTAATATCTCTGCTCGTGTGCGGCTTGCAGATGAGGTTGAGGATGAGTATTGATAGGTAGATCTAGATTCATATCTAGTTTGTGGGGGAGGTGAAGTTGATCGTCGAGCGTTTCTTTGACTGTCATATTGGTCTTCATATAGATAAGGAACGTGAGGTCTGCAATACTCTTCTCTGTTTGCAGCATACCCAGCAGCACGGGCATCTCGAAGGTTTTCACGGTGTTCGTCGGATTCTGATGGACAAGTTGGATAAGGTGGATAAGGAGCTGTTGGTCTGCAGTACTCATCTCTTCCAGGGGTATTTTGCGGTCTATAACTACCTTCATATGACTCATGTTGATTTGATCTGTCTTCACGTCTGTAATATGGTTCCTGGCAATCTTCATACTCTTCCTCGAACTCAGAGTCTGATTTTGCATCAGATTCGAGATCAAGAGCAGCTAGCTTGAAGAATATTTCCGGACTGATTTTCGCATCATCTAATGATGGAGGTGGTTTTTCGCCATTGTCGGTGTTGTATACGGGTTTTTGGGTTTTGTTCGACATGTTATCTTACCTTTCGTTTTGTAGCGCTTGTACCTGAATGCAAATATGGCGAAATGCTGTGGTTTGTTTGTGGATGATTTGTTGTGGTATGTATATATATACAAAGGATGTATTGAATGATCTGAAGGACAAGACAGTGGGGAATAGGGAAGGTCAAATAGTGGAAGTTGTAACTTGTTCGGGAATTGTTAATTCTGGAACAAAGAAGGCACCAAAAACTTTGGTTAAAATGAGATTATGGAGGGCTGAAGAATAAAGAAAATAGAAAGAAAGATAAAGAAAAACATCAAAGACTTGATTCATCCAAAACTACTCAAATACTTGATTTGCATACCAAAGCATGATCTTTAACCTATACTAAGAATGATCACAGGATGTTTAACTATACTACTCATCCTCTCCCTTTTTGAAATGTAATTGTATTAGCTAGATTATCAGGTATCATTGATATTAAAGTGTTCTTTCCAATTCCCGGACGAAAGAAAGCTTTCATCCGTGCCCTTTTTCCATACCATTTATCCATCCCCATGTATCCATTGCCCCTTTTGTTTTCCAACCATCGCCGCGATATTGACGGTATAATGTTAGTTATTATATTCCTCCTCTGCTCTAGTATTAATGCGAGATGCTCTGTACCGTGTCTGCCCTTTATTTCCTGCGACGAATCGGACCGTAACGTATTTACAGCCAAAACAGCCACTTCACAGCCCTTGCTGCGCCTCTCCCAATACCCATCACCACCCTACACAACACAACCATAAACCAAACATACCACATTACTCCCACCAATGCCCACTCCACCACGACCCACCCTCCTCTCCTCACCCATCTAAACCTTCGCTTCCTTCTTCTGATCATCTTATCCATACTAGCCGTCAACTTATTAACTTCCAGTATCTGACTGGTGACCAAATCTTTCGACACCTCATCCGCTTCATCCGCTGCCTTTCTCGCCATTGGAGTTAAGTTGTCCATTATGCGACTATGCAGAGCTCCCATGTCGTTCAATAGTGTTTGGATAGTATTCATGGAGAAGTTTTCTTGAGATTGTTGCCATAACCGTACTGAAAGTTGAATATCATCACGAATGATGTTCGCTGCTAGAATATGCTGTTGCGATCTCGGGACCAGGGGAAGAGACTTATTGGTAAGAGAACCGATACCTTCATAGCATTTCTCTTGCGCAGTTCGAAAGTCTATTGGTTCCGCGGCCCGGCGTGCAAGGTACGTTGACTTGACACCGGAACTATACAGACGGGTTTTGACATAAGCAATGTCACGTCTCGTGATGGGACCACGATGAACGGATATTCCGCTATCCGAGTGACTCCATCGACGATTTGCATCAAGTGAGGGGCGTCTACTTTCATTGGCCTCGATTTGTGACAAGCCAGTGACTGGCATTCTATCGACCTTGTGACCGGGGTATCCAAGTATGGCATTGAGTCGAGCGTCTGCGCTACGACCACCTCGGGCAGAGCTCCTTTTGCGAGTTGACATATCGGATACATCAGAAGTGCGCCGGTTTTCCCCTTCTGGAGACGATGCTGGTGAAACCCCGTCGATCTCAATCCTTGGGGGAGGCTCAAGTTTTGACCTAGATGAAATTTCGACTTCTGTAGATTCTGCTTCGATGACTGCTTCTGCTTTGCGGCTCTGTGTGGACCTCCCACGATTTTCCAAAGGCGACTTGAATGTAGGCATATCATTAATATAGGTTGGAATCGATTTGTCTTGCGGCACCTCCACATCTACTGGCCTCGAGTCTTGTTTATCAATAGAATTTATCTTTTCGTTTTCGCGCACTGGCGTGTGGTAATCTTCCATATCAGATTCATCGGTCGACGCAGCAGAATTATTCGAATCCTTTTTCCACAAAAACTCACTAACTCTAGCAACTGGTCCACGAGAGCCTTTGAACAATCCTCGAATGCCAGAGGGTTCATCGCCTTTGGCCCTCCGTAGGCTACTCTGTTTCTTGAGCGGCTTTGAACCCTCATCTTTCTCTCTTGCTATAACTTTCTTCGTAGGGCTCATAGATCGTTTACGAACATTTATAGTTTCAAGAATATGCTCTCTTGGATCAATTCTCGAGCCTATAGAACCAATAGAATCAATCGAAAGTCGAGATTTGTCTGCTTCATATTCACCACCACGGTCTCTGCTATGTTCACGGAACGGGTTAATCTTGGACCTGACCCGTGATAATGCCCGCTTTCTATTTGGAGATGACCGGCGACTACGAGGTGATGAAAGGTCTAACCCAATACTGGGAACAAAATTAGATAATTTGGAGGCCCGGACCTGTGGAGAATTGGGTGCAGTAGTGTCAAGACCATCTAGAGAGTTTCGAGGACTAAGGCTTGGTACTTCAAGGCTTGGTCGACCTGATGAAGTAGGTATGAATGGGCGTCTTTTCTTAGTAGGAGAATCTTTGTCGATAGCTTTCAAATCGGTCCTTCTTTGGCGCAGGCTTATACTTGAATCAGATTTGTCCCCGCTGCGGAGCACGGGAAGCGCTGGTGTTTCAATAACCGGAACAGAAGCCTTTCTATCAACCTTGTTCGGTGTCGTCCAATTCGAACCTCCTGATTCTTTCGCAAGCATTTCCAGCATCTGCTTCTCAAGAATGTCTTTACCATAGTCGTCTTCACTTTCATTCGTCCCACGACGCCTTCGTTTTGAGAATTTTTTTATATGCTCACTGTCAGAGGAATCAGAACTAGATCGGCTCCTAGATCGTAAGAAGCGGGAACGCTCGCGGCTTGCACTATTCCTGCCATGTTGTGGGTGAGTTGCGTCGTGTAGCTTGTGCCGAACTTTAGAGGCTGTACTTTCTAAATTTTTATCCGAATCGACCTTAGAAGATCTGAAATCGGGAAGTTTAGTATCGATACGAAGGTCTACAGCCGAGTTCGACTTTTTGTGATGAAAATGGTCCGGCGTCACGAGGATATCAAAATCCTCGGGTCTGCGTGGAATGGATTGCCTGCCTCGAGGAAATATCGGTCTCCCATTTCGATCCTCGATCAGCATCTTGTTATCACCCTGTTCCATCCAATAGATGTCTGCAAGCATGTCTGCAGGGTTGGTAGCCCAGTCGATTCTTGGTCTTGCCAACTTGGGGGCTGTCTGATTCTTACTCACAGCAGACCGAGGTGATGTATGTGGCGAAGGACCTTCTTCTATAGACTTGGAGAAAGGCGGTAGTGCTACATGATTCCCATTGACAAACGTGTCGCTTAAAGCGGCTTTTGAGACCTCGTCAACCCACCATGATACCTTGTAGACATTTCCGAATTCCTCTGCCTCACCATCGATGGAGATCCGAGCCCGAGCACGCACTTTTCTATTCCTTATGTACTGTAAAGGGTTATACTCCCTCCCAAAGACGCGATGAGAATGTTCAGAAGTCGAGCCTGGACTGCTATGTTGATTCGTCTCTAGAAGTCCAGCTTTCAAAGGAGGAACATATTGTAACAATCGACGGTATTGGGCCATAAGCTCAATTGCCCTCTTAGCCTTTTCTGCTCTTGCCAAGGTAGATGCAGAGAAATGATATTCATAGGTAATCTCAGATGCATCTAATGCTATTGGTAAGGGACTGACTCTTATTCCTGACGAAAGACGTGGAGGACTTGTGAGCGTTCTATCATTTCTGTCGGGCTTTGGTGAGATGTTCCTAGACACCCTCCTTTGCTGTTGTAAATGGTGACGCAGGCTACCTCCTGCCATCTCATCTCGGAAGCCTGCAGTGCTTGGAGGTACTGGTGTAGAAACATTGCGTCTCGATGCGATCCTTCTGCTTTCACTGAGATTTAGAGCTAAATTAACAATCTGGGCGGAATCAACGTCCAATCCATTCGAAACAGGTTTATCGGATGCTTCTGTGCCTTGCCCATGCTCGCTTTGTGGCGTCGTATTTTCATCCACCGTATCTTCCTGTTCAATCTCCTGAGCCGTGGGAGCGCTGGTCACATTTGCAGCCAGAGGGCTTCCCACTGCAATACTATTGCGCGACTGTCTTTTGTTCTGTTTTTTGTCCGCTGATTTGCCTTTTAAGTCGTGAAGTAATCCTCGGCTGCGAGATTGATGTTCTGCATTGGACGTGGACGAGCTCTCCCCGTTGCGATGAAAGAGAGAATTTGACAGCAGGAACCCTCCGCCGCTTCGACTTTTATTGTGAGCCCTACTTTTACTCCTGCCATCTTTCTTAGTCCTGTCCTCTATGCTTCCATCCAAGTCCCCCTGTTGTTCTCCTTCATCTTCGTTCAAGGTGCTTGTCGCAAAGCTATTTCGATTGCTTGCTGCCGCACTAGATTCGCCTGTCCCGCTGCTGTCATTACTGTATCGTTGGTTCGAACTCGAATATGTGCTTGAAGTCTTTCGGCGTTCGATCGGAGAAGTGCTGGAACTGTTTCTTGTCGTGGCATTAAGGGTAGGATGGGATGTCATGGTTTTCACTCAGTTGAGCTTTCTGTATGCAATAGCATCCAGGTTATGAGAAAGATTGCTAGTGCATGTTGAAAAGCTGCTGGCACGGAGAACGTTGTCCAATAGATGCGGGTTTGAAGGTTGTAAATTGTTAGATTACTTTAAACTCCGTGTAATCACCAGATTAAGCTTTCACATGCTGGAGGGATGTTGATCCACAGCCATTCGGTAGTTCTGACGCGGAATGATTTTACTGTTTCAAAGACCTGACTATGCCCAAATAGTCATAATGAGACCCTGTTTTATTCAATTCGCAGTATCATTTATGATTATCAGCAAAGCAGTATAATAAAATGTTCAAGAAGTTTGTAAAGTTGCAGTAAGTCAGAGAGCCATAGGACACCGAAAAGATTATGTTGGTAACATTTATAGCAATAAAAAAAGATTGGCTAATCTAATATTCACAGGTATAACCACACTAATAAACCCCTAAATGCAGGTTAAAACTCCTTGATCCAAGCCATGAACGCCATACTTTTCTAGCTACAATAACCACCATTATCCTCTTACTCTCTTGGAGCAGCTTTCCCAGATTTCTCAATCTTTCTCCTCTTGGCTCTTAATGCCTCCGCCTCGGCATCCTTCTTCTTATTACTATAAACCATCTTCTCTAAAATCTTCCTCTTCTTTCTGCTCATCATCATCTTAGATCTCTCCAACTCCTCGTCTTCTTCTTTAGCCTTCTTAGCTGCTTTCTTCTTAGCATCCGTCTTGGCTTTGACCCTTGGGTCAACTTCCTTTTCTTGTAAGGCCACGCCGGACAACTCAGCCTCAAGCTCTCGTTGACGTCGAAGAGCGGCAGTTTCTCCTTCATCCTCACTCTCTTCCGCTTCGGAAAACCCACCGAAAGACTCATCGGCTTTTTCTGGGGCCTCATCAGATTCATCATCGGATCCAGCAACGTCCATACCCTCGGCGGTCTCATCTACATCCATAGCTGTAAGAGGATCTTGTTTTTTAACGGCCGTCTCATCGTCTGAAACATCTGCCTCATCCTCGCTACCACTGTCCATTTCAAGCTCCTCATCCTCTCTTTCTTGATCCTGAAGAGGAGCAGACGGATCGTACTGACCACGTACTTTCTTAACAAATGGACTCAAATGTGGAGGCAATTGTGCACCTGGTGCATAAAGGTCTGGTCTCTTGAGCTCTTCATCGTTGATACAGTCCCAGATCCATTGAGGTTGAATGTAAATACGACCAGGAATGCGAGCCCCAGGTCTCAAACGCTGTGCTGTTTGATTGTCTTCCTTTATTTCCTCTTCTTCCTCGGGTTGAACTTGCATAGGTGGGCGATCAACTACTTGATGGGTAATTGACGGGTCCGACTCATTATGAGTGAAGGCACCCTCTCCAAGAACTGCGTCCCAACCAATACGCTTGCAGCCAAAAGCCCGAAGAATGAACTCGAGAGATTGGCGAGGGGTCTCTCTTGACAAGAAGAAAGTAAACTTTGAAAACAAAGTCGATGGATCTGTAGCAGAATAGGAAGGCTGCATAAGAATATCACCACCTGGTGCGGCTGGCTCGAATTTATCAATGGTCTCAGTTGCCTGTTCCTCCTCTTCGCCATCAGGCGAAGTCTTGCTTGTCTCCTCGGCCTCCTTCTCTGGAGCATTGAGTTGAAGCATTAATTTGTCAATCTCTGCTTGGAGTTTAGGATCAGGCTTTGAGGCATCGCCATTGGTAATCTGCTTTGGTTGCTCAATAGCACCAATGCCATTTCCCTCTAATGAGAATGCTCCTAGACCTGCATCTTGATCATCTCTAGCCTTGTCAAATTTTGGTGGATATACCAATCCAACGGAAGTGTAGAGACGGAAGTTAACGAAACCTAGCAAAGTTTGATAGAACTCGACGAAGGTACCCATGATTCGGAAGTCCACATCTCCAGTGACCCGTTGGTTGAATCTGTAAGGTACTAGCCACAGGATATCTTGTCCTTGTATCGTCGCCTGGTAGTAGATTCCTTTAATAGACAAGAACGACTTGCGCAAGCTGTTTGAGACAATTAAATAGTGCTCGAATTCCAAGCATAACTTCTCGCATCTTGCAATCATCTTTGCAGGAACGGTCGAGGTCGAAGGCAAGTTTGCAAATAAAAAGAGCATCGATAGGCAGTCATCAAGATCTCGTAGCGCATCGATGAATGTAGGGTATCTTTCTCGAATAATATGATCCAAATTATATTTAGTCTTTCCAGTCTTCTCCGGTCTTGATGCATTACGCTCAAGTCTTGCAGCGTCGTGGGCATCTCCTCGTCCTAAAGCTTTTGAGATCTTCTTCTCTAAAGCTTTCTGCTCGCGAAAAGCATCGACAATCTTTTCGTGCAACAGCCATTGGATATCTTTTGTGTAGTAAAAGGTGGTAGAATGGGTCGAGGATTTTGATGCCTTCTTTTTATTTCTTGGTTCCCGAGGGTAAATACCTTTCCAAATACATAACTTACGAAAATCCGGGAGACTATAGGACTCAACAATTAGTGCCTTGATAGAGTAAAGGAAAAAAATAGAAACAGCAGCAATGCGACTAAAGGAATTGCAGAAAGAACTCTATTCCCATTACAATTGATGATTGTACTTACGATATTTGTAACTTTCTGACCGCCTGAGTTCTAGTAATGAAGTTCTTGGCTTGACCAGCAGTTCCCTTCTTCTTGATTCTTCCCATTGTTGCTGTTGCGATGGAGATTCGAATGAAGATGGAGATGTATTTGGAGGGGGGTTCTCGGTCGTGCTGATAAAAAAGTCACCCAGCAGAGAACTTTTTTTTTATTTCTCCATGCTCTTTCGCCCGCTAATCAATCGAGGAAACTTTGCTTATTGGATAGATTTTCTCACCGCCTTGCACGGACCCGTTGACCCCAATGGACAGAACATCACAACAAATCGATTGGTGGAGAGTGAAGGAAGAAGTGAGTGCGAGTGAGTGAGTAAGTGAGTGAGATGAAATGAAGTTAATGAAGGTTTCAAGATCTTCGGGATATATCATAATCTGAGCTTCACTCTTTTGCTCAATACCTCAATAACTCAGTACCGCATGCCAGCCATGAGTATTGATAGGAGGAAGGCAGCTCTTTTTGGCACGGCAGCCGCTGTCCGACTGTTACTCTTTGCATCTTTCCCCGGCCTTCCAGACTTGTTGACAGCCAGAGTCGAAATTTCTACACCAGTAACAAGTTTTAAGAGATGTATATATCCCATACATGTATGCGACCATTAGACCATTGACTAATTCCTTATAGTGCAAGAGGGTCTCTTCCTTTATAATCACAATGTTTCCCCATACGATGGAGGTGTTTACCATCAGGCACCATTGTTCCTCCCCCTCTTCTCTCTCCTCCCGAGCTCCTCGATATATCCCTCATTCACGTATCTACTATACATATTAATCGACCTTTTGAGCGCAAATGCTTTAATCAGCATAGCAGAGTCTGGAGAGGCAGGAAATTCGAGGCTTTTTACTTCTCCTAGGAAGGATAAACGGTGGACCAGTTTCGCCATCGCTGCTGCCTTTCTTTTCAATCCATTTACCATTGCAACATGCATTGGTCGTCCAACAAGCACATTCACAACTTGTGCTATACTCTATGCTATCTCAAAAGCATTAGTTGGTGCATCTTATACCTCAATGTTCGCCATAGCATTCGCAGCGTACCTTTCTATGTATCCCATACTTCTCTTCCCTCCTCTAGCCCTGCTATGCTACGACCGTCAACGTCCGAGCAAGCGCCAAGATTCTTTGCCATTTTTCATGGCCACCAAAGCTGTAGCTGTGGGCGTGTATTTATACTCCCTTTTGCACATGTCCTATATAATCACAGGGTCTTGGGAATTTTTATCGTCTACTTATGGCGTCCAACTTCTACTTCCTGATCTCACGCCGAATGTTGGATTGTGGTGGTATTTCTTCATCGAAATGTTTGACTCCTTTAGGTCATTCTTCCTTGGTGTATTCTGGCTCCACCTCTCCTCGTACGTTGGAGGTTTGACCATTCGGGTGAGACGCCAGCCTCTTTTTGTGCTCACAATACTGCTTGGAATTTTTGCAATCTTCAAGCCATACCCATCGATATCCGATACCTCGCTATTCTTAGGGATGCTTCCAATCTACAGCCACCTTTTCCCGTTGATGCGATATACTTTCCTGGCTTCTTCGACAGTGCTATACGCAACATTGTTAGGTCCCGCCTTTTACTACTTGTGGATTTATGCGGGAAGTGGAAACGCCAACTTTTTCTATGCAATCACGCTCGTATGGAGCCTCGGCTGGAGCGTCTTGGTGGTCGCGGATTTACTCTACGCCGTCCTCAGGGACGAATGGGAAGTCGAACGACCAGAGATGAAGGGTAAAGAAGCCAGACAGATTTAATTATAGTACCAAGCAATTGGATTTTGCGGTTTATGATTGCCAAGCCGTTTTCCAATGCCCTTATGTGATTCCATTTAACCCACTTAGAATACTACCCCGAGACCGCGCCCAAGACCAAACTGCCACAACTGCCCTAGTATCAAGATTTGGAGTCCGCATATTCAAACCAAGATATGTGATATGTGGTATTTGTTCTAAATCGAAAATGATCATGCATATGCAAACATATCTCTCCTCTACTAATTCAATGTCGACCTCCTTTTCTAGTCAGTCTACGAACGGTATTTCTATGGCTTTGTTCGAAACATTACCTTTTTTCCTTTTCCCGTTTTTTCTCCTTCTTGCACTCTCTCTCCTCCTTTTCCTTACTACGCTTCACGGCGGCCTTTCTACGTTCCTCCTTCGCTTTCACCTCAATCTCGTTTTCTTTCGCTCTTGCTAGCGCATCGCTATTTCTCTTCTCTTCCTTCTCCTTATGTTTTTTTAGTTGGGTTTCTATCCCCGCAAGGGTCGCCGCTGTATCTGCAATACTATCGCGTCTTCTCACCTCTCGTACTTTTCTCGCATCCCTTTCTATTTTGCTTTCACACTTAATTCGTGATTTGATCTCGATCCAAATGTCGCGAAAAGCGGCGCAAATACGTTGTCTGTTCGATTCCTTTGAGCGCTGCGGAGAATCAGGAATCTCATGTACGGAATGTTTCTCGTCTTGGACATAAAAGGGGTGCGGATTATTCCACTTAAATGGGATCTCGGACGGGTCCTGTGAAGAGCCTGTTGTCGAGGATTCACGAAAGGTCGAGGACGGGATTGTAGACGAGGAATCAGAAGCGACAGGTCGATAGGTTTGGATTGTAGATGAGGACGAGGAAGCGACAGGTCGATAGGTCTGGATTCGTGAGGATTGGATTGAGCCTGCTTGTTGAAATGAGAACCCTGGAAAGTTTGGTTGTTGGGTTTGGCTTCTAGGCGTGTCTTCCGAGTCCGGTTTGATGATTTGAGGTCGGTCTTTTGCAGCATCACAATCGCTAAGATCACTTTCCTCAGGGATATCCTCAAGAGATCTGCCCGTGTGTGGCATTCGCTTCCTGGTATTCATGTTAGCAGTAGAGATCAGTGCACACAATCTGTGATCGCCGAGTATATTTTCAGAAGCAGAGGAATCTCCCAAGTGGTGGGAGCTGATGGGTGAAAAAAAAAAAAAAAGATTGTGTGGTGTTGCGATCACCGAATAGAGGCCTAGCCTCCAATCTACCTAGTCTGGCACTCGAGTATGTACTATGGAATCGTTAATGCTTAACAAGTTTTTTTTTTTTTCCATAATTCGGTAGGCTACTGGCTCTAATTACCAGAAGTCTTTGAAACTAAATACAGATCTCTACACTACTATGCTAATAAAAGTACGGTGAATGGCTGTAGCTCATGACACCAGTGTATGTGATCATGACTAGAGAGTGAAAACTTCCTACCTTTGGATTGAATCGTCACATAGGCGTAAAACGAATGGTAATAACGTATGAGTAGCTAGTTTGTTAGCAAGGCTTTTTACCTTGATTTAGAAATACACTTTCCTTGATTCGTCACAAACAACGATCTTGAAATAATAAAATAGAATCTCCATTTAATTTAGAGCTTTTTTAACTTATAATACTTGAGGTTTTTATTGCCTTCGAAGAACTGGACATTCAATGTAATATTGTAAAAAAAGAACTACTGACTTGTGATCAATCATGAAAAGTAATGCCGGTGTTGTTAAATCGGATACGGTAAGCGGTACGCACAGTTTCTCGATTGCCAAGGCGGTGAGAGCTTTTTCTGGTCGACATACAATTGGTAGAAGCTCTCTACAAACAAGGATCATTTAAAGCAACCTCCGTTACATGACTCTTCACCATGTCGTCACCAACAAACTCGACATTTACGGATTCATCACCGCCCCGTAGAAATCGTTGGAAGGGATCAGCTTCAACATGGCACCAAATCACCGAAGAAGAACGTGGTCTAGCGGCTTCTCTGGATGAACTCCGGAATAGAGATTTGAGTGTTCATTTATATAATGCTTTCGCATTAAAGAAGCGAGCCAAAAACTTCAATGCCAACGATGTTCGTGATGATGAAAGTGAAGAGCGAGACGAATCGAATGGCTTTGTGCCCTCTAAAAAATGGACTGCGTGGCCGATTGAGGCGACGGAGGTGCCGAGGGAAGGCGAGCAGATAGGCCCGGACGATGGAGATGAAATGTTTACTCTGAGAAAAAAGGAAGTCGTGAAATTAAGTAGGGATCTGGAAGATATTTTGATGGGAGTCACGTTAAAACATGCAAGAGACAGATTTCTGGCAAAAGAGACTGCCGAAGATCACGGTGGGCACGCAGCAGGTGACGATGCAGAGGAAATGAGCATTGATGAACCGCAACAAGAGCCATTAGACGACGTTCAAGTCGAAGGAGAGAGTTTTAGGGAATTGTCGGAGCCACCTCAGCAGACAAGTATCCTCCGACCCGTGGTATCAGCTGACGACGAGCGCTCTCAAGATTTGCTACGACCATCCATCAGGCATACACTTTCCAAATTGGATGGTGTCTTGATGGCTTTGCATCATGCACGCGAGACTTGCCGACAATATGCCTCTCAGGCTGAATCCGACACAGATGTAGAGTCTCGTTCACGCGCAACTAGTATCGCTGGTGATGAAACAAATAAAGATTCGTCTGTAAAGAAAGCAGTTGGCAGGCCTCGCAAATTCCAATCTATTGACAGTCCACTGCAGGAGTCTACACCGAACGGGAATGGTCTCGACGATCCAGACCTCTGGCGAGCAAAGACAACCCGCCGAGGACGGCCGAAGAAGGTTTATGAAAGATTAGAAGGAGAAACACAACATGAATATCTCACTCGAATTGCCAGAATTCAGAAGAAGCCACTACCTGTTTTCGCCCCACCAATCGAGCCAAGAAGACCTACTACACCCAAAAGAGGAACCACGCCCCGCTCAGTATCTCCTCAAAAGTCACCGAAAAAGCTTTCAGAAAACACACGCAAGCAAATGCTAGGTCTTAGGGATTGGAGCGAGGTACTAGGTTCTGCTGCATTGGTTGGATTTTCGCCGAATGTCATTGCTAGAGCTACGCAAAGATGTGCAAATTTGTTTGGGGAGAGTATGATAATGAGAACTATGGTCGAGGGGCCTGCCGCAAGCGGGAGAAATGATTTGGTTAAAGAGTATCATCCAGGGATGATACCGGATTTTGATGAACCTGGGGAATCTGGAACACGTCCGGATGAATTCGGAGAATTTGAAGATGAATCATCGAATTCAGCATCCGATACCGAAAATGTAAAAAATGAAGGATCTACAACCGTAAAGCATAGAGTTTATTACTGCCCTGTTGCAAAATGTCAGAGAAACAAAGAAGGATTTAAGACAGCAGCCAAGCTATCGAATCACGCTCAGACCGAACACAACTTCTCGAAGAAAAATCTCGACGCTCTTCGTGTTGATAGCGATGAGGAGATGTACGGAGCAGTGCATACGGATAGATTTCTCAAGCCGATTACGGGAAAGAGAGGCTGGCGGGGTAATGATAGAGAGAAAAGGAAACGAAGGAAATTGGAGATGGGAAGGCCGAGTGGAGACCAAGTATCCGCGTCAAGTGAGGATGATGTTAATGGAGATGGAGATAAAGATGAAGATGAAGTGTTAAATTCATATTCGGAATCTGAATTGGAAGGACAGAATGGGGATGAGAGTGAAGATGAAGATGAAGATGAGGATGAAAAGGCTAATAGCGGTCGGTGATAGATATGATGGTTTTATATCTTCATGATTTATTATTTTGACGAAAATCTGAAGAAGAGACCATGCATGAGGATAGTAGTTCCAAAAGTGTATTTTTTATATCGAAATAGTTTGTGGACTTAAAGGTCCCTGTTTGTGCGAATGGGATAGCACAGTAGTATCGACTGTTTTATTTGAGGTCAATAGTGCCTACATATCCGCAATGAAATGTTTCAGTCAGATACCTGAGTAGTTAAAATTCGCAGTTTTTAAAAAATAACTAATATGAATTGAACATGTCTAAGTTTCTCCCGTCGATATTGTTAAAGGCAGCTTAAATTCCATCAGTTTTGCATCAGGACATACACTCATGAGAAGAGACAACAATATTTCAGAATTTAGTAATGATTTTTTTTAAAATATATACACTTTGAAGTATAAAGTTTGAATATAATAATCTTCCCATCATCAAAGAGCCAAAAAAAAACCAAACCCCATTTCTCGCTAAAATAACACAGCAAACATAACACAAAAACATAATGGTATCTAAGGTCCACAAACAAAGAAAATCATTCACTCGTCTGAGTAATAACCGTCGTCTTATATCCATTTGCCCAATCAATCGGAGCACTGTTCCCCGTCGGACTAGTTTCTCCCGCCGAGCGACTACTATCTCCAGCCTGATTTGCTCCGTGCAAAACACTCGCTTCCAACGACTCGTCCAAGTCTTCATTTTTCCACGCTGCTTGCAATCGTTGCGTTTCTACATCTTCTTTTGGTACGATTTTCTTGTCCGCGTATACATATGTGCGCACGCCGTATCGCTCGCTTAGACCCAGCATCGCGGCGAATTGTTGCGAACATTCGTCTTCGGAATTGCGGAGTGTTTCCTGAGAGTCTTTGCCACTGCGGCTTGAGCTGTTGGAGTAGAGACTCGATCCTAGTTTTTGAGAGCGGGAACTGAAGAGTGGTCGGAGAGTGGCGAAGGATGCGGCTGTTAAGGCGATGGCGGGCTCGACGATGGACCATTTTACGAGATTGATTCCTTCCCAGGTGTAGTCGGTGGTTTGGTTGAGTTTGTTGATGTAGTATATACGCACCAGTGTTGCTGTGCTTGCACTATAGGTATATTAGTAAAGAATTCGTGTTGAAGTGGGGTTTGTCATCACTTACAAGAATCCGAGAGATAGAATAAGAACAACTGATAACTTTGTGCGAGGATTCATCTTTACCTTCCAAACAAATGTAATTGGAAGAGTACCATAAGCCCAATCCGTTACAGCACTCATGGCAGCATGTGCATATGTAACATTAGCTCGAGTTGATGTGCTCAAACAAGTTCCGGTGCCGTCGCCGAACATATTCCAGAAATAAGATATTGGTTGACATTGCAATAGCACGAAGATGAAATATGCCGAGCTGACTGAAAGCGCCAAAGCCATAACGCTATAGATGATCCAGAATTGATATAGTTTGTTTGCAAGTCGTAGGAAGTAAACCCCGATAGCTACTTTCGTGATAGCCATTGTGATGACATAAAGAAGCTCACTTGCGAAAATATACTGGAGATAGTTAATTTCATATCCAATTATGTACTTGTTCCAAGTATGCACACCTTGGCAAGTATATCGAGATAATCTGGACTGATATTGTATATATGAGCTCCGAGTCCAAATTGGAGTGATCGCAGTAAAAGTGCGATGAGGGCAGTGTGTATTATCTAAGATCCAAGATATCAATAACATGCCTCATGTATCGTGATGGAATACTTAGACATACCATAGAAGCAACAGTCAACCAATCTTCTGATCCAAAGAACTTTTGAATTCTGGTCCTGACATAAATTCGAAGTACACCAGCAATCCACGGCAGGGCTAAAGAAGCACAAGCAACACCCGTCACTTGTGCTCCACGATTCACCCCGAGAACGTGGTTATCACGAGAGACAAGATCCATTATCGGAATTGAAGCCATGATACATCAAAGGAGTGTTGCTCATCAGGAAGAGGAAAAGAAAATCATCAACAACGTGAGATGACGCTAGACATTAGCCCTCCTCGATATATTCCGGGTCTGAAAACTTATGAACGACATCTATTGATACATATGAAGAGGTAAACCGAGAAAGCATAGGCAGGCAGGCGTACCTGGGCCAAGGCACATCTTAATATTCCCTGATTCTACGATTCCACGGCAAGAGCGAACCTAACGCCTTGCCAAGCGATCTTAAGATAGACGGACCCCTCAAGCCACGCGAGACCTCATGAATAATTTCCATGAAAGACAAATCCATGTGGGACCTACCGAGTAATTCTCACGCTAGAATCTTGTGATTCCGGTGCCCGGGACCAATAAATATCGATTTTGTGGAGGATCTGCTTTCGCTTGGTGGAGAGGGTCAAAACTCGAGCGTTGGGACTTGGAACCTCAAATTTGGATATTGATGTAACCGCGTTATATGCATGTCATTATTATTGTTATTTCTCGGGTTCGAGATGTTGCCGCCAACTGTTCAATTGCAAAATTAACAGTCTTTAACTTTCATATACTTTCTTTCTTTCTTGTACAACTTAGAATAGATTGTGATGCTTGATTTCAGCGATTTTGCAAAGTAAATTATAACCTTGAATCCTGCTTCTCGGTAGCCGGCAAGCAACCCATTCCTAAATTCAGAACTCATTACCACACTATTATATACATTAGTTATGTGCTATGACTTTGTATGTCATCACCCAAATACCATCTACCAATGAAACTCGAGGTCTCGGAGAAATAGATACCTTTGGTAGATCAGGTCTGTGGTAAGACCATCGGCTAACAGCAATGAACCTTAGTTCGTCCGAATACTCTGACCCGACTAAAACCCATGATTTAAAGTCTCTCAAAAGTATGGCTGAACTCTAAATGATGATTAGGGGCTTAGCCACGGTAGGGAAATGTTATTTGGAATAAAAATTCAAAATATTCGTCCGTTCTCATCTTGCAGGAGACGAATGCTCGGACAATGCGGACCTGCATAAAAGCGAAGAACATGCTTCCACATGGAAGATTCCGAAAAGATCACCCTCTTATATATTTTGAGGGAAACTTTAGCCTTGAGATTTTCCTCCCAGTCGATCGATTGTCAATCAGTAGATCGGTGAATACCGAACGAAAATCACTACGTACAAGAATTAACGAGGTCATAAGATCTCACAACTCCTATTCCCTCGTCTAATTATTTCCAGTCGCTCGGACCCGAACTTATGAGCAGATCTTGCTGTCAGTGCTGCAGCAAGGCTCTATGTCATAGGATACATCAAAACACAACGATTAGTTTAGAAATCACGCGGAAAAACTGTAGCCTTGTTCGTGGATAGAATTCTAGTGGAGATAAAGGCTGGTGCGCAGGAACTATGTGAGGGGTTTTCCATTGTTTTCTATCGTCGCTCGTATGTTTTTGAATTTTTTAGGTCACAGAAGCGGGATGAGGCGTGATAAGCAGTTTTGATGGTTTATCTGCGTGACCGCTCGCAAACCTAGAACAATGCTCATTGTGTTCGAGGTGGAGATTTGATTTCCCATGAGATATCAGGGAATTCCTTGAAAATTTTCGAATTTGGTGGTTGATTTGAAGCCAATGACTCCGTACAAGTCGTACCAGAAAGGCGGGGATGCCCCTAATTCTAGTCACACAAAATTTTGTTTTTCGGAGAGTTTCGGCCTGTTAACGGTCAATTTATCGGTGGTGTTATTTGAATCCGCTGATTCTGGTGCTGCTAAGTTCAATGTTACATTTCTCAAGAAATGATGTCCTGAAATTACAACGAACGATACAATAGGCTAAAGCTAGTAATTTAATTAAATCGATGAACCATATTATATGTAAAGTTAATCAGTCACTCGTTTTTGCGGCGAGCCACTATTACTGTTGGTACGAGAAGGATACGGAAGACGTAGCACCCACGGATTACGTAGGTCCTGTATGTCTAATTGTATTCTGTCTAAAGAGCTAGCTACATATTGAAAGTAGTAAGTCTTATATAGACTTACTAAAAGAGCTAGTCTCTTTCGCGTTCGCTTAGTTCTTTATTACAGTAGTAATTGAATTGAAGCCATTCACTTCGTTCACACAATTACTCCTGTCGTTCCCTTAAAAGCTACTGTATCTAACGATCCAGTCTTCACATGTAACCAACTATAGGACACCATATAAAGTTCAAACCAACCAAATGTCAAGTATCCAAATGAGCATTAGCTCTCTAATTTTTAAACATCAAGAAATAAACATCTACTATCCATACCGAAACCCCGCAGAATGCGGCGGACGATCGCTATAAGCACTGGGAGACTTCCCCGTATCACTACTAGCATCACTCGAATAATGAAGTGAACGAGAATGATGCGCATAACCATGACCATGGCCATAATATTTCCTGTACGGTGCACACGCAGAACTCATCGACGAGTCCGAGCACTCACTATAAGAATCATCACTCCTCACACTCCCAGCACGCACATACTCACGATGACGAAGACTCACTCTAGGTTTTTTCTCCACAGGCGGCTCATCATCCAGCTCATCATCCAGCTCATTCCTAACCCTATAATTCCCCGCAAAATCACTGTCAGTAACGATACTCTCCTCATCATCTCTTCTTCCCGGCGCATAAGGATTTTCCAGATTCTTATCTCTGATGCGATATTTCTTTTCGTCTCGTTCGCTTTTATATCGATTTCGTCTTAGGAGTCTTTCTAATATTTTATCTGATTCTTCTGCTGCCTTTTTGTCTTTTTCTTCGGCTTCTTCTTTGGCTTTTTAAGATGCGCCATTGTGGAGAATCATGGGTTCGGGTTGGATGATTAGTTTATCGTGATCGAAAGAACCTTTTTGTCCATTTTTATCATCGTCTGGTACAATGGCATCGATTCTCCTTCGTATATTCTTTAAGAATTCTTTACTAGTATGTAAACGCCTTACGACTTTCTAAGATTGACCCGGTCCTTTTCTTCGATAAGGAAAGTCTGCGGGATCGGGGAATATTTTGCTGAGGAATAGGTATTCCTCGAGCAGTGCGGAACTTTTGGGTCATTCGATTATAGGATCGAGTTTGCCGTCTCTACCCATGTTTGTGCATGATTTGGTGATGATTCTACTTATCCAGTATAGATGCTTATCTCTGCATTTTTGGGGCCTTTCTCTCTCTACTTCGGCAACGATTTCTTTGAAGCGTCTGTATTGGGCTCCTTGCGAATTCGACCCTGTGAGATTGAGAAGTCGGTGCATTTCTAGGAGAGTTTTGAAGGAAAAGGGCATATTAATACTGCATCAAGAAATGAATAGATGCACAAGATCACTACAGAAATGAAGGTATGAGATGAAGAGTAGAATGCTTTGTAAAGGGTTACATATTCACTTAAAATTTGTACTGCACGACCAGGTAAATTCCGATGATGACGTCTGATAATTTCAGGAGGTTCCCTCGAGCGAGAAAAACAGTGAAAACGATTAAACCTAGTCGTGACAGCTCGTCTAAAGCCACTTTTTGGCTTGATATCTAGGGAAAGAGGCTAGAATATGACGTTTGAAAGAATCTCGCAGGAGTTTCCCCATAAAATGTAATGAGTTCGAGGCATGATTTAAAAGCAAATCTGGGCTCTATAGCAATGAAAGTATGCAACTAAGCCTCGAGGATTGATAATCAGTATTTTTCGAATTTGGTTAACAAAGATAAGCTTACGAACTGCGAAAAATAGAGCAGCAAGAATGTGTGTTTGGAGATTAGGGAGAAGGCATCTTGATGGCTTTTTGGAGACAGCTTTCTTGCTCTCCTCGACCGTGTAAGTGTCCCAAGGTACTCTTTTTCCTTGGAGGGAAAAATACCATATATGGCGTCATAATGTCTTATAAGCCAATAAACTGACCATAAGTTTGCCAGAAGGCAGGGAGGAAAACTTCTCCTGCTTCGACCTCACGAACGACCACATGGTACTGGCCTTCAGAGCTATGTTCTGAGATAAGATATGGAAGAAAACAAACAAAGCTGTGAAACTCAACTTCTGAATAAAATGGCCCAAAGGGTTGACGAGGCCGTTATCAAGGGTGCACGCTGGGAAAAATGTTTCAATGCTTGATTTCACAACTCGGAAATTACCAGCCAACCACGAACTTTCTCTGCACAATTAAGTGCATGAAGTTCTAGAAATTATCTTACAGAATCTAGACTGGAAATATGGTATGGTGGAACAATAAGAAGTATCACGTTCTCAAATTACGCAGCTGTGTGCTTTCCATAGTGGATTTGAATTTAAAGGAAGATGCAGAAAAACCTCGGCGGTTGGGAGATAATTCATGGCATTCCGTACTTGCCAAGATCAAATACTCCCACAAAAAAAGGCACTACTGTCAAAAGACATAACATCATTGCGTGCAAGGCTAGATTATCAAATTTTGTTGTAGAGCGGGTAGTGAAAACAGACACAAGTAAAATATCATACAACGAAAGTTTCAGGTCGCAGTAAACGCAAAATTTGGTCCATGAGAACATAAATTAGAATTATTGAAATCAAAGAGCAAACAAGTGTTCTGCATCTCATGTCGCAGCAGCATGTATTTTTTTGCAGCTGAGGTGCCAGCTCCCTCTAACACCGCCAAAAACTCCATAATATTTTTCCTGCTTATAACCTGCAAGATCCAAACGCCATCCCTCGAAAAACAAATCAAACTGAACTTTCAAATTTTCTAGTCACATCGCCATCCCTGGAGCTTGCATTCGACTCGCGCTCAACCAGTCAAAGCTACGGCTATCATTTATTGGCGAGCAGCATTGATCAACACGCCTCGAGGCGTGTTGGAATTGTGTAGACATCGATAGGGGGTTGGGTCTCTGCAAAAGTCCCCTAGCAAAGAGCATTTCTACCACATTATTCGTCCATTCTTGATAATGACGGAGAGAATTCACAGGATCAATTTTCGGTGGTCCTGCCGTAATAGAGTCGCAAATAGCGCGAACTTGCGAGTATTGAGATGTGGATACCGTGCCGATGAACCTGCTGGAGTTGCTTGGTCGTTTTAGTTCTTTGTGTGCATGAATCATGCCGTTCTGCATGTCGCCAATTACTTGATAAAGATGACCGCTGTCTCTTCCGCATTCGTCGGTCTGCACGAAGATGCCTCGTGAGACGCCGAGAAAGTCGACCATGTAGACGTTGAAAGACATTTTCAGTAGACACGTATTTGCGTTGCAGAGAAATCTGGAGTAAGTGTGCGTCCACTGGGCAATACGGTGTTGGGTATCTGAGGTAAGACGAGGATGAGATAAGTGCCGGTACAGATGAGAATGGAATTGAATGCAGCTGAAAGGAAGTAGAAGCCTCTCATATATAATCACAGATTAGATTGAACTGCCTTCTTCACAGCAAGGTTAGTACTTCCCGATCCTAGCAAAGGCAATTGAGTCTATCTAGAGGTCCCAATCCTGGCGCAAATTGTCTAGGGGTTAGAAAGGACGGTCCAGATGTCAAGCAGGCACTACCCACAAATTACTTACCTAAAAACTGACATGGACTTAGGCGATCAAATATATATACTGCTCAAATACGCGCCGGCATCTTGTAAGCAATGAAGCGGCCCCATAAATCACATGATTCATAGCCAATCAAGGTGGTTTGACGAGGCCGGAAAACTACTTCAGCGAGTCAAAGACAAAAATAGGGATTCTTTATCAGAGAGTAAGATTGGAAAGCCTTGCAAAATAGACCAACTAGCCTTCTGTGTCTTGGTAGGAAATAAGTACAGGAAGGAGTCCCACAAATTAGTTCGGGGGTGGAAGCAGATTACCGGCATAAGACTTGAAGCTAACCTACTATCACTTCGACCCCTATGAGCAATCAAATTTGTGCAATCGTTGAAGGCCGGACTCAATAAGATGTCGAACATTTGGATAACTTCCGGGAAGGATATAGTATTAAGATCTTCCGAGAGATGGGTGACTTGCTGTCTGACGGTTTCAACAAGGTTTCTTCGCAACTTTGGAGCTGTTGCAAAAGCGTGGCAGTCGAAATATACATTTTAACACCTCATGCGTGTCCTTGTTCCTGTCAATGCCAGAAGAAGTTGTATTCCGGCCTCATCTTCCACAATTTCACCGCAAAGGATGAGACAATGCGTTTCGGCTTCACTTTCCAGATGGCTTTTAGCGACCAGCGGAAAGTAATCAAGCCGCTGTTAAGGTAAGCCATCTGAGATGAGAAATGATCTCGAGGTGATAATCGAAGACATGGATAGAGACATCCTTCCCGCATACTTTGCGGAGTGAAGAAATGACACGAGATTCAATTGGCTTTGGAAGTAGTGCAGATTAATGAGGAAGGCTATGATTGTTTCGAAAAATGTGGGACAAGGTTCAGTGTAAGAATGAGCCTCAAAAATCAGACGGGAATCGATTGCTCAAAATAGCACGCAAGACAAAGAAGCGGCCTTGTCCCGATCAACGACCTACAACAGATATAATTACGCAGACGTCGAAAGTGGAAGGCCTTTATGTGGCGGCGATGTTGGTAGTTTGATCTGCAGGCTGCAGAGAATGTTTGGAAACTACACGCCAATTTGTTTGTGCTTGATGCTTGAAAGTATGTGCTGAAGAGGAAAAGATGCTGGCTCATGTGATAGTGAGCTATGAGATAAGGTACTAGGGATTTTCATAGTGTCAGTGCAATAGTCATTTCTGACCTGAGTCGAGTCGAAGATGGTAAGCAGGCGCTCTTCACAACACAAAGTGGATATTCCTTAACGCTAGGATGTCCACCCTCAAGACAACCCATGATTGCACAATTACTTGTGTTTAAGAGTCGAACGATTTCCCTTAAGCAAATTTCTTTTGACATCTGCTTGGGAAGTCCCGTCGAGAATAGTTGATGATTCGAGGGGTGAAGTTCTCTCCTGCGATTACACTGCAGAAGAGTTTTCGCGATAAGAATTGTCGCAAGGAATGAATGAATGAGTTAAGTCACGTGTAATTGTCGAGTTTCCTATTCCTCTGAGGTTTTCGAAAGGTGTCTCTACTCAGATGATCATTGCAATATCTATGATTAAAAACAATTTCTGATGGTTCTGCATTGCTCTCGATTTTCGCTGATCCTGTAAACGTGATGTCCATTAACGCTTATGGCTTGAATGAGCAAACGTAGAAAGAAGTACACCTGTACTCTGTACAGAGAATACCTAATCATCCCCAGACTCATGAGAACTTCTTCGCACAAATTCTTGTAAGCTGTGCTACATACTTAGTACACCGCCTCAATGTACGTGTACAAATTTCAATAAGAGCGTGATTTGCATGAACAAGGGAGTTCCCAACAATTCTTTTCATCTCTTCTTTTGATCCGGGTCAAAAAATTTCGACCCGTGGACCCGCTGTCATCTCCGTAGGGAGACAGCGACCAGAGACAGAGACAAAGATGGCATTGCCGTGAACCGTTTAAATGAAGATAAGCGGTGAGGCACGAAACTCAGGCTCTTCATTTTTGGAAATGGCGAGGAACTTTCTTGGATGAGTGAACTTTTGAAGGGTCGAGTTTCAGCGCCGAATTTCGAACTCACATAGATAATTGGCCATAGAATGAGACGAACAAGCGCGTGTCACAATAATGCGACAGAAGTACATGCCGAGGTGGAGCGCCAATATCTGGAAAAGGAAACCTGGGAAACCTGCAGTTTCATCTAGCATAAACTGGCACGAGGTAATTGGTGAGTCAAGAGACCGCAAAGATTCACATGTAAAAGAAATGCATAGCGATGGATCGATTGATATATATCGAAGGCTGATGGTCATTCAAATGCCAGAACGCATTTATATATCACATCACATATGCTTTCGCAGTTGTGATTGTAATTGTATCGTACCACATCAACATTTGATCTTCACCTGACACCTAGGTAGCTTTTCTTATTCCATTATCGCCAATACGAAGAATCTCTTTACAGCCTCAAATTACCCCATCAAGACATATCTCACACATGCCGATTCGTGGGCGACATCGGATCAAATAAAGTCCAAAAGTTACTGCAGGCCAAACGTGCTTTGCAGATAGCGGAGGCGTTTTTGTGCAGTAGCGGTCTATCGATTACAATTTACAGCGAATCGAACCCTTAGACTTGTTTGGTTAGATAGAGAAAAGCGAGAGACATTTTTGTGATCACCTGCAAGTGGCCATTGACGAGTAACAGTTGGACAAAAGGCTCGGACAGAGTTACTCTCTCGAATCTTTCGATAGTACAAGCACAAAGTTTCCACAGAATCTTCTTCCTTTCTTGCATTCAATCTTTCTTGGGGCAAAAGCTATAATAGAATAGATTCTCTCAAGTGTCAATCTCTTCTCTGGTGCGATCAATTGCTTCATTTCATCCTCGACATTGACGAAGCTTAAACCTCAGGTCAAAGAGACGCTAAGATAGGACGAGAAGGAGAGTGGGGTTGCAGCCAACCGATGCGGAGCAGAAGCTTTAACCAGGACTAGTGAAAGGGACAGGGGCTTTATTGGTTGCTAGCGACATCTAATCTCAGTTACACCGAACATTATAAGTTGTTCTGGATCAATCTTCCACCGCTTCCACCAGTCGATTTTAATACCGGCTCAACAAACTTAGCGGTGGAAGAAGACCTCCTCACGAATCCTGGGAGTCACGTACCATTGACTATCTCCAACTTGTCGAGTAGCCGTCTTGGCACACAGTTGGGGTGAAGCCATTGGGGGAAATTTGGAATTGACTTATTGGAGAACCATTGGGGTATTTCCCGTAGTTCTTCCTTGTATGTGCATACGGAGTACAGTACATCTTCTCGAGGTACCCACTGTACAAAACTGGGAGATTATTTTTCAGATCCACTGGAACTCCGCTGCCAGGGGATCTACAAAAGATTTTAGACAATCGAGAAAGTATACTCGGCACCAGGAGCTTGCAAAATTACAACCTTACGAGAGGATTGAAGACTATCAGACCGTCATATGCTCCGAGCAAGCCCATAACCCAAGGACGTCAGGACTGGCACTTGCACCAAATCATCATCATAATTACGATCCAACCTCGCTTGAATCTCGAAAATGCCTTCCAGAACCCACCGGAATCTTACCCCCTTGACCACCAATTGTTCCACTATCAACTGGAGCAATAGGAGTCAATCTAGTATAAACTCTGATGCTGCAGTTTTCTATTCAGCGCGAGCGTACCCGACTCCAATCGAGCTCGAACAACAAATTCCACGATTGTTCTCATCGCAACCCCATTCACCCACCATGTCTCCTCCCCAAGAATTCCGCCGTACCAAGATAAGTCGTCAGGACTCTGGTTTTGCAGAGAATGTTGCCTCTATACCTAGCCACGTGAAGACATCATCACGGCCCAGCTCAAAATCATCCTCGCATCATACTCGGCCGTCATTGAATGCCTCCCGAAAATCACATTCACGTCCAAAAGACTCCTCTGGCACCTCTTCCTCGGCCTCCAGCGCCACCAGCCGTTCAAATCCCAAACGTTCCTCAAAATCTCCACGTGCATCCCTCTCTCACTCTCGCCCGAGTCTCTCATCTCGGCACCACCACAGCCAAACATTGTCATCGCCACCTCAATACCAATTCTTCCACTTCCCATCACTATCCGACGACCTATCCCAAGAAACACCCAGCCCGGCCGCCAACCCACCCCCGCCCCCACCAGCCACAACCCATTATTGGACATCAGACCAAACCCGAAGATTAGAATACGCAGCGATTGACGCAGCAAGTAAAGGAATCCGAGGATTCATAGCACGATGCATACCTGATTGTTTCTTGCCAGTCGACAAGAGAGCAACCAGATTTTGCGCAGAGAATATGCGAGGACGAGAGGATGATGCTGGAAGCGTGAGGAGATATCGATTAATCATGGAAGATGAGGATGACAATGAGATGAAAGGGGAAAAGATGGAGGAAAAGGCAGAGCCGACCAAAACACACAGAAGACGATGGACTTCCCTTATTAGACGTTGATGCCAACATAGGTTCTTTTTTTATTTTTCCTTAATTTTTGGAGTTAAATGTCCCTGCGCGACAGGAGCAGAGATGCACCACGGCGTTCGATATTTCTTTCTTTCATTTGCTTTCTTTTTCTTTTTTGATACCCGCTTTCTGATATAAGCTTGAGATTTATGGTTTTGGCGGTAATGCAATATTGTTTTTTAAATGTTGCACATTGCACATATTGGAGTTGGGCTAAAGATTAAATTCATGGTATTTTTTGGTTGATGGAGAGATACACAAAGAGAAGATGAGCTGCATTTACACGCATGGATACTGGAAGTGTGTGTTGTTATTTGTGTCTGGGTGAATAAATGGATTGCCAATTCGAGAAAACGGTTGGGATAGTAGTAATAACTATGTTGGAATGGGAAGATACAATATTGTAGTTACTCCCCTCAGAGAAGAGAGAATAGTAATATCAAACATACAGAAACATCCAAAATGTTTAAAACTCACAATATTTGGCACTCTTAAATACTCAAAATGTTTATTAGATTCTACTTAATCAAAACATACCTAATATACCTTGCCGTGATTGAGTGACGCTGACCTGTTGTACAAAAGTACCATAGCCCATCCTGAACTCCATGCTTAGAACCAACCCATATTTACATCTATAGCTCATGTCCTTCTGCCAATAGTCTTGCAATCATAACATAAGTAAAAATCACTCCGCCAGCAACCCAGTATTTGTTCCTCTGCAACCAGCTTCTTCCTTCTCTACCACCTTCCACCACAGCTCCAACAACAGCCTGACTACCGCCTGGCCGCCTCATCGCAATTCCACTGCATTCCCTTCCAGTCCCCTCTTCATCCTTCTTTTCTTCATTACCAGTGACGATATCGACACCCCTTTCCTTCATCCACTTCCAATTCTCCTTATCCAAATCCTCCCACTCGCTTCTGAACTTGGCGCCGCCATCTCCGGCCTTGATATTTCCCTTCTGCGTTCCATCCTTTTTGTAGCTGCCTCCTCCAGTACTATTCCACCATCTCGTCCTACTCGCGGCCCATTTTCTCTCCGCCTCTGATGCGGCGACCGAACCCGTTGTCATTTCTTCACTCGTCATGAAACTTAATAGACCGATCAATATAGTACTGACTTCCCACGCGGGATTGAAACTCTTGGGATGAAAGTCACTGATTGAGAGACAAAGACGAGTGGAGGGTTGAAAACGGCCGGATGGCGTGTGCATTTTAATGGAGGGAGGCGCAAATGGATAATTTGGGGGGAATAGAAGGGTACCCCAGTACTGTCCGCCATGATAAGGTGTGTCGGGAGGTCCAGTGAGGATGTAATGCCATTCGAGGATGTTAGATTCGGATGGATGTGCTTCGATATAGGGAGGAGGGTTCTCGGTGATGGTTTTGTATTCACGGGTTAACTATATTTTAACATGTTAGCCATCAAATGAGTAAAAATAGAATCGTAAAGTTGGATTCACGTACCCGTTTGTTGGCAGCTCGACTCGCCATTGTCAAGTCCTACGTCAAGTTGTACTTGGGACTTTAAGGATACGTTGGCCTTGTTGCGTTTGAATGACGACGGAGAACGTTTGGGATTCGGTGTGGTGTTCTTTTGTGTATTAAGTAAGATTCTGTATTTGAGATAGAAAGCCTAATCGGAAGACTTCTCTCGGTCTCAAAGATGTAAGGAAATGACTGAGTGGTTGGATGTTTATGATGGGAATATTCACATGGAATGCTTTGAGGTTTATTATTAGGGATGAGATGATTCAATGGTGCAGGGCAAGGAAGTTAAGTGCGCACTAGCTTGGTCTCTCGCTTAGTAATCAGTTTCCATCTGGACTGGCAGAACGAGTCCTTCGCATGAAAATGAAAGTAGTGTATAATCTCGGGTAGAGTTAGAGAATAAAAATAATGACGACGCCAAATGGGCCAAAGGGGACTGTGAGTTGTATTATTTACCCATATGAAGCATATTAGCACGGTTAATTTGCTAATGTACACCGGACACAGCTCGTTGAGAGTCTCCTGAAAACCGACCCCAAATCTCAAGAAGAGCTCGAAAAAGCTATAGCAGAGAAGCATAGGTGGTATGCTTTTGAGGCCGCACAGAGAACTGGGGAGTTGGTACGTATATGTATTAGTTCTGGGCAATTATGATTTCATGGGCTCATGGAATAGATTGGCAATAACTCCACAAAACCAGTCACAATCTCCTCGATTAGACTCTTGGGTCCTTCACGCACAAGGAGATCATTCCTCGATGGCATATTCGAGCCTCTGCTGAGCGCAAACAGAAATGGGCCATATACGTTGTCAGAAGCATTGCAGGAACTCAGCACAGCTACAAATAAGCTCCGACGACATGGTACGATAACGCCTCACTGATGTTTGACCAACTTTGTACTTATCTGTAATTAAGGCATTTTTCACGACGATATCTCCATGTTCATTGATAAACCCGATCCCACCGACCCCTCTTCTACTTCTTCCGATATTGACGTTTACATCCGTGCGCGCGAGCGGGGTGTTATTACATTAAAGACTGGCACTGATCTTGGTAATGCTGAAGGTTCAGCGTACGGAAATGCACAATGGCGCAACATATTTGGGGGCGCAGAAACTCTGAATGTCAATGCTGCTACAGGCACCCGAACTCGTTCTGCCTATCAGTCTACATTTGAGACGCCAATATTGAGTGATCCCGACAAGAGAGTAGCTGTGGATGTTTTGTCGAGCGCGACTAGTAAGCCCTGGGCAAGTCACGAAGAAGTCCTTAAGGGCGGTGGCATAAAATATAGCTGGGCTTCTGGTGTTGGCAACACGCATCAGGTCGGATACAATTGGGTATGGAGACAAGTGACGAGCCTGGCTGGAAATGCATCACCCACGGTACGCAACGATGCAGGAGATACAGTCAAGAGCAGTATTAGCCATACATGGATTAAAGACGAACGAAATCACCCTATAATGCCGAACCAAGGATATCTTCTTAAAACGATCTCGGAAATCGCGGGCTGGGGGCCTCTGAAAGGAGATGTTGGGTTCTGGAAATCGGAAGTAGAATCTAGTGGTGCGGTCAAAGTTCCTGGCATCCCAGGCGCAAGCTTAACAGCGGGTATCAGGGCAGGAATGTTGTATCCCCTAGGTGTTGGATTCGGCACTGCAGCCAAACCGTCACGCATAAATGATAGATTTCAGCTCGGTGGACCGACGGACGTTCGTGGATTTAAAATTGGTGGCCTTGGACCTCGGGACAGACAAGATGCGGTTGGAGGCGACATCTACGCGGCTTCATCTATAAACCTCCTCCTTCCATTCCCTCGTGTTGATATTTCTACTCCGCTACGCTTGCAGTTATTCGCTAATGCAGGCCGACTCCTTGCACTCGAGAATCCAGAAAGGAACACAAGCAAAAAGGTGTATGGTACAGTCGCGGAGCTTGGTAAAGAGATTCCGAGTCTGGCGGTTGGCATAGGAATGGTGTATGCACATCCGGTGGCACGGTTTGAATTGAATTTCGGTCTACCGATCGTTGTTAGGAAAGGAGAAGAAACCAGAAAGGGCTTACAATTCGGAGTAGGCATCAATTTTCTATGATTTATGGAGCTTAGCGGAGTAGGGGCATATACCAAAAGAGGGCAAAAATGGGGGCTTAGGCTGTATAAAAGTACTATATATCGCATACCAATAGCTGTAGCCAGCTAATTGGACAGAAACTAGGAAGGCAATCACGACCTTAATGCATTTCCGTGGGTACAGCTGAGATCTTGTGCCGTCTGTAGATTGGTGTAACGCTAGGTTGGTGGGTAGATTTCTACAAATAGGACGAAGAGCTGTTCCTTCGTTGGCAATTTTTCACTCATTGATTTGATCAAGTGGAATACCTGTTGTTTCCGAGCTTAAACTTGTGGATTTTTTGTGAAAATACAGCCAGAATACATTTTTGGCAATGGCTCCCGTTGCGAAATTCAGCTCCGCGCTCGAATCCTGTTCTTACCAAAGTCCCGATGGCGGTTCCGCATATGCTCCTCTTCGTGAGAAAATGATTTGTGCAGCCACCGCAATGGGGTACGACACAGCGACCATGGTTGAATGCGGAATTAATTGGGCCGAAGATCACGATACACTTCATCACGCAAAGATTTCGGCATACTTACAATTCATAAATCAATGCAGAATCCGGGAATTTTTGTCATTCGAACCTTTTGTGGGCAAAGAGAAATTTCAAGACATGATAAGGTTTCGTGGTATTGGTTTTTTTATTAGGAATTTCACGGTTGATTTGAAGAGGCCTGTGAAATTTCCTGATTCGGTATGAGCTCGAGTTAACCCTTTAAGATGCTTTTGCTAGATTGAGGCTAATGGAATGAATTAGTTGATTGTCGCAAGTCATATCACTGAAGTCTTCCCAGATCGCTATGTTACTATTACGTCTATGTGGTCTTTGGTCCAACAAGTCATCGTTGCAGACTTTAAAGCAAGTGTGTTATTCTTTGATTATGGACGAAATGTACCAGCGAATTTGCTTGAGGCTGGGGGTGTCTATAAGGATTTATATGAAGCTTTGAAAGAACGATCAGCACGGGAAGTGGCGATAGCTGCAAAATGGGAGGAAGAACATCCTAAAAAATCGAAGGCTGTTCTGTAATAATTCAATGTCAATTGAGAGGGGCCAATATGTTGGTCAAGATGGCAATGTTTGTGTATGCACTTTTGCAATAGTTAAATATTGCATTTTACAACAGGAGGCGTCCGTCAGTAAAGTGCAGGAGATTACGGTGGCACGCAGAAATGTTTTCCCGATTTTCTTGTATTAATTCAAATGGGTTGGCAGCAGCTTGACAACAAGTAAGCCTCCTCTGACTTGAACCCATTTGACTCAAGAGAGAAACCGTTCCAAGCCAAGGTCAACATGTTTATGTCACCCACAAACAAACGCCTCCTGCCAAATTAGCCCATCATCGTTCCTTTCTCATCATCATCAGATCTTCATCCGAGCCTCAACATCACGACCATCACCAAACCTCGTTAGAAGAAGGCCCATTATCGAGAGCAGCTTCTAAGGCGAGCTCAATGTCCATTTCGATTCCTATCTTGACTTGAGATTTGTATTCAACTGGAAAGGGTCTTTGGGTAGCTTACTCGGACTAATGGCCAGAGCCATGGCTGCTGCCATAAAAGACACTGCGAGGAGGAAGGATTGCAGACGCATGATGGTGAATGTGTGACTCTATTTCGATGTTTGATGCTCGCTTGAAACGCAATCTGATACTGTTTACGAGGAACAAGACCTTCTTACTAGAGGGATAGGATATGCTTGAGCTTTCGAGGAGCAGTTTATCCGAAAGCTACCTAGGTATATATAATGAGCATAACAAGTACTTAGGAGCGGTGTTTCATTTGTGTATTGAACTTGTACGAATATCGGTCATTTGATAGTATCAATGTGTATCTCTGTCCTTACACTGATAGGGCTACGCAAGGGCATACAGATGTAATGTACATCTATCATCCCATGTTATTCGGCAATTAACGACATTGCAATGAGGAAGTAGCACGAATCAAGCACGTACCCCTCTACACATCACCACTTATGCTAAATGTAGATTGTCGACTCCATCGATAGATATGTCAAAGCATGTGAAGTTCTACAAAATTCCGGATGTGTGGTGTACTGGTACTGGTACTGGTGAAGGATGCGATAAAGGAACTTTTGTTTGGAGGTAAGTATGTGTACGAAAGTGCTTTGTATGACCTGCATAGTTCCACAAAATTCAGCCTTACCCAGTTCTTATCATTTAATAACCCCCGCTTTGTTTCTGAGCTTTATAGGTCTTTCGATCGTATCTAAATCGTCTTTTCGAATTTGGATCCGCTTGTCAAACCCTCTACATGCATCCAATCACGTTTGAAAATACCGGAGGGTCGCTTTCCAACGAGAAAGGTTATGGCGAAGACAATGAAGACTGTCCTCATTGCAGAAATCAGTCTCTCAAATCAATATCGTCCAGAAGATTGCAATCATGGGCTATTCTAATTATCACGTGCGGCATGGTGGCGGCATTCACTCTAATCGGCATGGCTTCATTGCTCACCTCAAGTCGAAGTAACTTTACCAAACTTCCAGAAATTACAGTAAATCATCGACCGTCATTGTGGAGTATGTAAAACGATCATTCTGCTTAAGAAGACATTTTATCCTAACAAGACTTCAGCTCCATTTGCAGATGGGATCCAGTACGAGATTGAAACAGCTTCGCCTGATCTCTGGGCCAATGATATTTACATGGGAGAGCCATGCGACGAATCAGAACGCGCATGGAATAGGCTTATACATCGTTAGTATCTCAATTCTACAATTCACGCCTTTAGAAGCTGATTTTCTTAAGCAAATCGAGGCCATGGCGTTCGACTTTACCGTGAAGAAGCTGCGCGGCTAGATATCAACAAGAGTATACTTTTACCAGACAACAATTTCGCTGTCATTCTTACGGTCCATCATAATCTTCATTGTCTGGTATGAATTCTTTCCCAACTATCAGTTGATCATAGGCTTACTGTTGAGCCTCGCCTCGTAGAGACGACTCCGACAGTCCTTCTTTCCAGAACACTACTATGCCAACTGGACAGACGAAGATCTAGCAGACGACCGACATCACGCATGTAGGTTAAAGACAGTTTCACACATACATTATATAGCAAAAAACTAACAAGTTTCAGTACATTGCCTCGAATCTCTCCGTTCATCCATGATCTGTCAGCCGGATCTGGCACCGCTTCCCTACTACTGGTCTGGTAATATTAGACATGACATGAACGCAAGTCCACAATCCAAACGCGAATGTGTTAATTGGGATGTCTTTTCGGAATATTTGAAAGGGAGAAGCTATCATAGGTCCGAAATGATTCATGATTGATTTGGGAGAGTGTTGACTTTATGTTGGTCTTGCAAATGTTGGTTATTTAGAATTTATGTTACTGGCAACATGCTTGTTAATCACTAAACCTTTTTTACTCTGATGATGATTATTTCACCGGTCCCTTCTAGATGGAATAACTTGATAAAATAAAAGGCCACTACTTAAAAAACTACCCATGCTTCATACATTTGGTCAAAATGTGAATCCACGAGAAAACAAGCCGATTGACGAGCCTTGGCTAAGCCATCCGTACATCTGTCAAATGCAAAAAGAAAGCTTGAATCTTCGGGACAGAAAGTACGTACAATATGGTAGTACTAGTTAGTTTCCGTCTCGCATTGTGCCACACTGCTCGCCTCGCAACGAGCGAAAAAGAGTTTCTCCTGTCGCACAAGAGGCAGTTTACTTCCACAAAAACAACATCCGGTGTAGATGGCCCGGCTTCCACGGCTTTATTAAGCTTTATATTGGTGGAATGAATTGATTGTGCTACGACTTCTTGTAAGATCTTACTACCGCACCTACCTATTATGATTACCGAATACAATCATTCCTGCTTCAGTACTACGTCGCATGTATCACCAAATCAACGTTCCTTTGAAGCTTTTTGCAACTTCAATGCTTCGGACACCGATCAGCTTGAATTGAATAATACTATCGGCTGGAGTGGTACAACCAGATACACAAACGAAAGGTACCTAAGTATTTACGAGAGTATCTTGTGGAGAGGCCCAGTCATATCTGACAGAACTCTATCACATGTGTGAAATATCTTGAGTATTGATATAGATACTTCGACGGGTTTCCCACATCAGTTGTCTCTGTAACTTTGATTTCCGTCACGGGTTTCAATCTGGCACACTGTGGCGTGCCTAGGAACCCTCTTATTCTAATTCATTACTTATCACAATGTCATCGAGACTTCCACTTACCCCAGGTACGGACCCGATTGGTGAGGTACACATCACGGTCACGGAGGTATCATCACTCAATCCTTTAAATGATGATGTTCTCGATAAGAAGAAACAAATCACAGAGCCTATCATGCATGAGCATGATCTAAAAAATCATGACTTGACTACCATAAATTGGTCAGTCGATCCTCAAAATCCAATAAACTGGTCTCCTATACGCAAATGGACAACGGTATCACTGCTTGTCATCACAAATTTCATAGCGTAAGCCTACCACGAACCCCCACACCGTACACAATCCACACCGGTAGCTAACTAATTGCAGAGCAACATGTACCTCAGCATTCGAACCGGCCTTGCCCGCCATAATGGCCGATTTCCACTCCACAAACGATTCCATCGCCTCTCTCACCGTCTCTATCTACACCATAGGATATTGCTTAGGACCTCTTGTCATCGCTCCCATTAGCGAACTATATGGACATGTGACGGTGCTATATCCCGGGTATATTGGTTTTATGTTGGCTCTGGCCGTGTGTGGTTCAAGCAAGAGTCTTCCATTATTCATTGTGTTTCGTGCTATTATGGGTCTTGCGGCCATCACGTTTGTGCTTATGGGTCCGGCTATAGTGACTGATCTTATACTCAGAGAGAAGAGAGGGTTTGCATTGAGTATTATGTCTGCCGGTCCTGTTGTTGTATGTATTGTGTCGCACTCTTGTTTTAGATCTATGTTGTTGCTAACTACTCATAGGGTCCCACGATTGGTTAGTTTTTCATTCTTATGCTCACTTTATATTGTTAAATTTATGATTCTAGGTCCTGTAATCGGTGGTTATATCGTGGAAAATATCAGTTGGAGATGGACTTTCTACTCAACATTGATTGCTGTGAGTTATTTCCCAACGGTGCATTCTCAAATATCTAACTACACTATAGTTTGGTATTTTATTTTCCTTGTCTTTAATCATCCTCAAGGAAACTTATGGACCAGTAGTCCTGAGTCGAAAGCAAAACAAAGGAGAGAAAGACATACCCAAAAGCCACAAAACCACAAATCAAAAAACTCCCCGAGATATTCTAAAAGCAGCATGGATCCGTCCCTTCAAGATGCTTTTCCTCTCCCCCATAGTCCCATTCGTAGGTTTCTACAGCGCCCTCAGCAACGCCTACGGAATGATATGTTTCGCGACCCTCGGCACCGTTTTCCAAAACAACTACTCCTTTACACCAGGACAGAGCGGCCTCGCCTACTTCGGCCTCCTATTCGGATTCCTCTTCTGCCAATTCACCCTCGCACGATTTTCCGACCGCTACATGCTCAAACTAGAAGCCAAACACAACGACAAAAAACCCGAATACCGTCTCCCACCCATGTTCATCGGTGCATTTCTCCTCCCCATCGGATTCTTCTGGTACGGATGGTCCCTTGAGTATCATACGCATTGGATTATTCCCATCCTAGGTAGTTCCGTCATTGCAATCGGTATCTTATTTGGTTATTTACCAGTGCAGATGTACCTTGTAGATACATATACCATCTATGCTGCGAGCGCGACTGGTGCATGCACGATCATCCGATCGATTTGTTCAACGTTGGTTCCGTTGAGTGCTAATCCGCTCTATGATCATTTGGGGTATGGATGGGGGAATAGTGTTTTGGCTTTTATTGCTGTGGGGTTTGTGCCGATAGCGTTATTGGTGTTGAGATTTGGAGAGAGGATTCGAACGAATGCTCGCTTTCAGCCGAAGTTGTGAGGGAAATTCGAGAAAGTGTTGTGCTTTATTTACTAGATAGTTTATAATGTGTTTAGGAGAGATTATAGAGACATAATTCGAAGACATAATGCGAAGAAATACTTGGAACTCATAAAGTCGATGATTGGGACCAGGAGCTGGGCCGGACTTGGTTATATAATCAGTGGCGCAACAGTATATACACGAGTTTGCAATGGAAAATAATTGGCACATTCATGTTCATGTAGAGAAAGTTATAATATGGTAAAGTTTTAATCACAAGGAAAGGAAATTAAGATACAATCAGCTAAAACTTCAAAATTATGCTAAATTCTAATCACGCTAAGTGTGCAATTGTGATGAGTATCTAAGCGCTATTCCAAGAAGTCGCAACCTCACTCAACCAATAACGACTAGTAATAATGCAAATTAAGCGTCTAAGAGAACACTCACAATCCGAATATCCTCTTATATTCATCCTTCATGCCCTTTAAATCCGATGCAAGACAGGGTTCCACCCAATCAGCCCACCACCCTTTGCGATGTGATCTCAAGCCCACCTCATGAAGCAAAGCATCGGTATACCAAACAAGCTCAAAGAAGAAACATTCTCCCTTCACGCCACGAGTAGGATATCTCCGTTTGGAAAACGCTCCCATGTAGGCAACTTCTTTCAACATCTGTTCCTTTGGAGGTAGAGATATATTACCATCGAAGTATGCTGTGGTCCATATAGCTTGTGTTTCGGCTGCACGGAAAGAGTTCGAGATGTCTATTGCGCCTAGAAATGCGATCGAGTTGTCTCTAAGCGGTGCAATGCCTTTGTATAACTGTTGTACTGTTGTGCGAGGGGCAGAGAGGTCTTTTTGATATGGAGGAGGATTTTCAAGGAGTGGAAAATCGGTAATTACTTGACGGTCTGCCTCTTCATAAATGCGTTCCCAAAATTTCTTTTCTCTTGCACTATTCTTTTCCTTGAGGTGAGGAAGACCCAAAAACTGAGCTTGTGTATCAGAAAAGCATGGTTGAGAGGTATTCCAGCCTGTTCCTAGTAGTAATTCATCCGCATAAAGTTGAGTGCCATTGTCTAAAGTTATGATGTTGTCTTTGTAAGAGACAACGTCGTTGCGATAAATTTGAGCATTTTGAGATATTGTATCCCAGAAATCGTCATGCTGCACAAGTCCTACAGGTCCGGTGCACCAGAATGCACTAATTTTATCAGTATGGCTTCCACATATAGTCGAGGGTGACTCACGAGGTAGTAAAATCAAGGAGTGAGAACTCTGGCAACGAGTTCGGCCTGGTATCATATGCCGCCACTTTACGGCAATATTGATTAACAGCATCTATTCTTTTCATCATATAGTTTATTCCAACACGAGTTCCATATAGAATGGCACGTATCAAGGAAAACCACCATGATTTTGGCATAAATGGAGACGGACTGAACAGTGCCTTCATCCTGGTTGCTGAACTTTCGACCGAGTTCTTGTAACGGCCATGCCCAGAGGCGGGAAATAACAGAGCTGGACCTTCGCCAGTTCTCCGAATAATCCACTTGACGTTGTGACCTTTCTTGATTGACTCGTAGACCATATCTGCAGCAGACTTGCCACCGCCTAGAACTGCGAAGTATAATACTCCGCTAGCCCGTGGGAGTGGATGCTTTGAAAATTTTCCAAACTCTTTATGATGATGCACAGAATCAAAGCTACTTGTCATCCCCGAACCGAAATCAATTCGAGGAATATGGGGAAGCGAAGTACGACCGGTAGCAACAACAAGCCTAGGGCATGTAACGATCATCCTGTGTTGAGCTTTTGATGTGAGAAGAGCTAGACTTATCGTTGTAACATGCCATATATCATCTATCTTGTCAACCTTGACAGCTTGCTGGCTGAAACGTATTCTTGAAAAGAGGGTCGTCCCGTTGTATATGTGATTATGTGCATACTCCTCGAGATACTTGGTGACGTATTTTGCTTCGAAGGTGTCATGGTACAAAGGTGCATCTTCAGGAACAGTGAGAGGGACATCGGAGAATCCAGACATTCGACGGCCACTTTGACACCAGAATTCATCGTATGATCGTCCTTGAAATTACACACACAAGTTAATATAAAGGTAAATATAGGATGGGGACGGTAGCCACGAGACAACACTTACTTGAGCTCCAAACGCCGCCAAGGCACACATCCTCTTCGAGGATAACTAGCCTCGCTTCTGGATGAATATCGAGGTAGAATCTGGCAAAAGCCAAACCACTTAGGCCTGTAAGACGTGGTACAAAGTTAATGAACTGTAGTTTTTGCATACAACGCCTGTACTATACATGTAGGTAATGCAGGATGGAAAGAAGAAAGAAATTTCATACCGGAGCCAATGACAACAATATCAAACTCAGACATACTGCCAAATGTCTGACCAGATAAGCTCTGGTGTTCCATATTTTGATATTCAAATCGATCTTGTGCTTCGTTGTATCTTGAATATATGAGAAAACATAGAAAATTGAAGAGAGATAATCATAAAAGAGTGATATGGCACTTCAATAGTAGATGATTGGTGTAGGAAACTGTGATCCCATCGCTCATGCCCTTTCCGCAGTGAAACCTTGCGATACGTTACACAAACACAAAACGCAGCAGGAACGATGTTGGTGGTAGTTGGATGGTCCTATGACCTAGTATATATACTTTATATTCAAGCAAATCAGTGAAGGGTTATTGCTCGTTGGATTTACATGTCAACGATAACGGAAAGAGTCAACATACTTAGAAACTTGCCGAATTCTATACAACTATGGGGCACATCTATCAACTCCCATCGAAACTCCACTGAGCAAACTTTTATATTATGGCTGTATTTACCTTGCTTGCTTAAAAGAGATATCAACAAGATGATTCAGAACAAGCAATGAGTTACATATAACCTAGTGAAAGAAGTAGGTAATACAAGGATGGGCAATTCACGTGATCTTGTACCAAGCTGCCAAAAGGGGCACGGTACATTTCGGTGTCCGAGCTTGTTTGCTCTAAGATGACCACAACATGAAAGAAACACAGCATTCACAGACAGAATTACAAGATATACTGGTGGGCATTACAGCGGGATAGAGCTTTTCCTCACACAATCCGATCTCTGAAGTACGGAGAATGTTGAAGTATTTGGAAATTCTAAGAGTAAGGAAACTAGTGTTTCTGGTCGTGTCATTCACTACATATCTTGAGCCAATTTCAAGGAGCAGGTGAGAGCAGTGAATGGGATTCACCAAGCAGTTGTATCTGCAGTAATTAGATGCGGAGATTCTCTCGCAGTTGTGCGAGGGGTAACTCCTGCACCCAAGCTGGACGGAAAAGAGGACGATGTCTATGGATAATAGAGATTTGCTCGTAACAAATTTTTATGAGCATTTACACCGTCTAGACCTCATGAATTCTGCAAAGATAATCGTCATCTTCTAGAGTTATCGCTCTGATTCTTGTCCATGCCCATTTTCGCGTATGGTAGGACTATCCAAGGCCAACAAAAGACGAGGAACACACGCGAAAGTCATGTACTATATGCTATACCTTTTGGGTCACGCGCGGGTTAGGATTTTTTTTGACTCCACACTGGATTTGGCCTTGGATCAGCAGTCATCCTTATGTGTTTGAGCATTAGGAAGTGGTTTATCCTAAATCACCCACCCGTGACCAAACTAGACCAGGCTCCTTCCGGAATAACATGGGGTTGAAATAGCATCGAGGCCCTCTTAGAGGAGGCAGCCATGCTATTTATGATGACATCAACAGTGGCAACAAAGACTTTGTTCTTGATGATATTCTCAATGTACTTCAAAAAGCCAGCTTGTACGCTGGCCCTGTCTTTAATTATCTGGCCGGAATGAGCGGCCACAGAGGGAGCATTGAGGAAGTTGACCCTAAAGTCTGCAGCTCTTGAAGACAACCGTTTGGTATCTTCGAGAGCCCAGTCCTAAATTTCAATCTCTTTCCACCAGTATGTTGCAAATTGGAGGTTCACTGCTATTCCAGCGGGAGGACACTGAGCAGGTCTGAAGTATGACTATAGCTTGCTTAAAGAGAGACCTAAGAGGGCTAATTGGGGGATCATAATTGAACAGTTGCTTACAAAATTGTCGGCTCCGCGATCAATTACACAATATCGAAAGATTTCACCTTGACTCGGGGCATTCAAGACACCTCCTTGATTAATCAAGTACTCAACTTTGAAGTATCTGCTCTTGGCCGAAGGAGCAAAGGAACGGAAGAATGACAAGACTACTGATTTGTTAGTGTTTGGCTCCAACTGATGGAAGAAAAAGTGAATTTTTGTCTATATTGATAAGCATCGGTCATTCATTTGAGATCCGAAATTGCTTGATGATCAAGCTATAGCATAATAATAAAACGGGTGGATTAGCGGAGATCAATTTTACTCAGAATGGCTTCAAAATGTCGCATTACATGCGAAAAAGTTTAGACAGGGGCTGAGCTTCTATACACAGTCTTATTAGGGAGTACAATAAGTACCCTAAAATTGAAGTCGAACCAAAGTACCTCTTCATCTAAAATAAATGAAGCTTCTCAAAGAACTGGGCTTGCCGTTTGGCTTTAATCGCGCAATCCTTTCCTGAGAAGTTTTTTTTTCAGCAACGAACGAATCATACTGCTCTCTTCCAGCGCCAGGTCCCCGATCCTTTTGTTACCGTGCCCATTCCCAGCATATTCATTCTCTGATCTCCCACCACACACAACGTGACGGATTTTCACAACTGGTATCACTCTTTGCTCCCCTTTTTTCTCACTCCAGCCGGTTCAAGCACCCTACTCCGGGCCATTTATTTCAGCTAAACTCCAATTTTAACTCGTTTCCTTCCATTTTCCTCGCTCTCCTTGGAGCCTCGGGTTTTTAATATTCGCGAGATTACTTTGAAGTTCTAAAGAAAGATTTAAGACTTTTCTGGGATAGCTTCACCTCGAGGGGTTCCCGTCATTCATTGCCTCTTTCCGCACCGAACTCAACTCTTTATGTTTCCGGAATGTCAAGGGTTGCTAAACACATTTTACTTTGTGCTTATTTGAATCGTTCACATTGCTCTGGCCGTCTAGCAAACCTCACCGAGTCGATTATAAGGGCAAAACGAAGTGGATCTCAGTATTCTGCTTGCTGATGGTGATATAGTATTTAAGTTCAATTGATTCCCTTTTACTAAAATGAGATTTTGATAGATTCAGTAACGATATGATCATTGAAAGATCGAGAGTTGGACTTTTTGGATTGCTGCATTTATATGGTACTATCCGGTAGGGATTGTCCTCTGTGCAAGAACAGACCATCCTGAGTGGATTCAGCAGAACAGCCATTGGTCTGAGATGTAGTTGCCGCCATAGTTGTTGGTACGGCAGCAGCATCAAGAGTCTGTGGAACCAATCCCACCTCGCGTCTGTCTTTGAAGCCAGGCCCAACTGAGAACTTCCTTGATAATAGCTTTAGCTGCTTTGCCGAGCTTGGGCAGGTCGCGGGGTTTTCTAATCCTAGATGCAGCCGGTTAATGAGAATTATCGAGCGGCTTTCTGTTCGGGTGGAAAGAAACCGCCAACGAGTCATTAGAGGTGCACTGCTAGTTCTAGGCTCATTTACTTACCCTCTTTCTTCCAGCCGTAATGCCTGCCGGTGATCTGCACTTTTTGGCCTTGTGGAGGATTGCCATATACGATCACGGGCTAGCTGGACGGGCAAGTAAAATCTACCATGCGGATATGGCTTTTTCCCTGATTCATTTTTCGATGCAATGGAGTAGTCGAACAAATCCCATTTGATTACCTTGTGTCAACTCTTTTGCAGTTGGGGCGCCAGTATATCCAGGATTGACTTTCCTCCTCCTCATACCTCCTCTTATATTGTTTTATGAACAAAGAAGTTGCTATGCATGAAGTCGGACTTCGGTAATTGACTGATTGCCATTAATGACTTTTCTCATTCAGAAGCAACCATCGATGATGGAGAAGGTGCATAAGAGGAAGTATACTTTGGCAAGTTAAGTATTACGAGATTTATGATTAGAAAAACTGTGTACAGTCTCAGTTATGAGATGGACAGAACGAGAAAACTTAGCAGGCTTCTTATGTCCCTTGAGCTGATTGAATCCCAAAAGCCAGCGTTACCATCAAATGCCAAAAAGAGATGGTTAGAGGTGGCATGGATTGAACCGCATAGTTTCAGGAAGCGGATAAATCACCGGGACTGAGGAGGAGCCCTGGCAGTTCATACCTAGACAATGTCTCACAAGTGTTTGTGAAGATAGATAGGGATTGGATTGTCAGAACCAAGAGCGATAGCGTTAGTTTGAAGACAGACAAAATCGAGCTGATGTGGCGAGAGACGGAAAGGATTACTAGTACTTGCAAAGAAGTCAGTTGTCGAGATGGGGAGCTTAATTAGCTGTATAAATTGAAGTCAAGCGATTCATCTCCCTTCTTTAACGACTTGCTTCCAGGAAGGTTCGCCTTATTTTGATACCTATATTAACTCTGTCTATTTTACATTGAGCACAAGGAACGTTAGTATTGCAATTCGTCAGCCTCATTATTTGGAAATCAATACACATCTATCAATCAGATAATGGTAGAAATATGAGCCGGTTGTATCCTTTTATCTCTATCCCATGTTATCAGCCACAAGCTCAGCTGCAATTTTTGAAAAATGTCTTCAAATATGGGAAGGGCCAATAGCTTATCCATTCTTTTTTTTTTTAAAAAAACAAAACTAAAGATGGGACCAATATCATTAGAAAGTTACGATTTGGAATTCTTTAGATAAAGAATAATCAGATTATTCATTAAGAATTTTAGCTTCTCGAGAGATCCTTACAGGGTTCTCCTTGGTATTATTTCCCCAGTTTGAAAGTACTTTGCTATTCAGGGGTTCGCTTCGTTCGCTTCGGGGAATAATCAAAATATTTAAAATCCGGTGATGGCACAATCATGATAAGAGGAGTGAATGCTAGAATTCTCTGAATTTTTCTTTACTATTGGATATTGAAGATCATTTCTTTGTACTTTGAAGACTTTTTGATATGGTATTGATGGAAGTTGTTGCTGTAGTCCTGTGTTGTCACCGTGATGTATTTCTTGGCTGCTGGTTCTTTCGAGTATGGTATTCCCATTCCCATTGCTTTTTATTTGTCTGCAATTATGCACTCTCTTGCGATCACAAATCATACTCAAAGAAAGATGATATATCGTCGATAGCACAGTGAGTGGGCCCAATACGTTGAATATAGCACACACAATTTCAGGGCCCATAAAAGATACTTCCAGATCCAATCCCAACATGAAGTCTCAAAAAGAAATATGCAAGTATCACAAGATAAAAACAAGACACAGCAGGCTAGATATCAAATATATAAAGCACAAGAAGAAGTAGCCAATCATTTGCTCAAAAAGCCAACCCCAAATCCAACGCCAAATCCAAAACCCCTGGGAATCGTGCAACAACTTGTCCTCCCATCCCAAATTTACACGAACCGAATACCCTAACAATCTCCATTTTCACTACATCTCCACCTCTATCTATGCCTCTCCTTCTCCGCATACGTCTTATTCCATGGTTTCTGATCCTTAACCTTCTCCATCAAAGCCGTACGATCAAAAATCGTATCCCTAAATCACTCATAATTAGCCCATCTCTTCCGGCCCTATCCTATCCTATCCTATCCTTCCAAACACCCCTCCATAATACAATAGTTATTGACGATCTAACGCACCATGACAAAATCACGAAAAGGAAATACATACAAAGGATCTTGATCGACATGTGGCTTTGTATGCGCATTGTATGAATGTAACTGTGCGTCCATTCCGGCTTTGATGCTGTGATGGGGAGAGGGCTTGAGGAGGGCGTTGGCGCCGATTAGTCCGCCGATTGCGGTGACGGTCATGATTATTGCTTCGCGTTTGGCCATCATGGACATGATTTTTGGTTTTGTTTGATTTTGCTGGTTGAGTTGGGTTGAGTTGGGTTGAGTTGGGTTGAGTTGGGCTGTTGTGAATGGTAGTGATGATGTTGTGAGTTTTTGAAATTATTCGATGTTGAGGAAGTGTACTGATTTTATTTATTGCTAATATTGAGCACAATATATAAAAATCCTATCACAACCTTCTCTACATCTACTATATATACATTCATGTATCATGATCACCTACAGAGTACACATCAGCTGCAAGAAAAAACTCCACATTTAGAAAAATGGAAGGATTTCCTCACAGCCCAGCCAATTTTGGTGGTACCAGCGTCATACGACAACAGAACAGAACACGCCACTCATCATCTGAGCGGGGGTAACCGACAACCCCGCATTTTGGAAAATCAGCATATATGATGACAAAATGGGGAGAACAATTCGCTAAATTGTTCGATGCATTGGAAGAATCGTCTTTTGTTGCTATTGTTAGATTTTGATGTCGTACGAGAACCAAAACGAGACAGGTCATCCCAGGAGACTGGATTTCGGATGCATTTGATTGAGCTACAATGCACATACCATAGGGTTTGGTTGGATTGGCTGTCCTGTTTCTTTTCTGAAAAAAAAAAAAAAAAAAAAAAAAAAAATTATATGTATGAAGTATTATTACCTAAGAATACAAAGTCCCAAATCCAAACGTTCGGTGTTACCCGTGGTGTTACTCGTGGTGTAAGATATAAGATCGAATTATCTGACAGCATGTTGGCGACACAAACTGGACCCACAATTTATCTTCCGCGTTAATGCATCGTATGACCTTGCTTTCATCCTGCCATGATAATCATATCTTTTCCTATACCCTCAGCCTAAGCAGTAACGACAGTCTCATCTCCTGCATTCGGTTGTTTTATGCCTATTTTAACCAAAGGACCCTGATTAAAACAGTCGATGTCGTGCGTAGCTACAGCCGAAGCAGCGGATATACTTATTTCCAACTTTCCTCGCTCAAGTACCTCGAGATCGTAAGCAGATATGGCTTCCTCAGAAGAAATCTTTCCTTCATTGATGTTTCTGATAGCTTTGACATAATTTGCTGCGTCTTGGATGGCATTATTGAGGCCTTGACCACGGTCTAAAGAAGCGGAAGTTAGTGCAGAACATGCTTAAAGTATGGCAGAATTGAAGCTTACGAGGTGGCATGGGATGAGCAGAATCACCTGCGATGGTTACACGACCATGATGGTTGTCCCATTGCACGGGGTCCTTCCATAACGTACATATGTCCGCAGGGACCTAGGAGGTTTTGATTAGTGGAATGCCTAGATACAACACAGCTACAAGAATAGTAGATCACAACTTACTTCAGTTCCCTCTGTCAACCATTTGATAGCGCTTTTCCATGGATCAGTCCATAGTTCCACATTACTCTGTAGAATCTCAAGTCTCTCCTGGCTACTCAAAGCAGTCGCCTGTGCTTGGCGCACCGGATCCTCTTGGAGAAAACTGCACAATAGTTGGAATACCCAAGTCTCAGGTTTCTCCTTGTCCACAACATCTAAAGCCACCAACATGACCAAAGACTTAAGCTCGTGATTGGTACCAAAATTCATGATAGGATGAAAAGCAGGATTATTTTTCAAATAAAGAGCCTGCTCTGCCGTGTATGTTGTTTTCATATTGTAAAGAGTATATGGCATAGGTGTGAGGTTTCCTTTATCCCCAAGTAGAGTAGTACGAAGTAAAGATCTCGCCCCATCAGCGCCTACAAGGTGGGTTCCTGTAGCCGAGGTCCCATCTTCGAATGTGACTGTGACATCTGTATCTGAAGCTGTGAAGGAGGTGAGTCTTTTGTTGTATTGTATCTGTAGACCCTCGGCGAACAATTTCCTCAGTTTCTGTCTGCCTACACGTCGTAGATTATCGGCCGGAAGAGTTAACAATATTTCTCCGGTTTGCGCATTCTTGAATGGCAGAGGTGGCATAGTTTCTTTTTCGTAATAAGGATCGCATTGAGCGGACTTTATTTTCGCAAAGATTTCGTCTGGAAGGCATGTACTAAGATGTTTCGAGCCCCAATGTAAGGCCATCGACCAGTCGCGAGCACGCTCGGTTGGGTTTGCTGAGGCTAATCGCTCGAATATCTCGAAAGATATGCCTGCTTTCTTGAGTCCTTGCGCTATCAACAGACCGGTAGTGCCTGTTTGTGTTAGTGAGTTCATGATAGTGATCTGACAGGAAAGCTACCGGCTCCAATAATCAATACTTTCATATCTGAACTCATTTTGCTTTTGGTCTGCGCACGATCTCAAATCTGCTATTTGCTTTGTGGTGTTTATTCTAATTTCGCTGGAAGATGTTTGTTCTATGATTCACTCCGTCCTCATCAACGACGAATACTTTATACTTAGAGTCTCATCATGCACGGACACCCGCTTAAGCTTTGGATCCTCGACGTAAGGATATTAAAGATATATGAAAACTGAAGCAGGGTTACTTTCAACTGCGGGGAGACCATGAGCACCTCATAGCTTTCATTGGCTCTTGCATATATAACATTCCAATCGGCCCCACTGCTGAGTGAGGAGCGGCTTGAATGTCTCGGGAACGGCGGGCTCATGAATCTTGCCGTCGATCGCAAAATAGTTACATCCGATTCTCTTCGGCTTTGTCTGTATCACATTGTGCGCTATTTCTACCTTGTAATCATGAATGTGTAGGGTCGTTATTTAGGAAGTCATTTTGCACAGTCAAAAGCACTTATTGAAACAACAGAACTTTTGCCATCAACTTTCAACAAACTAGCTAGACGCGTTCGAATGATCATGATGAAGAACCCTTGTTCCAAAAAAGCACCGAGAGCTTGGTATTACACTGGGCGTGTTCAATAGTCCGGATCGCAGGACGTTAAACAGTCGAGTTTAGGTCTAATGGGAAACTGAACAGTCCGTTCAGGATAGTAGAAGTCTCCGACGGATAATAGAAGCTGCCGACAAGCTAGACTGCACTCCGGACGAGCCGGATTTTTGGACTGGTGATGTCACATGACATTCGGTTTGTTTTGAAACATGCTTTGTCAAATCATGTGATATGTCTTAATCAATCCAAAAATCTGGATTGTAGTCTAAACTTTTTACTATTAAACTATCTAATCCGAATTTTGAATATTGAAAAGTCCTTGATAGTTCCACCTAATCCAATAAAACCACAGATTAACTCTCTAAACTGCCGCCCAAAGTTTAGACAGTAGGACTATTGGATATACTGACTATACTACTTGCTGATCCCGCTGCCATGGTCAGCCTTTGAGAAAGATCAGCCATATTTTCCTAATTGAACCATTTTTGCACGATATCACTTCTGAGCGTTATATACAGAGTAGCTCTTGAAGCTATGTATTTTTGTGAACTCGCCAATTTCAAGTACTGTCGCTCATCGATGTCCCTTCGCTTGCCAGTTCAGCACTAAAAATACTTTGGCTTCCTGCATCCGTGCCTTCATCATCTGAAACTTCCGAATCGTTATCGGCTATCACATTTCCTATATTTCCCATACAAATCGAAAATTCCTTTCGCATCTTTACAATCCATTCTAGCAATGTCTGATTGTCCATGGGACTATTGCGGAGCTGCTCGAGATTCTCTTTCAAGGCAAGAAGAAGCTTCCTCCTTTTATTTTTTGCCATAGTCCGAGAACTCTCCTTCTTAGCAGCGGTTCGAGCAATGATAGTCTTCGAGACTTCCTCGGCCACTGCGAGAACCCTTGGAGGCAAATCAACCACACGCGCTAGAGCAATACCATAGTGTTGTTCTTTAACACAGCCCTGACTAAGTCTATAGAGCATTGTCATGGAATTCAAATCACTCATGTCGACTGACAAATGATAAACTTCAACTCCAGGACGCTCAGACATGATTTGTGCTCCTTTATGTCAGCAGGCATATTCATGAGACGGAGATCAGATATTACCACATACCAAGCTCTTTGAAATGGGTGGCAAACCAGATGACTGCTCGAGTCTGTGATAATGCTTCTGCGATGCTTAAAGCAATTGCAAGACCGTCCCTTGTACTGGTCCCACGGCCAAGTTCATCAATTACAGCAAGGCTTCTCTCATCAATATTTCTATAACCACTGATCAGTAAAATTCGAGACACGAGAAAGAATTTGGATCACCTAAGTATGAATGCCGTTTCCCTCATTTCTGAAGCGAAAGTAGAAACATTTGCTTCAATACTATCGTCCATTGACACGCGAGCGAAGAGTTGATGAATTATTGGAAATGAAGCGTAACTTGCTGGTACAAAGCAACCCACTTGCGCCATCACACTCATAAGAGCAATTCCTCGTATATACGTACTTTTGCCGCTCATGTTACACCCGGTAATTATCTGGAAACGGGATTGTTGCGTTGCATAGTAATCATTGGGCACGAATTTATGTGATGGCACCTGAAAAAGACGCAGATTAATATTTTTAGTTGATATGTAATGAGCCATACGGACCTTATCTCGAATAGGATGGCGGCCAGACTTGATAGCGATGCATTCTGTTATCTCTGGCCTGACATAGGATTCCTGGCTCGTGACTAATTTCCCAAAGGATGTGATCATATCGAGCATGGCGATACTCTCGCAAACTTTAAAGAGGTTAGGGATTTCGCCTCGCAGATTTTCGAGAAGTCCTTGAACTGTTTTATCGCTTCCCAAAATGACTTCTATGTGAGAGTCTTCAATTTTCTGGTTGAATTTTATCAAATCTAGAGTCTGGCATTCGAAATATCCTTTTTTGCGAAACCGATTGATGAGTATATCCGGTATGCTTCGACCCTCAAATTCGTTTTCGGAAAATCGAAGATAGTATTTCCGGAGATTATCGAATCTAGTTTCGCCTTGAATTTCATATCTCTCTGCCACCAGTTGTGAGTAAAATGCAACACATTGAAGAAGGCGAGCATACGATGAACTTCTGTCACATGCTGATGGACATCTTCTGTCACCTCTTTAAAAGTTTGACGTGCTACATCCAAAAAGCCACTCACCCCTGCCTTCACAGCATATGTCCGTTGATTTCGTAAATCTAAAGGAGTCTTCTGATATGTAACATCCTCGTTTATGACCCCGTTGATAAGCTGGATTGTGGAATTGACAACTTCAGTACGGCAGTTGTTGCGAATCTCAACTAATAGCTCCGATCGAGCGCCCGATAGGCTTTCAAAGACCGGGCCAATAGATTGCGCAAAAGATTTTAGCATCAGAATGTTGTTTATATCTTGCTCCGAGTTCCAAATGCCTGGGACAGTTGGGATAATGATAAGCTACAAGATGTTAGGGGGCAGTAATGTAAATTTAAAAATGGAACCCGAGCACGTACGCAAGTAAGTAGCTTTTCAATGTCAGGAATCGACCTCAGAGCTGTAACCTGGTTAGTAAGGGTCGAAATATGGCTGCGCGTCAACATGAAGATGAATTAAATGACAAAAGCACACAATAATGGCATTGAACCAACCTTGTCTAGTCTGTAAGAACATGTCTTCATTTTCCGAAAACTCGGCCAACGCGTCATAGCGAGCATTTAGTAAATTTGACTGAGTCGAAGGCTGTAGAATATTGCTTCTCAAGAGCCGTGATCCCATTGGTGTCAGTGTCTCGTTCATGAGTCCAAATAAACAATCTTTTGACTTGGCATTCTGCAGATTCTGGATTAGTTCAAGTGATTGAATGGTAGCAAGATCTATCATCATAGAATCCTCCGAGGGCTGATATTTAACTCGAAGAGAATGAAATGCAAAAGTAAGGGATAAACTCATATCAATATATTTCAAAGCCTACGCATAAACAACATGTCAGTAAAGTAAATGTCACAAGGGAGGGTGCTGCTGGCAAGGCTTACCGCACAAAAGCAGCACACCGAAAAGTAGTTGCCTCCTATAGCCACTTTTATTGCCTCTAGATCTTCCTTAAACGCCAACTGCTGAATATATTCAATGCCAGACGTTTCGGACCAATAGCGACGATCCACTGTGATGATCCTAGCTCCCAAAATATTCTCTTCCACAATTTGGTACATCTTGGATTTAGGGTTAGGAGGTCCGGAAGTAGACACAATTAAGATCTGGGTAGGTTCGAAGACTTGTAACTTGTGAAGAGTTTTGACATAGAATTGATTGTCGCAGATCTGACTGAGGACTGCCTCGCCAGTTGATATATTGACTAGCGCCAACCCAACAGTCGGAGATACTCCACGTCCTTCACTGACAGCACAAATAATGTGCTGAGACTCACCTCCAAAAATTGAACTTTCCCTTGACTTACGCCCAGTGCTTGGACGAGATGTACTAGGACGAGCTGTACTTGAACGACCGCCATGTGGGGGCAAGGAATAGGAATTAGAATCGGTATACCCATGCTGATATGATGTGGATGGAGTACTGTAGGAAGTAGAGGGTCTCGATAATGATGCCATGCTCACTATCAAGCGCAGACCATGTAATCTCGAATCTGCAAGTGAGACTACCAGTTAACAGCTAAAGTGTTAGTTCGTTTAACAAGATGGATGGATTGCTTGAGTGCAAAGAAAGACATTCAATTGATGAAAACCATCAGGTGAATTGGATTGGGATGAAGATGGAAATTTAGGACTTGATGATCAATTGCCTGGTAAGGTTAACATGGAAATGCAGAACTTGACGATCAATTGTCAGGTAGGGTCCAGAACATGAAGAAGTAGATCTTAGTTGGAATCTGGGTATCGTATGATGCTTCATGAAGATCAATGGTAGATATGAAAGAATATGAGACATAAGCATGAATATAGGTTATTTTCTAGATCTCAATGATATGTCAGTAAGATATCAATGCAATGATAGTATGACAGTATGATGGAAGAAGGAATTATAAAGTGGTAGGTAACCTGACTCGTGGGGACATTTACAATGTGAATGCACGGACCACTAAAGGATAGAACCTGGATAAGAGAGGACAGATAACAGATAACAGCCACAGCAACGCCACCTTTTTTCGGTTTCTCTCTGATGATTGGCCTTATTGTCATGATGACTAATCAGATCTACATCGATAAGCAAACCCCGCAAAAATTTCTGTCAAGCTATGAGAAATGTAATAATCCCTGGCTACATATAAATTCCACGAAGACCCATCCATCGCAAAAGTTCACTTTCTACTTACATACTTTCTTTCTCGAAATTATAATAGCAGTTAGTCAACTACTTTTTCGAAAAGGCATCGCAACTCATTGTCCAATTTCAATCCCTAAATTTGACTTGTACATTGACATTCCTCCACCATGGCGACCGTTCCCCCCCCTCCAAGCAAGAGGCAAAAGACTGATGCTCTTATGAAGGCAAGAGCACAGCAAGAGATAAAAGAGATACCTGCCGACGCTCCGAATCTTCTTATTCAATTTTTAAACAGAATTACAGGTGAACCGATTGGAGATGGCCCAATATTTGTACCAGTAGCCAATACAGATCGTAAGAGTCTTAACCTATTAGTTAATAAACTTATGAACTCGGTGAGTCAATATCACAACCCAGATACCCCATTCTGAAAGCTAATTACATGCAAAGAGCGAAAACATATCTTACACATACGATATTGAGATCAGCGAGAAGGGGGCGAAAGAAAAAAAAATCATACCATTACCTGCGGATGTTTACCATACTCTAATGGCACCGGGAGCTGTTCGCGAGGAGGGACACCGTGCTGTGGGTGTAGCCCCAGAAGCGGTTTTCAGAGTTCAGGCAGTCTCGAGATGTGCTTCTACGATTCTCGGTCATGATCAGGCTATTCTAGCTACTCAGTTTTCTCCTAGATCCTCCTCAAGAATGGCTAGTGGCAGTGGAGACAATACTGCGCGTATTTGGGATTGTGATACAGGAACTCCTGTACACACTCTAAAGGGACATAAAAGTTGGGTTTTGGTCGTTAGTTGGTCGCCAGACGAATCGAGACTCGCGACGGGAAGTTATGATACTACTGTCAGGATGTGGGACCCTAAGACTGGGAAGCAATGTGGCAAACCGATGACGGGCCATACAAACTGGGTTACGAGTTTGGCATGGGAACCGTATCATGTTCAGAAACCCGGTCAGCCTAGACTGGCTTCAGCTTCAAAAGACGCCACTGTTAGAGTGTGGTCGACCAATCAACAGAAAATTGAATTGGTTCTAAGTGGTCATAAAGGCACAGTGTCGTGTGTCAAGTGGGGAGGAACTGGATTCATCTATACCGCATCTCACGACAAATCCGTCAAAGTGTGGAATGCCGAAGACGGAACTCTCGCGCACTCCCTTAATGCTCACGCGCATTGGGTCAATCATCTCGCCTTATCCACAGAATTTGTCATGCGAACAGCGTATCATGACCACACTGGCAAGATCCCAGCGACCGACGAAGAAAAGGTCAAAAAGGCCAAGGAACGTTTTCTCAAAGCCTCCGAAATTGAAGGCGAGATCGTGGAACGCCTCGTCTCAGCTAGCGATGACTTCACCATGTATCTCTGGGACCCAGCCAAGCAAAAAAAACCAGTAGCACAAATGCTAGGTCATCAGAAACAAGTAAACCATGTAGCGTTCTCCCCCAATGGACGATTTATCGCATCATCTGGTTTCGACAACCATACGAAAATCTGGAACGCCCGCGATGGAAAATTCATAAGTACGTTGTTAGGCCATGTAGGCCCTGTCTACCAATGTGCTTTTAGTCCAGATTCGAGATTATTGGTGACAGCAGGCAAAGATACCACGTTGAAGGTGTGGGATATGAGAACATACAAGCTAGCCAAAGGTATGTATATTCTCTTAGCTCTCTTCAATGTCCCAGTTGGGATTTTACAATCATATGCTTTCAATATCTTGGTTGAGAATTGACATTCACATGATTCAATATCTTGATTTGAGAATTGACATTCATATGATCTCATTATCCCAATTGAGATCCAACATTCATATACTCTCAACATCCCAATCCCAATTTGACATTTAGATGCTTACCCAGTACTTACTAATATAATCAATCATAGACTTGCCTGGCCACAAAGACGAAGTCTGGGCCGTAGACTGGAGCCCCGACGGGGATAAAGTAGGAAGTGGTGGTAAGGACAAGGCAGTTCGTATTTGGAGGCATTAGAGATGCCAAAAATAAAATATCGTTAAATGTAGTCATGATTCTCATGCGCTCAAGTGGCTATCTCATCTTGGAACACAAGACGGGGAGCTGTTAATTGTTGATTGTGAATTCAGACAATGAGTGCATGATAGGTACTAACTATTCTATAGAGTTTTGAAGTTCCTGATTATTGATAAACTAAAATTCAAGAGATCATTTGATTATCAAATCTGTATTTGGACAGTGAAAACGCCCTGAAATTGCGTGCATCTTAAAGACGATTAACCTCACTACTACTACCACACCATATAGGGTTTATGATTGAGACATAACATACATATTAAATGTAACATACTATTTATTCATTTCTATCATGTGCAAACCCATATTTTATACAAGATGCCCTTTTCCTTTTCCATATAATTCACTTACTCCCTAACAAATAATCCTGCCATTCCCATTCCCGTTCCAATACACATACTAACAACACCTACCTGTTCTTCCCTCCTTCCCAACTCTGCCAATAATCCCGCTACCATTCTCGCTCCTGTAGCACCTAATGGATGACCCAATGCAATAGCTCCTCCCCTTGGATTAACATCTGCCTTCTCATATGCACTCATCAGTCCCAATTCCCTCACGCAATAAATTGCCTGACTAGCAAATGCTTCATTAATCTCCCACACATTTACCTCTTCTTTTTGAATGCCCGCTTGCTCCATCAATTTTGGAATCGCAAGTGCGGGCCCGATTCCCATTTCATCAGGTCGACATCCTGATATTGCTGTGCCGGCCCATTTTCCAATAATTGAAGAAGTTAATCCGAGAGCAGTAGCCGTACTCCGACGCATCATCAATGTAGCAGCTGCTCCATCTGAAATCTGCGATGAGTTCCCCGCAGTCGATGTACCATCTTCCTTGAATGCAGGTTTTAACTTCTGCATACTCTCTAACGTAGCACCTTTTCTAATCCCATCATCTTTCGTAACAGTAACTTCCCTCGGTTCTCCAACTTTCACCCCTCCTTTCCCCGTCTCCTGCCACATCGTCGTAACCGGTACGATCTCCGCATCAAACCACCCCTTCTCCTGTGCCTCTGCCGCCCGACGATGACTCTCCACTGCCAACTTATCCTGTTCCTCTCTACCAACTCCATACCTACTCGCTACATTCTCACTTGTAATCCCCATCGGCATAATACAATCCCTCGTATCTCTCTCCGCATCCTTCAACTCCGGCCACAAATCCACCGGAATAGCCTTCGACCCATAATTCCTTGTCATACTCTCCATTCCCCCACCAACCCCAATATTAATCCCTCCCATCGCAATAGAATTCGCAATATTGGTAATAGCCTGCAATCCCGAACTGCAGGCGCGGTTGGTCGTAGAAAACGCAGTGCGCGTATCGTAACCAGCGTGGTTCATAGCCATACGTCCGGCTTTTGAACCCCCGAGTTCGGAGAGCACGACTCCGACACATACGTCGTCTATGAGAGAGGGGTCGAGAGAGGGATTGGCGGATAGTGTTGCTTTGAGTACGCTGTGGAGGAGTTGTTCTGGGTAGGCGGAGGAGAGTTGACCTTTGTAGGAGCGGGTTATGGGAGTGCGGAGGGAAGTGAGGATGACGATGTCTGAGGAGTCTTTTTTGAGGATCTGGGAGAGCCCTCGGCGAAGAGGTCCGGTTGACATATTGGCTGGTGAATGTGAGATATCGGAATGGAGGGGTAGTTGTTTGTTATCGATTTGATGCCAATTGGAAGGTTTCCTAGTTAAGTTACACAGAAAGTGTATGTGAAGTGAAATACAGTAAGAATAGAAGAAAACAATATTGAAACGAAATGAAAATATTTAACCTACACGAAACCTACCCCATTCATTGATTGATTAATATGTCCTTGAGGAAGAGAACATCGGCATCCAAAGTCGGGGAGACGTAGTGTGGAGAGTCTGAGCCGGGCCAATCACAGAGCAGTCGCATAAGAGCTTATCCGAGAGGTTTGGTCCATGGGACAACTTCGTATATACTCGAGCATCAAAATAATCGTATTTTTGAGGCAAAATAATTAAGACTTGCAAAGCTAAGTTTATATGGAATAACAACTCTTTGTACTACTTTACTAGAGCATACGTTTCCAATGGGAGGGTTACAATGTCTTAACCTTAAACCATGGGTTCGTCTGACAATTCTGCACTGCGCCGCAAGGGCACCATTAGGAGGGTCGTATTCTAGGACTACGAAAGCTAAATGGTAATGTAAACGTGGTATTCTCTCTGTCAATGACATCCATCCGAGGAATTTACGCCATCCGAATGAGTTAAGTGTCCAGTTGCAATTTAAGCATACTTGTGATGAAATGGATAAAATCAAAGCAAAGAAAAGGATGTCATTTGCCTTGCTCCGTCAACGCCCCCGTGGTATTTGAATGTATTTACATAGAACATATAAGGAGGTTAGAATGGCCCCCGACATAACATCATCAAAGCGTCCTGCACTCTTCGCCTCTCGAAAAGAAAACATGAATATACGAAAAGAAAACTCCAGCGACCAAGCACGTTTTCCTCTAAACCAAGCACGACCGCAAGCGTGATCGTACTGTCTCCCAATCCCTACTTTATCCTCAACATTCTCTATGCCTCAAAGCCGATTTCTCTCCTGCTATTAAAGCGACTCGTTGGCTCACACAAATCCAACCACATGGTACCGGTGTTCAATGGACAGGAACGGGTAGCTTTTTGGTCAGGAGTATTGTATGCATCTTTGCAAAGTGCACCTGAAGGACACTTCAACTTCACGCAAGTGCCTGATCCACTGCCAGTGCCAGTAGGACTAACTTTCACATTATCCTTCATGAAAGGAGTTCCCACCAATCCAGCCCCGGCGCCATCCAAATCACTGAGATCCCAATAAAGAGCGGAGTATTGGCCCGTTGTCCAGGTATACTCGAATTGAAGAATCGAAGGGGTGGTTTTCCAGTTGGAGGTCTTGGCAATCTTTATCGCTGTTCCATGCCCGTCAGTGTCCCAAGGGAGTGTGACTGTGCTGCTAGCTCCGTTGCCAGCTTTGATGTGCCAAGGGCTGGCATTGGAAGCCGTGGAACAAGCGCCATTGGTACCGACGTTGCAGCCTCCGCCGTTTGACTTGTAGATGTAAACATCTTGGGAGCACCTAAATCATGTTAGTGAGCCTATTAGTATTATTGAAGGTAAAGAAACAGACCAATTGTTGATTGTAAGAGAAGCAGATGCCGTCGAGGCGAGAGCAGCAAGAGCTGACAAAGCATAGGAAAGATGCATTTTTGCAATTGAATGTATGGAATTGAAACAAAAAGGAGTGTGGGTAGGACTAAGCCTGAAAAATAAAGAGCGACTATAAGCTATAGAGCTTTCAAAAATATCAAAACTGGAGATGCAGAAACTTCATATATGATGATGCAAGGAAACCCCCCAAGCGGGGGATATCCAGAATATATAGAGATTGGATGAAGCATAGAGCGTTGAAAGAAAGTAAGACCGAGAGGATTATACGAACAAGTTTCGATTCATGCTCGGCATGGTGGCTCAGTATATAGGGAGGAGTGAGCAAAAATTGTACGCTCCTGAAATAACGGGAGACATGATCCTGCTAAACATAGTTTTGACAGTAAAACTGCTCTCTAGATGTGTTTCACGTGTCTTTGATGTAATTTTACATTCTCAAATCTTACTGGGCATCAGTTCAAAGGATGAGGATGATATTCCTGGAAAAAATCACGTTCGCTTCTTCTGGTGTGTTTCTCCTTTTGGATGTAAATGTAACATCAGCTGACATGAAACTTAGCCAAGACCAATAGGAGGGCTGAGTAGAGTTTCTTGGATTGGGGTCCTGGTTAGATTAAAATGTATTTTGAGATTGGGTTGATGTCAGACTTCACTGTTCTGTAAGGTAATAATTATATTTCACTAGGGTAGGCCACTTCCGTGCTTGCCATAACCTCATGTGGGTAAAAATTATCTTCAACTCCTAGTGACGTTTAACACCATCGTTTCTTCAAGGGAAACAGAAAACTCGTGGAGTGACTCTGGCATTTCGAAGCACTGTTTGTCTAGACTGGAGATCCACGAATCTAGGTAAAAAATGGACATTAACATTCCAGGTTTGTTGTAACAATCACAGCCATACAAAACTGTGCCCAGTGGAGATTGGCTCCCCTCAAAGATCTTGCTGTGAATTTTACCTACTTGTACTGTTTCTAAGCGAGGCACATGGCCATATTCCTTCTCACAACGCTACCTCTCGCATATAAAAATAACTCCTTTCCAAAACACCTTCCCTAACCAGAAGTGTACGGAGTTTCCTGTTTGTATTGTTGAAATCGCTTAATCTGTTTGATTCCTGATATTCTCGTGGAAACGAGAAATAATGAATTGACAGTTTGAGGTATGCGATCCTCAGCGGTGGTTTTTAATGTTCCCACCTCACAATTTCATGAAGATGACACACTCAAATAATTACGTGATGCCAATTATATTTTAAGGGAATGGTAGATGTCCAACAAACATCTAAGTTGGTAAAATATTATGGTTTCTGATGCTTCAATGGGAGACCAACTAGGCTCAAAACATCGAAGCGGCCATTCTGTTCTAACGCGGATTTTTGGAGATCTTTGAAAGATATTGATTACTGACAACACCATTTAGGCCGAAGGAGAACCCTTCATTCATCTTGCATAAGACTCGACATTGGGTGACTCCTGCCTCGAACCTCCAAGAGCAACGTCATTCCTATTATGTAAAGACGCTGCAAGAACGATCTCCAGATTTAGCATGCTGGAAGGATAATTCTCCGCTCGAGTTGGGATCCATTGATGGACAGTCAGGCAAGCGCACAGCATGCATTGAAGATCTAGGTATCAGAAAAATCATTGATGACGGAACGTGTGAATAGTTCCATCAGTTCTCATTGACAATGGCCAATTCATCACTTGATGTTCACTGAAAGTCCAGCCACGTGAACAGATCTCTAAGCTCTGCTCTAGTGCATGTTTGCCACAGAAGAACATCACCATGCAAGGTCGCCAGTGCACTGCCTTTAAGGTAGATGATGCTCCATTCTCTGAAATGTACCTAGTACTTATGCCATTGAGATCCGTCTGCCAGTTAGTAAATAGTTCAAAGTATAGAAATTCATCGAGCCGTCAAGGACAATCCGTGATAAAAGCCGTAATTTGTATTGCTAGCCTCGATCGTGAAGACAGTCTGATCTCTATCCTTAGCAATGTGGCGGGTTGTGCATTGTTTATAGTATAGGTTATTGTTCGGCATTAATCTAAACGTCATAGAGTAGAAACCTCTCACTACGATATTTCATATATTTTCCGAATACGAATAGACTTATACTTAGTAATTCAAACAGCCAATGGTATCCTTTATTTACACTTGATCACATGAATGAAATACCATTATAGCCACATCAGGATCTTTTAGAGCTAGAAGCTTTCAATTTACCCCTCGATGCTTCCAACCGATGATATACATATCGGCAGAAAGGACGTGTATATGTACAGTACCCGTGTGAATTTCCGATATTCGAAGAATGTGAATAGTGATCCCCATGAATAAATGAATTGACTGACGATATATATTTGGCTTGCTACATTAATTTTGCAGTTTCTTCAACGTTGGAATATAATAAACCTATTACTCGTGACTGAATTGAATTGAGCACAAAACGAATCATGATCGATCGGGACCCGGCTACAGTTCAACGGGAATAACCTCACCCGCTTTTTCCCGTTTTTTGATTTGAATAAAATTATCTCTGATTGGCTGAGACGGTGAGGTAAGCGACTTTGTCGGCATTTCGGTTCAAGAGCAAAGCAGTTTCGCCTTCTCCACAACTTCTTAATTGTAATTGACAACTTTGTCTGTATTTTGTCTTTATACCTTGATATTATCTCAAGCAAGAACTCTATCCGACATTGCTACATACAAGATTGTAATAATACTTACCTACTTTCAACCTCATTCAAGCCATTCAATTGATTCTGATACTTCAATCTTACTTCCATAATGGCATCTCTCCGCACAAGTGCACGATGTGCACGCTCGATATTTGCCGCCTCGCGACCAGCTTTCAGAACACAGATGCGTACTATGGCATCGGTCCAAAGTCAAACAGCCGTCGACAGTCCTACCATTTCACCATCTCGTCCTGTCGAACCTGCTTCTAAGACATCTACTGTCAAGGAACCTGAAACCGATTCTAACTCTTTGATCAAGACATTCCACATCTACCGATGGAATCCAGATGAGCCAGCTAGCAAGCCCCGCATGCAATCATATACTTTGGACCTCAACAAGACTGGACCCATGATGTTGGATGCGCTCATTAGAATTAAGAACGAAGTCGACCCTACTCTTACATTCCGAAGATCTTGCAGAGAAGGTATCTGCGGTAGCTGTGCAATGAACATCGACGGAGTAAACACACTGGCTTGTTTGTGTATGTTGACAATCCATTTGGTATCATGAATACCCTTGCTAACAATTTGCTTTGTAGGCCGCATTCCTAGAGACGCCAAGCACGAGACCAAGATCTACCCACTACCCCACACCTATGTCGTCAAGGACATTGTTCCTGATTTGACCCAATTTTATAAGCAATACAAGTCGATTAAGCCATATCTTCAACACACTGATCCAGCACCAGGAGGAAAGGAATATTTGCAATCTAAGGAGGAACGTAAGAAGCTTGATGGTCTTTATGAGTGCATTCTTTGCGCATGTTGTTCGACATCTTGCCCCTCCTACTGGTGGAACAGTGAAGAGTACTTGGGACCAGCTATCTTATTGCAAAGTTACAGATGGCTCGCAGATTCTCGTGATCAGAAGAAGGAAGAGCGTAAGGCAGCTTTGGACAACAGCATGAGTTTGTACAGATGTCACACAATTCTCAACTGCTCGAGAACATGTCCCAAGGGATTGAATCCAGGTTTGGCGATTGCGGAGATCAAGAAGGAAATGGCTTTTTAAGAAGCCTTTAGCGAGATGATATCAATTTGGGGGATATGATGGGAAAGCATTTGAGCAATGGGTTGTGGTGTTTTAGGGCGGTTACTGCTAAGTCAGTTTGTGTAGATAATGAGATTAACATGAATTTATCAGCACATGTTTTGTTTTTGTCTTCAACTCTGGTCCTCCAGGCTGGCCTATTACTTGTGACTTTAAAGCGAGGAGGAAGCACCGAAGCTTCGCGAGTGTGATGTTCTTCAAGAGACAATTCGGCTCACAGTGGCCACAAAGTTGACAAAAGGTATCTCACTGTTTTATTTGCAGTTCTAGAGCAGACTTCCTAGCAGTAATGGAACCTGTATATCTCCATTTTAATTTCGCATAAATCGGGTGATTTGCCTATTCAAGCAGAATAGAAAAATTCACATATTCAGAGTAATGTGAGGGCAGTGCGCTCGGAGATGAATTGTGACACCAAGGGGGAAAAAAGTAATTGTATGTCGATACCCGAAGAATGCGGAAGATACCAATAATGTTTCCACTGGTTATAAGTCATCATGAGTTCATGGGTTGCGTGGAAAACCCAAGGGGGTAGCAAGATTGGGTGCAGGGAGATAAAGAGAGGCGATGTTTGGAGATTGAAGATTGAAGACTGATCGTGGTTTGGTTAGGTTTTTAGATTTGAGTGTTCGCGTGGTAATCATAACAAGATGACTCCTCGCGGTTCTAGAACGCAGCCCTTCAGATTTGTAAGCGAAGCTCCGAGGGGAAGATCTAAAGCATGCGAAAGGTGGCCTGCTAGTTGCGGGTTCCTGTGGAGGTCCTCGCTAGACGGTACTGTAGTTTCCATAGCGTGAGGGGGGATTTAATGGTAATGATATTTCTGTGGAAAATACTACGAATGATGTATTGGATTCTCTGGGTGTGCTTTATGATTAGATTGAGGATGTTGTTTGGATATTCTGCAGGATAGGATTAGTTGCGCTAGCTGAGCCGAAAAGTTCTTCACCTTCTGTTGTGGGAATGGATAGGATAGATTTGATGGCTACAGTACTGCAGGCAAGGTCATAGTCTAGTGAGCTGGTACCTACCTGTTTATCGAATTTTTATACCGAATACTCTACCGGAGATGATCAGTGTGCTGTGAGGCAAAAGCATATCATTTTATATATGTCACCAAAGAAATCTCCTTCCAGCCCAAGAAATTCGATGGAAATAAACTGTCCCAGTTACCAGCTCAATCTTGGACTATCTAATTGCCCTCCATCGCAAACATACATACAGAGCAATTCGCTTCATCAATATATACCCAAAACCACCATCTCCAACTTCGATTCTTGAAATATAAAAATTACCATCATCCTTGTATCTACCTACCTACACAACACAAGAAATTCCCGACCTTACTTACCCTCCAGACAGGAAATCTCTCTGCGATGTCCTGCGTATGTATGTATGTATCATGATAGTCAAGAAAGAGCAAGTTTCGAAAAATATTCGTATATTAATCTTACAAAAGTCAGGACTTATTGACAATTGAGCAGTCACTTTATTTTTCTGCCGGGATAATATATCCAAGGAATTAATCAATCATTTGAGATTAGAGGTCTTCTGTACTATAGTCGAACTTAGCATTCGATTCGATGTTTTATAGCTAGTCTCTTCTCTCCTCTGGGAAATACTTCTTCAAAGACCTCCCTTCAAGTTCTAGACGATATAAATTCGATGAGTCTATGACTGACAAAAATAGCGAGGAGACACTTCTGCACAATAAACACAGCTGGGCCTTTTTCCACCACCGGTGATACGATAGGGACCGAGGGAGATGATAGAGGGATACTCGCGCTTCTAGAATCTATGATATCACCCACATGGATGAAGAGGACTTCGACATCGATGATTTGGACTTCTGTCGTATCTATTGCTCGTGATGAAACCATGCATGGCATGAACATAATGCTTAAAGAAAGAAGAAAGCGCTTGCGTGCACACTGTCTAAGGAATACTATACTCTATCGCTGAAGATAGCGTACTTGAAGACTAATCTTCCGCATGGTCATGGACTCATGGCGAGTGATTCTTTTTATATGGAACGTCGGGTGTAGTGTAAAGAGCGGACTTGAGTGGGTTTCAATTATAATTTATGCGGGGACTTTTGGACGAAGTATGAAATCTGTGAATTCTTTTTTTTTTTTTTTTTTTTTTTTGTTTGAGGATATTTAATTTAATTTAATTTAATTCAATTCGATTAATACGAATTTCATTAATTTATTCTTGTAACGCGTACAGTATAAATGAGTCATCTTTTGAGATTGTAATTATATCCAATTCCTAGATCTTAAATTCCATTAGCCATATTATCGAGGATAATTTGAAGACGATGAAGAATAATTATGCAACTGCGTTGAAGGAAAAACTACTGGAGGGCAGGGGCCTTGAGAATGAGGTTTTGGGGAAATTGATTGAGAAGATTGAGATACTCGAAAGAGGATGGACGTGATATAAGCCGGTTTCTTGGGGTAACCTGTTCTAATATAGAGGATGGGCTGTAAACTAATTAGTCATTTTTCATTCGGGGATGAATCGAACGAATGTTGCTCTTCTCCTGGCATTCACATTTGAAACTACTTACTTTCCGATCAGGACTTTGTTACATGTAATAAACTCGATCTCTGTCGCCCTAATAGCGATGTGGATCATATCGGCGGAATATCCCATTCATACCCTGGCAAAAGTATCAAGCATATTGCACCAGCAAACCATTTTTGCATCTCCAAAAGAAAATACCTTATCCTTTCTATATAATAATAGTACTAAAAACAACTTCTACCAAGTTCCCACCACATTTCTTGTATGAAAAAAACCAACACATCTTCGAACGCAACTCAAGCTCTTGTATCCCCAATGTTTGGCAGTCTATCTTAGACTGCCATGGATTGGAGATTGGTCTCTATATTTGATAAATCCATCATTTCGATATGTAGTTAAGGATATCAAATTCAAAATTCCTAGTGAACGGGATTTCTAAAAATACTATTGATATTTTTAATGGCCACAAGATTGGCTAAAGTCTTTGGCCTAAAGAGGAAATTTCGGATAAATCAGTATAGCAAAAGAACTACGTCACGCAAAAAAAAAACTGCATAATGAGAAGATAATCGAAGGAAAAGAAATGAAAAGAAAGAGAGTTCCTCCATAGGGTTAACTACTCCGTGGACTAGCATGGATTGTATAGAGTGATACATCAGGTATTATCAGAAGGTAATCACGTTTACCTACTTTTGCCTAACAACGTGAGATGAATAGTAGCTCGTATACATGAACATGGATCGTAATTTTGTACGTATGGGTATTTTTTTCCCCATAGGATAGTGGGCCAGGGGTACTGTTATCCGCAGTTCCTTTTTGTCGACTCTTTTTTGTGGTTTTTAATTCCCCGATTTTTACATAAACCTGATCCTTTATTTTGTTCTTTGATTTCGCTTTGTACAATAATGCATGCGTTTCCATCATCATATAGCTGCATAGCGGAAGCTAATCTGTAAATTCAAACATGAATGGTTTCGACGACTCGAGAGGTTTCTGGCCGGATAGGCAAAATACTAGTCTTTGTTTACAAGGCTGGAGTGCCCGATAATGTTGCGCCGCGAGCCTTAGGCTTTTACCTCTTTTTCCCTCTTTTTTGGCAAGTACCTTTCCTTTTCTACTTTTGTATATGCATCGGTCTTTTTCCATTTAAATCGAGGCAAATCAAGATTTGTCTCTTAGCTCAAAATGTCATTTTCACCCAAATGCGCAAAGCGACGAATTATATCTCCTCAAATAAGACACGTGATTTCATCCCAGAGAGATGGCGCAGCTGCACAGCTCCAAACACGACTCTCATCGCTAGGTCTAAAAGAAGGTGCAGCTACACCCCCCTAGTCACGAACCTCGCTTTTAGGCCAGCGAGAAGATAATTCAGGAGTAATAGACATAAGGGAGATTATCGAGTTCACTACTCAATTAGAAAGTAACGAAGAAAAAACAAACTATTGTTTTGAGACACTTGAGACTCTAGATGTACGTAAAACTGACATATTTGAACATATAAATATCGTGTTTAAGTTGCTCAAAAGCAACCCAGCTTGGTGGAAGGGTAGATATACCGAAGAGGCTCTCAACCATCAACTTCTCCACATTCGTAAAGGGTTGGAGGAAAACATACCACGCATTCGCGTGCGTCGCATGGAATGACTGGGATCCTGATGCTGCCCTTACCTCCTGGGAAGATAAAGAGTCTGTAAATATTCCTATTTTTAAATGGTGGTGGGAAATGGATGGAGGAGTCGCACGAATTATAGAAGATGAGCTTGATATGTACAAATATCATACTCGTCAGCATTTGCATGGAGACGAAAGTAAAGCTTGGCTCCCAACAGCTTTTTATTCCATAGCGCAGCAGTTAGCATCGCAGGACCCAGTTCATTACGCAATATATGCAGCCCTAAGACCTGGTCACTAGACAAGCTTGTTTTCCTATCCGTACTATGCAAAATACTCGGAATTTGATGACAAACATCCAACTACAGGTGGATTTGAACATATTGACCAGAATGTTGAGAAACTTCTCACTGGGGAATCGGACTTGAACTCCTAGGTTCAAGGATCTATTAGTTTTGATGATGAATCTTCTAAAAACTGTACCAAGATAGCCCCAGGGTTTCATAAACCTGGAGTGCTTGAAAAGTGGTGGAGAGAGCTACCTGAGCATCATAGAAAGAATGGTCCAGCATCCCGCCCAACTGAACTGGGAAGCGGCCCCGTGTAGGGAAGGCAAGGCAAGATCCACTATGCCTCAAATTCCTCACGGCGCTCAACCTAGGTACGCTGGAATGAAGAAGCGGCGGACAATACTACCATGGTTATCAAGGGTTGCTGAGGATCAGACAACGCTCCCTGATACTAACAAAGGTGCTGAAACTGTCCAAGACGTTGCACTGGCCCGAATAGCCTGCATGCCACCCAAAGCTACCCAATCAGGCAAGCCTATATACAACTCGGACATTCCATATAAATACCCAGCATGTGTTAGACTTGAATCATTAGGAGCTTCGTCTGACACCCTTATTGGGCTCCGCCAGTGGGATGCGCCTGAAGTAATTTCGGAACAGGAAATATTATTTGGTGAAGATAGATCCGCAGCACTGGGTATTATTTCAGCATGGAGAGCAAAAGCTTGTACCGCTGCACATGTGGCATTTGATGTGATCAAGAAGACAGAGCAAGGAATTTTTCTGTCGAAATTATATTGGAATAAACAAGCTGCTGATTATCCATTTGACTGAGATGAATCAATTGGAGACATGGTCACAGGTAGCGGGGGAGAAGCTGAATTTGGGACTTTTGGTAACGAAGCGACTCCTCTTAGAAATTAGGAGAAGGCTTTCAAGGAAGATTACCCTATTGCATTAATGGCATGGATATTTGCTATCGAGAGCAACCATTTGGATTTTGGCGAAAGCGGTTCCAGGTTATATTGGGTAGATGATGAAGATTTGGAACGCCTCTTATATAGCAAATTCCAATTTGTACATGGTGTAGAGATACATAATGAATCAAAATAGAGCTATGGGAGGAATGAAACCGAACTAGAGAAGAATTGTGCAAATCGAAGATTCCAAGCTGTGGGATGATGGAGCTGGAGGTTATTCTGAAATCCATGAGTATGGTATCCGTGTATACCAGGCTGCTGGTGAGAAAGATAAGCAGGGTGAATGAAGTTGGAAAGAGAACAAAGAGAACAATGAGCAAAGATAAAGGCGGAGGGAGCTTACTTACGGAGTACTTATCAAGTGATGTCGGTGTTAAAATTATCCGTGATGCCTCAATAGGCTTAGATTCAAAATTATCGTAGCTGTCTGTCTTCCCCACCTTTTAATTCTTCGAGTTGCAGTGTTTCTGAGGTATCACCTGGGCTCCTATGCCAATTGTAGTACGGCATGTCTGTCCGTCTATCTGTCAGTCTGCCACTTAAGCTTACTGTCACTCCCTCAGCCAATTCACCAAATTCACCAAGACGTTATTATTAGTTGCAGATCTAGAGAGACCCACCAAAGACCCCACCTTCCGTATTGTTCACTAGCTCATTGATTCCCTTCCACTCATTTTTGTTGTTCCTTCTCTGCCCAAGGTTACAAAAGTGGTGGTTGTGTCATACTCATACTGTCATACTGTCATATTGTCATATTTTCTACTGCACATCCTCTACGGTACAGCATACGGGTTTCCTGTATTTGTAGCTACCTACATTTACTCTCACTTCCCTTCCTACTTCGATGTCAATGCGTATCTCCAATACCCTTACATCGTGTTTTTCTCGGCCTCCAGCCAGTATTTTTCTCTCCTTAACTAGAGCACAAAGAAGATTACCAGCTGTCAGCAGAACCTTTCAAAGTCTTTCAATTAGTTCATACCGAAGCTCAGCTTCATTGTATGTTATACCCCGCCATTTCTTTCAACCCGAGTCGCTCCTTCCATTCATTGTGCATGTTCTGAATACCAACCTCCCCTCGTGATACTTCCAACCAGTATTACTATTTCAGGCAAGCTCGATTCAGTCAAGCTCAATTTATTCACTATTATTCTAGCATCATTCAAAAGCTTACCGTTTATTGAAATATAGACTCTCCTTCCTTCAAACAAAACGTCCTGAAATTGTTAAACAATTTCCGAAATACTCCTTCAACAACTTCGGCAATCCGCCATTGTTCATACAGAAGACACAATATGTGTAGAGGCGTGCATGCTAGAGAGGAGGTAGAGAGTGCGGGAATGGATATTACCAAAGGGAGAGAAATCTTGCCAGCTAATGTTATTCCAAGACATTACGATCTTACATTAGAGCCCGACTTCAAGAAGTATACATATGATGGTACTGTCATAATTGATTTAGATGTTGCTGAGGATACCACTTCAATTTCCTTAAATACTCTAGAACTCGAGATACACAGCACCAAGGTCACCTCTGGATCTGAAACCATAAGGTCAGTGAATGGCCGAAAAGGTTTTTGCAAGATGTTCCCCATTCGAATCTAATATGCAATAGCTCTACTCCAGATGTCTCCTATGACGAGGCAAACCAAACCACCAAGGTTGCTTTCGAGAAAACAATTCCCAAAGGGGCAAAAGCACAAATCGAGATGAAGTTCACTGGTCAGCTCAACGACAAGATGGCTGGTTTCTACAGATCAACTTACAAGAATGCGGATGGATCCGAGGGTATTTTGGCTACAACTCAAATGGAACCGACTGATGCCCGAAGAGCTTTCCCTTGTTTCGACGAACCTGCTTTGAAGGCAGAATTCACGATTACTTTGGTAGCAGACAAAAAACTCACCTGCTTGAGCAATATGGATGTTGTTTCAGAGACCGAGGTCAACGGAAATAAGAAGGCTGTCAAATTTAACAAATCGCCACAAATGTCGACATATCTTTTAGCCTTTATTGTTGGAGAACTCAACTACGTTGAAACGGACAAGTTCAGAATTCCTGTCAGGGTTTATGCTCCTCCAAATCAGGACATTGAGCATGGAAGATTTTCACTGGATCTTGCAGCACGAACCCTAGAATTTTATGAGAAGACATTTGATAGCCCGTTCCCCTTGCCAAAGATGGTAAGCTTTTTATAATCTTCCCTATCGAAATACTCTAACTCGGTTTGTAGGACATGGTTGCCATCCCAGATTTTTCTGCTGGTGCCATGGAGAATTGGGGTTTGATCACTTACCGTGTCGTTGATCTTCTGTTCGACGAAAAGACTAGCGGCGCCTCCACAAAAGAACGTGTTGCGGAAGTTGTTCAACATGAGTTGGCTCATCAATGGTTCGGAAATTTAGTGACAATGGATTTCTGGGATGGATTGTGGCTTAATGAGGGTTTTGCGACATGGATGTCTTGGTATTCCTGCAACATCTTCTATCCAGAATGGAAGGTCTGGCAAAATTACGTGACAGATAACCTTCAAAGTGCCCTTGGTCTTGATTCCATCCGAAGCAGTCATCCAATTGAAGTACCAGTTCAGAGAGCCGATCAAGTCAACCAGATATTTGACGCTATTTCATATTCCAAGGGCTCTTGTGTCCTTCGTATGATTGCAAGCTACTTGGGAGAGGATGTGTTTATGGAAGGTATCCGTCAATACCTGAAAAAGCATGCTTATGGCAACACCCAAACCGGTGACCTCTGGGATGCATTGAGTAAGGCTAGCGGTAAGGATGTCTCAGCAGTCATGGACATCTGGACAAAGCGTGTCGGATATCCTGTTGTCAGTGTGACTGAGAATGAAGATGGGAAGAGCATTCACGTCAAGCAAAATCGTTTCCTGCGAACAGCTGATGTCAAGCCTGAAGAAGATGAAGTTTTGTACCCTGTTTTCTTAGGTCTCCGTACCAAGAGCGGTGTCGATGATGAGCTTGTATTAACCAAGCGAGAAGACACAATTAAGGTCCCTGCAGATTTCTTCAAATTGAATGCAGACCATACTAGCATTTATCGAACATCCTACACCCCGGAACGTCTTGAAAAGCTTGGAAAGGCGGCCAAGGAAGGGTTGCTAACCGTAGAAGACCGTGCAGGAATGATCGCAGATGCAGGTGCTCTCGCTTCCGCTGGGTATCAGAAGACCTCTGGTGTTCTAAACTTATTTAAGGGCTTCACTAGTGAAAACGAGTTTGTTGTTTGGACTGAAATCCTCGCCCGCTTGGGTAGTATCCAGAGTGCTTGGGTTTTCGAGGACAAGAAAATTAGAGATGGACTTGAGTCATTCCAGAAAGAACTCACCAGCGAAAATGCTCACAAATTTGGATGGGAATTTAAGGACAGTGATGAGCATGTGCATCAACAATTTAAAGCTATGCTTTTCGGCAGTGCTGGAACATCCGGCGACAAAGTTATCATTAAAGCCGCACAAGACATGTTTGCCAAATTCGCCGAAGGCGACAAATCTGCTATTCATCCAAACATTCGTGGCAGCGTTTATGCCATTGCCCTGAAATATGGTGGCAAGGAAGAAGTACGTTAACCTTCTTCAAGACCATATAGTGGCTAACATTCATACAGTACGACATCATCCTAGATGCCTACCGCAATTCCACCAACAGTGATGAACGTAACACTGCTCTCCGTTCCCTAGGACGAGCTAAGGATCCGGAGTTGATCGAGCGAACTCTCGCTTTACCATTCAGCGGTGAAGTCAAGGAGCAAGATATTTATCTCCCAATCAGCGGACTTAGAGCCCACCCTGAAGGTACCGAAGCATTGTATGTTTGGATGACTGAAAACTGGGATGAACTCCAACGACGATTGCCGGCCGGTTTATCTATGTTGGGAACGATGGTAACCATTTGCACGTCTGGCTTTACCGGTGAACAAAACTTGAAGAGAATCGAGGAGTTCTTTTCAAAGAGAGATACCAAGGGTTTTGACCAAGGTCTGGCACAAAGCCTTGATAGTATTAGAGCAAAGAGTGCTTGGGTTGAGAGAGATAGAGAGGATGTTAAGGTCTGGGTCGAGGCAAATACTCAAGTCAAGAGTGAGCTCTGAGGAACTCTGAAATGATAAACGAAAAGCGTGATATATAAACATCATAGATAAGTCAATATTGCTAGATTATGAGATTATAAATGCAAATGATGATTCTACAATAAACTCCTATGCCATCACTTTACAGTCAAACAATGAAAGCCGAGAATTTGTAAGGTAAGTATATATCATACTTGTTAGGTAGCTAACATTACTGTTAAGCTATGACACACGGAGCCGGACATTTAAAGTAGGAGGGTTCAAATCGTGAATCGTGAACACGATGTTTCAGCTCATCTCGAAATGCAATAATGATTGATCATGTGAGACTTTTTTTATTACTTTTACAGCCACGTTTTGGGCCTGAGTTATATGCGCAGCGAAGTTTGCTTTTTGGGGGAGGGCTTGATGATTTGATTTTTTTTAATGTTTTGATGTATGTTTTGAGATATATTTTGATATTTTGATATTTTGATGTGGAAGAAAGGCATGTTGGGAAGAAATGATTATGTGGATAGATGGATGGATGGATATGGTTCTCGCTAATTGCGTAACTAACTGGTTTGGCTAGGAGGAGGAAGAGAAGAGGAAAGGAAAGAAAAAGGAAGTGGAGGAAGAAAGAAGGGGAAGAAGATGAAGAAGCAGATAAAAAATTTCCGCCTTATTCTATGGTCGTAGGAACCCAACCAATGTGATTGATTGTTTTGTTTTCTGATTCGACCACTCGTGGTAAGGAGGTTCCTCCGGAAATCGTAGATGCTGGATGCTTAATTGTGGATTGTGCATCGTGAATCGTGCATCGTTGGACAAACTTATCTTGTCTCTGCTCGCTCCAGCCACATGTCGTGTCGTACGAACTTGACTTTCATTTTGATTTCACTTGATTTCACTTGACAGGATAGGGCTGGACAGAGCTACGCGATGATTCGCTTGATTGGCAGGGCGGTTTTAAATGATATGATATGGTAATAAATAGATGGCGTTAAGGGGTGGAGATAACGTTGATATCATGACATGTTATGTATAGTATAGTATAACAAGCCCTCTATTCTCTTTTCTTTTCTTTCTTTTTCTTTTTCTTTTCTTGAGCTCCTAAAAGTTAAGATTAAAAATCGATTCAGTAATGAAGTAATGAGGAGGGGAAAATTTTCCACACGCCCCCCCCCCCCCCCCCCCCCGAAACTTCCACCATTTGAAGCCACAAGTATTTGCAATGGATGAATAATAATAAGGGTGAGATAGAGCTTAGATTAAGCTTTTGATTGTGTAAGGAAGGTAAGAAACTCATCTGACACTTTTTTTTTCCCTTCTTTTCCTTCTTCCTTTCTTTTGTTTCTTTTTTGGCTTTTCCTATGCGAAAACGGGCATTGGGCGTTGGGCGTTGTTTGTTGTGGGGAATACTTTCTTTTTGTATTTTTATATCGTTTTGGTTTTTGAATGTTGCGGGAAAAAAGGGGAGAGAAGGGAATGGGATGGAAGGATGGATGTGAGAGATGATTCGATATATAATGCGCATGACCTCGTTGTGGTGATTTATGAATGCCAATGATTTGATATTACGCCAAACTGGCGAAGGGGTGCAAGGTAGCTTGAGATTGTATGCTCAGTCTCTTTTCATTTTTTCGTTTTTAACTTTTGGGCTTTGATAGATTGGAGATAAATGGGGTGGGATAGCTTAGAATGTGTTGATGGATGATCTTTAATCTTCATATCAGCCCTAGCTTGAATGATATTCTTTCTTATTTTCCCCAGAATTCATAGCAGTGCGGCTCGTATTCTTTGGTCCCCCATGAAGATACAATTACAAGCCATTTTTGCTTTTTCCTGTCTACCTGTCTCAGAATTATACTCCGTGACCCGTCGAATCCTCAACGTTCTCTGAATTTCTCAACGCCAGGATTCTCCCGCTAGGAATTGATCATGTGGCTTCGACACATCCATCCCTAATACACTAAAATCAAAGAATCATCACACTTATGGCGTTCATCACATGTCTTGGATTTGATAGGGAAAGGAGAGCTTTAAAATCTATTTTTCATGGATATATCTTCGAGGACCCCGAACGCCACAAAACATAGATAATAGCGGAATACCCGTCTTGGGCGCGTACGATTTTGACATCAAGGCAGGGTACATCCCCAAGAATAATCGAAGTAACGTAATCTCAATAGAGAATGTGTATCCGAGACCATAAACCGATGATTTGAGGGGTCTAGTGCGGGACCAATCTCTGCCACAATATGTCAGTTCCTGCCACAAGATGTAACTAACTCCCCTAGGAAGTATCGTGCATAGCGAACCTCAAAATAGCACATGCTCCACATCTGTAGAACGATCTACATTCTTTCAAGAACACCGAACACTCATCTGTCGATCATCTTGGCCACACTTATGGCTCCATGAAGGGTTCCCAACTGCAAGTAGGTTAAGTGGACGCCTCGTGATTCTAGCAACTAGCATCGCTCAAAAAGTTAGGCGTTACGCTAATATGACGGTTTAGCTCTGCTGACGTTGCTCACTTGTAGCTTCAGGACTAGTTAGGTATGCAAAAACTAGACGTTGGGTTTTAAACCATACGACTAAAAAGGCATGTGAAGTATGACCGTTCATATTGAATTGCATCCTAGATGGTTCGGATCCATCGGTCATTAGATTTAACTTGAATCTTGATGGAATGTACCGATGTCAAAGCAACCTCGTTTTACCTTTCTTATTAGTTTCGGACTTGTCCGTAGAACGTATGTAAGATCATACGGAGTATTCATCAAAACATGTAAGAATAAAATTTTAGCCCAATAATCCTCCGCGCAGAAAACTCGCCGAGGGAATGTATGGGAATCGTAGCCGACATGATACTCCTACGGAGTACTCCTCGGTTCTTTTAAGTTTTCTCCTCGTGCTACTTAACCTACTGCACAGACGTTATTTCTAACTAGAGGATTTAGTAGTGAGAAAATGTCGTAGGGACTAGGTAGGTTATAAGGTTACGTCGTGTTTGAAGAAAGTTTGGAAGGATCTTTCCCCTTCTTTCTCGGACCGGATTGAGCGTTTATTTTCCTTTCAACCTTTTCTTTGCGCCGGGCTTTTTTCATTCATTATTTGGAGATGTTCTCTCTATGATAGTCTGTGCATTGTCATGGCCCATCGGTGTAATTATGACCTTATTGGTGTTATGATTATATGCGCTCCAATAAGGTCACGCATGCTATTGTGAAATAGTCGTATACTTCGACTTGAGGAAGTACGAAGTATTGATACTGTTACATCAAACCGGTATGTAGCTAAATATAAGTCAGTGAAGCGAAGCTACGAGTTGAGACTTCCCACTAGTTCTGATGTCAGATTACCCGAGGTAAAGCGAGGATACTCGAGCTCAACCAAATGCAAAATCAAATATTCCACAAAGCTGCATTTATATCTTTTGCACCAAGAATCAAGCATCAAGCATCAAGCTTATAACTACAAAGCAGATGAAGCACCTCCGCAGCTCTCTCAAACAGTCCAAAATCAATCATCCCCTCAATATCGTTTCAAGAATTCCACACACACGGTACCAGGACGAGCAAAACCCCGTGCACATGCACCCCAACCACATGAATATCAAAAGCCACGATGCGGTAAGCCTCATCTTCCGCAATCTAGAAGACAAACATCACATCATATCACCGCAAAAAGAAAGAAATAGAGATTATCCCGCCTGTGACAATGTATCTCCTACTCACAAAACGGTATCCAGCGATCCCCCACGTGCACACCACACCCAAAAACAAAACAAAAAGAACTAAAAATGATAGGAAGCCAAGCATGCATCCCCCTGTCAATTCTTCAGCCTTCTGCTTCGTCATCCCGAATCCTCGGCTGAAGAATTATATCTGGTGATACTGTATATATTACTCAGTGTATTATATATTTATTAGGTATACTAAGACTTTTATATCCATCCGATTAGTCAGACAAACAGACAAACAGATATACATACCTATTCAGAGTATCCAGATTTCAGCTAGCTGAGAAACATAATAATAAACCAACCCGAAACAAACAACACCGCCTTACTTTCAAAAAGAAAGGAAAAAAGCAAATATACAATCGAATCTCGGATCTGAATCTCGAATCTAGGATCTCATCTCGATAGATATACCAGGGACATAGGTACCTACCTAGCTAGTATATAAATGAAACCCAGAACCACCAACCAACCCAACCATCCAATCAAACCCAGCGCTTATAAATCTATGATTCTACGAATCTCTCAAATGAGCTTATCTTACCTTACCTCCCCGCCCCATACCATACCATCCCATACCATACACAAAGCAAGCTCACCAGCTCACGCCACCAAAAAACGAAGCAGTGAGCAGCACGCTGTCCAAGCTTCGTATCGTATCCGCATCCACCAACTCAGTGATCACGGTGCGGTACGGTACGGTATCAATCACATCACATCACATCACATTATAGTGATCCCACTCACACTCATATTACCTTGCTAGCTACCTAGGTATAGTAGGTACCTAGGTAGATACCTAGGGAGAAGGAAAAATTAAAAATAATAAAAAAACAGCTGATCGTACGACGCTGATATTGGGGGAACCCGAACCCTCTCGTTTATTTCCTACTTTGGTAACTCTGGGTTGTGTATAGTATTCTTATTTCTATTCCTATAAGTATTAATAGGTATTTAACATTTAACATTTAACATGTTACTAGGTAGGTCAGTAGGTATCTTTCTTCCCGCTCTACAATTCATGTCATCGACGCAAGTACTAACCTATATCCTATCCTATCCTATCCTATCCTATGATCTAGGTCCTCATGTCCACATATCCATAAAACCTTAAAAACAAATCATGAATGATCATGCTTTATAATCATCTATAATCTGTATAGTAAATAGACAGCCACAAATACAGACACTAATGTGACATACTCGATTAGATCTACTTTAGTATCAAAAAGCAAAAAATCTCACCCGCCGGATTCGGACATTTAGAGATCAGCTTTCCCCGGAAATAAGCGGAGAAGTAAGTGGATGTGAATGTTTGAGAAAAGCTAAACATATAAACTTTATATTTTGAAAAAACAAAATAGTCCGAGACTTGCTGAAGCCAGAAATGTGTGTTCTGTGTATAACCCTCCCCTCTTCCCGAAAGCTGAAACCTTGCCTTGCCCATACCCAATAAGAGAAAATTCCATGTCGTTGATCGCTAAATTACTCCTTTCATCCCTTGCTTTTGCATATCCCGAGATCCGCCCTTCCCTTGATATTTTTTGGCCGTTAACAATGAAAAAAAAAAAGAGAAAACGAGATGACCAATGAAAACTCCTCAGGTGATAGATGTATATCCCTAAAATCCAAAATGAAACCCATTCCATCCCATTTCCCATTTCCAAAACACCCCGCTAAGGAAAAGCTCGCCCAAGAAAGAAATGCACCGGTTCGCTGAAAGTGCTACGACGATGCGCCGGTTAATTTTGCCGGAAAAGATTGTCCAAAATCCTGCTGTGTTGTAGAGGTCATGGATATTGGGAGAAGATCAATTGCGAAGTGAAAGTGCTAATTGCGATTGTAGAGTCGAACGTGATGTGTTGAAACTCCTGATGACTCGTCGAGGTTCCGTGATGAGGTTGGTATTCATGAGCACAAGGGACAATGTCCGGGAACGACAATATATCGTTCATGAGGACCCTTAGCGCATTGTCGGTCTTTGCTGCCATCGATGGAGGTAGAGAAGTAGTGAGCTCCAGGGTCAACACATGAAGTGTAGATATAGTAGTTCCTTGTGTATTCGCACATTTTGCTGGTGGGAATGATGTATATAGAAGGTGACTTGAGGATAAGTTAGTAAGGCAATGGCGTTGAGGAGTAGATGATGTGCGTACTGTGTGGGTCTGAAGAGGGGGAGTGACGTGAGGTATAACTTCAAGATGAGGCTCGAGTTTAGATGGGGATGTGAGGTCGATATGTGATGAGTACGAGTCAGAGAGAAACCTCATGCCTTTATATATCCAATGCCGAAACCTTTTGAGGCTGAGATATATTGACAAGACAATGTGGATATTTCACCCGGAGCTTCCCTGTATGACTGCTTGCAAAAAAGCAACAGGGCATGAACAAATTGAAGGTCTCGCGGGAAGATTTTAATTAATGGGAAAAGTAAGAGAGAGCTCTGGCCACCAATGTCAAAATGGCGTCAGAGCAGAGACAGATCGAATGGGGATGATTGTGATATCTCGAGTACAACTGTAGTAATGTAACAACGTAACGTACACAAGAGATGCAAATTGCAGGAGCCAAAAGAGGGAAGAAGAATACACCTACCTATAAGGCTGCGGATGCCAATGGGAGGATGATATGCGCTGCCAGCGGGGTGGGCTCGGGATATCAATAGAATCAAAGCTTTCATACCCGTAACCCATGGTGGGATGGTGCGCCGGATACCCAAACATGCAAAGGAATAAGAGATATAGCAAGCGCGGTACCGGGCGGACGAGCGTAGCAGGGCCATATTTTCTGGCAGCAAACGCAGCGTGTGGGAATTTGCACCCACCATACCTACCTACATACGAGTCCGTGAAGCTGTTCAAATGTGGATCATTTATCGATTGTGGGCACAGATGTGACTACCAGAAAGTGTGCGTGCCCATGAGAGACTTGGATCGTATCTGTTAGATGAATTCACTGGTGCAGTGTTGTGCGAAGCACTTTTAGGAATTTTTGAGTGCAAGTCGGAAGGAATGAGGTGTGTGTGTCTGTGACATGCGTTGAAAAAAAAAAGTAGCGCAAGGTCCGTGATCATTTGGTCTAATTGATCCCGGTATTGTACCATGTCAATAAGTCAATTCCCCAAAAAATAATAACAATTTGGTGTAATATATACCGGTATGGGGGGTTTGTATACAAGAAATAATATTACTCGAAGATCAATATATCAATATATCGATAGATTATTATATCTTACTATAATCGGAAGTCTTAAAAGGGCTGAAAGAGCTAGAACGACTGAAGAACTAAATCTATCTAGTATATGATTTTCATATGGTTAAATCATCTAATACCTGATGTCCTTCGTTCCAAATATAGTAATACCATCGTTCATCTCCCTCCGAGAGCTGGAAATGTCATTTTAGCCTCACTTATCTGGATGTTCAAGAGAACCCCTTCGATGGCAGATACCCTAGACACAATACCCTAGATAGCGATACCCTATGCACATAACCAATTCCTGGCACCGAATAAAGTTTTCTACCCTACGAGGATATTCAGAATCGGAGATTATCCATACAGTACGTAACTTGTCGGATCGTAGATTGAAAGAAAAATATGCCGTCTCATTGTAAGATTAGCAGATCTAAAGACTAAAGCATCCCTATCTTATCTCGGCAAAATGTTCCCCTTTTCCCACAACTCTTCAATATATGATCTTCTCAGATCTCATACATCTCTTGAGAGGAAGCGGAAACCAGAGATATTGACGGGAAAAAGCAATTACTTGCTCAATGCAAACAAGTCTGTGCTCTATGAATCCTATCTCATTCCACCCCGAGACCCAAGAAATCCAGCCACCCATGTAAACGGCTCGACGGCAAGCACCATCGGAGCTAGTCTAAAAAGTTTGACATACAAAGGAAGTTGCCAAAGTTCAAGGAGGGGTTATGGGACCAAAAGATTTCATGCATGGGGGGGCATGGGGCGGTTGATGTCTTGCTACTTAATATCTTTGGGACAAGAGATGCCGAGGGAAGAAGTAAGTAAATGTATGTATGTACCTAGGATGGATGTATGATAAAATTACCCTTTAAATTCTTATTTTCGAAAGAGCAAATGATGAAATCCGAAACAGGTTCGAGGTCACGTTTGATCTATTTTAAAAGTTCAACACCTAGGTAGTAGGTATCCAATATCCAATATTCAATCAATACTTCAATACAAAAGACCTCAAAAGACCCAAGAAGCGAAACAAGCAAACGAAAGCCTTAGAATTTCCATCGGTGACACTTTAATTATTTTTTGCGTTGCTTCATCTCACCGTTGAAAAAAGAGGTCCAAGCTGAAACTACCTACCTACTCCGTACATCAAGATTTGTTCATTCATGGATTTCATGGATTTCATGGATTTCATAAATTTCATGGATTTTACAGAACAGGTCAAAGCGAAATCACCGTCCGATGTGTACAGACAGTAAGGACTCTGTTAGTACGGTACTCCGTCTTCGAACACAAGAGTGATTTGGTTGGTACCAGCCAGTCCAGTCCCAGTCCCTCTGCCAGTCCCAGTCCGATCCAGTCTCTCAGCACGCACAGCTCCCAACCTTCAAATTTAAAGCCGGCAGTCGGGCATCCTAGGGGACATCTGACGTGCCAATTTTACCCCAGTACGATCAAATCTTGCGATAATCGGGATTTCATCTATGTGCCACAAGGACTTTGACAGCTTGTGAATGGGGCGTATTGGTACGACCTTCCCGCGGTTAAGCCAGTGTGACTGAGATTGTTCTTTAATTCCAGATGGGTGAGATGAGGCTTATGCATGTCAGGAGAGACAGATATCTATCTGATTCTCCTTACTCGATTGAAATGAACATGAATGATAGATATTTCATCACACCACCTTCAAATCATCTTCGATATGCCTTATGCGAAGTTAATGTTATAGGTCCTGTGTTATTTCCCCAGGTCTGGGATAATTATGCGAGCTTTGAAGATAATATATGTGACGATACGATACGATGCCCCTAGCTCCATGTGATCATCTCCGCGGATAAGTCGTTCGCATCATGACTTTATGAACTGATGTACATATGATTTTATGGACCCGCCGGCCTGGTTGAAGAATTAAGAATTAGCTCCCAGCCCTGTAAGATGCATACGAACTCCTCCAGGGTCGAGTCGAATGTACGGAAAGAAAAGTTAGATTCTTACGTAAGAGCTTAGATCTTGACAACTCGAGTTTAGAGTTATGGGAAGGTCGGAGGATACTGCGAAGCTCCGGATGATTTTATGATCCATGCAAAATTGTACCCTTTTATTCTTCCTGCATAATCTGGATGGGGTTCGCTGTCCCGCAATCATGTTTCGAGACCCTTGAAGGACTAATCATCCTTTATTTTTTGGACGGATTGACAAAGGTATGATTAAATTTATTCAGCCTTTAGTAGAAATGACAATGTACTTGACAATGTACTCTGCATTATGGGTAGAAGTGAACTAATCCTCCGGCATTCTTCCTATCCCTATCCTTGAAAAGCCCCAGTGGTCTCCCAGAAGAGGAAGTGCTTTTGACCTCAGGTTCCGATTAATTATTACAACCATGCAAATGTGCTCCACAAACCTAGATTTGACCCCAATCCATCATGTTGCAGATTCAGAAGCAAGCCCAACCATACCCCTTTTATCATAAGCCGTGCGATCTATCACAACAGCCCGATCATGGCTGCTGCTAATCCACCAAACAAGGCAGCTCCACCGATTTCCTTCTGAAGCCCTGCATTATCTACGGCAGAAGCTGACGCGGAAGGCGATGTTCCAGTTGATGATCCACTTACGCCAGCGCCCGAAGCTGTGCTCGTACCAGATGTAGTTGTTGCGCCCGCTGAGCCTGAAGTGGTCGAGGAGGATGCTCCAGTGGCACTACTGGATGCGCCCGAAGCGGTTGAGCTAGCAGTTGAGGCGCACGAGACTGCAGATGGCAGATTGGTTACGCCAGCAGTCCGACACAGATTCTGAGCATAAGCAACCGCCGTCGCCTCATCTGCCGCCTCGCAGGCGTCCGCCAAACAGCACGCGATGCCACTCAAAAACGAGGAGTTCGAACAGATGCAGGCGACATCGAGGTTGGTGCAGCCACCGATCTCAGACCCGGACGTGTACCTCGTCACACACGATTGCTACATGGAATATTGGTATCAATAGGCTTGCATATGGCGCACAACAGCTTGACTAGATTGACACACGGCCGAACCACAGATAGGGGTGATTTGTACAACGTTGGGTAGAAAAGCTTATTCGAACTTACTGCACAAGTTGGGAGTCCATTCTGTGCCGAGGTGAGACCTGCGAGCACTGCGGTGATGGCAACGATGGAGATGTACTTCATATTTTCGAGTCGTGTAGTGTGGGTTGATGAGTGGGTGAGTGGGTGACTTGAGAGTAAATTGGCACAAACAAGAATGGAGGTTCCAATATCCAAGTCAAGGAATCAAGTGAGTGAATGAAAAGAAAAGTAAGGTGATTTCGAAAAACAATCCACTCTGTGAATAAGGAGGTGCCATTCAAGTTTAAATAAAATCAAGCCATAGAAGCCACCATATTTCACTTGTGATTTGCAGTTTGCATTTCCATTGGCCAATTCGATCAATCTAGGAATGATAGGGTAAATATTGCCATAGCACCCTGCTAGTTCTGGTGCGACAAAGCCAAAATACTACACTAAGAATTCTAAAGAAGCTGCGAAAACCTTAAACTCACCATCTCAACCCAAAAGATGAGTGAACAGCTAAGTGAACAGGTACACGGAAAATTCCCTACAAAAACATCCGCCGACTTTAGGTTCATGATGAGGCTTATAAAGTTTACAAATAAGATTATACACAGGCACGTGGTATGTCAAGCTGTCGAAATTATTTTAATTGGCTTTATTTAACTTTTATCTTGCTGTATGTGATGTTATCGTGAAGGGGGGTAAGAGGGGGAGATTTATAATATACAAAATGGTGAAAAGGAGAGATTACTGTAACGTACCTATGGAACATGGAATGGTACCTGAGTACAACATTGGGTTTAGTATCAATACCATTCTCTCAGGGTCTATGTGTACTAGATAGTTTTCCAATTGGGATCAACAAGTGTATGATGAAAAGTTCTGGTAGTAAGAAGTCAATGCGACAAGTCTAAATCTGAATCACCACAGCTATTTGGTAGGTCTCATTTCAACCGCCAACAAGCTGCTCCTGGCAGAAAGATAGGTCTAGCAGGAACCCACACTTGTCGTCATGATGACTATTTCAATTTCTTTTAATCATCGAGTCTTGTTCTTGTTCTTGTTCTTGTTCTTGTTTTGATTATTTAACTCTTTTGCAATTAATTGTCTCTTGAACATAATACGTATCAAGCGACAACTAATCATTCCTCTATCCATGTTCAAGGTTTCCCCGCAACAACATTTGTCCCTGTTGTTTGCTGATCTGAACCATTTGAAGTTAGCCGAGGCACCTAGCCACAGCACTAGCCTCCAATTAGTCTTATTAAAGGTATTATCATATGGTCGCACTTCCAATTTCAGCCTCATCGGAAAGAAAACACCATCAAAATACCTACAAAGACGATAGAATATGCATAACCAAATATCGCGAGAGTGAGATGAATGTTATTCATCACCTTGCGCAACAATCATAATTATTGCCCAGCTAGAGTCACATTCCAGCAAGGAGAGCTCCCTGGTCTATCAAGATGGGGATGCTTATATTAGAGGACAGAATGGAACATGTTCCTGGTTAGGAATTTCTCATATCTTTGTCAGAGATTCATTCGTTACTGATTACTTTCAGGCACCACCCGATATTTCGATGACCCCGAAAGACCCCAGGTCGCAAGTGCTGCATCTGCCGGCTTGAAATGTGATACATCAGGTCCTGTCCCTATCATTCTCGTTCCCCAGCCCACCGATGACCCAAGGGATCCTTTGGTATGACTTCTCATGCGTTCTCATCCAAGATGAGAAGACATACCTTTTACTAATCACTCAATTGGTATATAGAATTGGCCATTGTGGAAGCGCGATGTTATTCTACTCGTCCTTTCGCTCGTTTCGATATTCGCAACTTGTCTGGGTCCCATTCTCGCTGCAAATACCCTAACGCTTTCGTTACATTTCGGATTACCATTCACCGAAATTGCGCTTCTTACCGGTTACTATCTTATGGCCGTTGGAGCGATTGGTATCTTCTACATACCTTCGGCTAGGATTTGGGGCAAGAGACATCAATTCCTTCTAGGAACTATTATTTTGATCTTCTCGAGTGCTTGGGGTGGCGCTTCTAAATCTTATGCGAGTCTACTTTGGGCAAGAATTTTTCAGGGAATTGGAACGGCTCCTTTTGAAGCTTTGGTAAACGCTACTGTTGGTGATATATATTTTGTTCATGTGAGTGCGCCTATCATCTTTGCCAGTATGTCCAACAGTCCGGACTATGATCCGATTGACTTTCAAAATTTGAATCTTTGAAATGTTTAGGTGTTTCAATGAATTCTGTATTCATGAGAATTTCAATGTTCGAAGGTCTCTTAATGAATTGCAGTCAGGATTGTTGGACACACGAATCATAGCACTATCAAAAGAATTCATATGCTCATGTTAAAACACAGGAACGTGGCAAACGTATGGCTTTAACAAATCTTGCAGTGTTTGGTGGTTGCTTCTTCACTCCAATTCTCGTTGGTAAAATAACTCACACAATTGGTTGGCCATGGTCATTCTACTTTGTTGCTATTTTCATCGGGGTTTGTCTGCCACTTGTGATTTTCTTGGTCCCTGAGACTGCCTATGTACGGCCTCTTCATTTTAACACTGATCTAGCATCTAGCGACGAATTAGATCAATTCGTCTTGAAGCCAGGTCACGAATTAGAACAAGTTCTACGAGGGCCTAAAACAATAGAAACCAATATTTCAGCAAATAGTAACGCTGGATTATCCACACAAGATAACCCAAAAATAAGCCACACTTTATATGGCAAAGCCAAATCGAATTATAAAAGCACGCTCATGCCATTTAGTGGTCGCTACTCCGACGAAAGTTTCTGGAAACTATGTCTACGACCATTCCCTCTGTTTTTCCAGCCCGCAATCTTCTGGTCCTGTCTCATTCAAGGGACCCTTATTGGCTGGACCGTCTTCATCGGTATAATTCTGGCGGCAATCTTCCTCGGTCCACCTCTTTTCTGGGATGAAGTTAAAACTGGCTATGCCTACACCGGTGCCTTCGTCGGCGCAGTTCTTGGATTTGTTGTCGCGGGTGTTCTTTCCGACTGGAGTGCTAAATACATGACAAGAAAGAATAAGGGTATCTATGAGCCAGAATTCAGAATCTTACTGGTTATTCCGCAGTTTATATTCGGATGTGCGGGTCTCTATGGATTTGGGATTACGGCGAATAGACCAGTGGATTTTGGCTGGTTTTGGCCGATTTTCTTCTTTGGCTTGGAGGTTATGGGAATGGTTATTGGTGCGGTGGCTAGGTGAGCTTGGGTTTATTATGTTTTGGATGGGGAAAAGGATACTAACGTGTTTAGTTCTCTTTACATTGTTGATGCTCATAGTTCGTTTTCCTTTTCTTTTTTTTGTTTCTTGATCCCCTCCAGGTTTATATGCATAATTATTAACATTGAAACAGGAGATATTGCCATTGAAGCATTTACCTGTCTTTTGATATTCAAGAATTTCTTCAGTTTCGGCCTCACATGGAGTGGATATGACTGGCTGGTCAAAAATGGCGTCTACAGTACTTTTATGATTATCTCGAGTATTCAGGTCGGTGTTTGTTTATTAAGTATTCCAATGTGTAAGTTTCCTTTTTTCCTCTTTTGATAAAGATTCAAATTATTGTACTCGGAGATTCACTAATACTTGTTCGTTCCTCTCTAGATATTTTCGGGAAGCGAAATCGCGCTTTCTTTCATAAACATGATGTTCTAGCGCTTTTGGGTTTGAGATGATTGATGTAATGTGTGTGATGTTTATTTATAATTTTATTTTCTGCTGGGTTGAAAAAGTTGGTGCGGGATAATTATAATGGCGTTGGGGGATTAGATTAGATTATATTAATCTTTTTGATCTTTATTATGTTTTATGTGTTATGTCATGTCATGTTTAGAATGTGAGCTATCTTTTATCTTTTGTGTAATTAATTATTATTATTAAGATGATCAACAATGAATGAATGGATTGAGTTAATAGTAATTTATTGATCAATAATAATAATAATAATAAATAAAGAAGAGAAAGGATAAATGAAATAGAGATCTCTGAGTTTTTGGGGAGGGGATGGGTAATGAATGATGAATGAGGGATAAATACCTTTTTTTTTACTGATATAGATGGGTATATTGAGATAGGGTGCGTAGGATATAATAGAATGGGGTAAACAATTGAGGGGAAGAGAATTTTGGATTTTAATGGAATTTTCTTGATGTGTGTTTGTAAAAGAGGAGAGGAGAGAAAAGAAGATATTCATTGGCAGGGTAGGAAGCAAATATTGTCTCTAAGCAAACAAGTAATTAAGCAAGTAAGTCACATTTTGCAAATGGAAGAAAAGGGAAAGGGATAGCTTGAGTACCTAGTACATTCAATGTAAGAATTGTAAGATTCTACATACTTACATACACAGGTATGTCAATCAAATCATAGCTTTCGATTCTTCTCCATGGGGATATTCTCGATTTGAGAGGTTCTTTGGAGGATCTTGAAGTATGATGGATATATATCAGCTAGCGAGGTCTATGGCTCTTTGTAGGATCTTTGGGTAATAAATCATGGTGATGTCAGATTAGATGTTGTCACTATAAAAAAAAAGCTGTGGACCATCATCGATGGATTTCTGTAGTATAGTGCTTTGGAACTGCGACTTTGTTCATTGCTATGTTGTTGTTTTGAATATTTTCTTTGGTTTATGTCTACAATGTTCTTCATGCTCCAAGCTGAATTTAATATATAGAAGATGGCTTTAGAATGTGAATCAATGAATGAATGATACATGTATCATTATTGGTGGTAAATTCAAAGCATCATTAGTAGCACTTAAGGAATGTACAATAGTGGAAAGTTCGAGATAGCAATAGGAGTTGCACTTGAAAGGTATAGAAATGGATCGGAATTTTATAATGACTATTCATTCAAGATAACAAGGCCTAGATTTTATATATTTTAAAAGCAGAAGATTTCTTTAAAACTCAGTTAACAAATTCATAATATAAATATACCCCATCTCTGCCAAAATATCCCATACCAATCGCGGATCAACAAGAACCACAACCCGAAATCAATCAAAACACATATCGACAAATAATTCACCATGTCAATGATCCTAGTAAAATTCACCCGACTACCCATCCCACCACACAAAATCGACACTCACAATGCCCACGAATACGAACCCTGGTACGAAGCGGTAGAAATCATGCCGGCAAACGAAGCACGAGAAACATGGACGAAGATCTCGCGAAAAATCACCTCCTCGATTCATAACCACCATCGGAATTACAAGTACTGGAACTATTTGATCGATAAGATGGAGGTTATGTGGAAACTTGGCCTTACGCAGACGGCGCCGCAGTTGCTGTATGCCTATAGTAAGAATGAGAATTATCTCGAGTTGCATGATGGACAGCATGAGAGAATTGCTACGGCGTTGAGCTGGCAGAAGAGGGAGAGGGGCGATTATATGCATGTTACTTATAAGGCTGGTCCTTCGAGTCAGGGTCATGTTGGGATGGTTTCTTTTATGGAGCCTTAGAGATGAAGTGGGTACTAAAGTTTCATGTCAACTTTTGACTTTGATTTATTCCAGGGTGGAGGAGAGAATGGGATACTTCGAACGCTAGGATGGAGATTATTGAGAGTGGGAAACGCGCAGGTTTTAGAATGAATTAAGAATAAGATGTTTTTTGAATATGCAGGTCAAACCATAGGAGAACATTCTTCTTATGAAGTGAATCAAAATGAGCGCTGGTGCATCCTGTCTTAACTAATACGAGACGTACAGATTAGTCGGCTTAAAAGGGCCATCCACAACCATGTTTCCGCAAAAGCCATCTAACATATTTTGCATAGATTTATTAAAGACATAAAGATACCCTCAATATTAATGCACATCTTGCTATAAAGTTCGAGCCACCTAGCCATCCAACTAACATGCTCGAAATCAAAGACTACTTCGAGATATCAAACTAAAAAATTCAAGCTTGCAACTCTACCACTGACCATGCCTTTAATTCTTGTTAAGTTTTGCGTTTCGGATAAGCACATCCGTTTGATCATGTACGCCGACCATGAAGCTACTAAACTAGAATTCTTCGTTCCACCATTGAGAGAAATCATACCAACCTTCTTAATGACCTTTAAAATCAGGATGTTTTTAGAAATTCTGAGATTCATGAGTCGAAAGAATTGTATGAGCACGACGAAAAGAGGTTGGTAAATACTAAATAGTGAGTATGAAAAAAGAGGGGCTAGCGAGGAAGGCGAAAAGAAGCTCGTAAGCTCACTATGTAATAGTCTTTAAATAGCGGTGGCATTTACGTTCATGATTTTTTTTGGATACGCCTGTGCTGCGCTTATGGGCTCTGCGATCTTCTTTAGGCTATCGCCTTTAGCAGCAGATTGAAAATGTCTTGCGGTTTATGAAAACATGATGAACGAAGTGACAAAGAGCGATGGTTCAAGCGAGAGTATAGTTTTGTAATCCATTGCGAACCCGAATGAATTATATGTCCTACTTCTGGGACACTGGTATATTGCGTCATTAGATTCTAGCGAGGGAGCCCAGTCTCCAGCTCTGAAGTTCCTGGGTGGCGACTTTCTATGTCGCGATGCCACTTTCCACACCTTCTTCACTTTATTACTCAGTAGTTATATGGATCTAATTTCACAGTTCCTAGATTTTACATGACGACGTACATAAAGTTGATCCTTGATGTGCTGTGTCATACCTCTTTGCCATGATTGATCATCAACGTTTAAGAGTCAAAACCGAAAAAAATGTTCCCCTTTTTTTTAACTTAGCGCATGCATACTTGCAGAGGCAGGAACATCTTGTTCTTTGACTACTTCAAACGAATTTTCTTATTGAGATGCATCTCTATAATATAATCATATAAGACCTAATCTTACATACTTTCCAATTCATCTCTTGTTCTAAATCCCACAACATAAAAGATCGCGGCTATTTCACCTCCAGACGTTCGACACACCGTGAACGTTTGAATAGAGTCTAACGTTTTGAATGGATGTAAAATTTAAAATAAATTGGATCTTTGAAATAACCAATACGTCACATGAAGGCATCCATCCTCCACCGACTCCAAGACTTAAGGTTAAAAGCCTTTTTTATCATTTAACAGCAATCCAGACCATCAGAACACTTTATGAAGTAACGAGAAGTTTGGAATATATACCAGAGCTCTAGATAGCCAATCAAGTACAGACAAACGAGCACCAGAATAGTACTAACAGGACTTCTGGGTCTTGATGTGGTCAGTTGATTTTCTGTAACCTTGGAAACGCACAAGTTAATGCCACTAGACTGCATGGGTCCAAATACATTGTTGTACCTTCGGGAGGCATAAAAGATTTCACATGGCACTAATGTATAGTTGGTATTTGAGAGATGAGTGTAAGGTTGGTAGTTGCCGTGTCGCAAGTTGCATAGATCCTCATGGGCCCCTCTATCGATGTCTCTATGATCATTCTCGAACCTCCCCTCTCCTCAATGATTACAGTCTATCGGGGGACTATATTTTGACGACGAGGGTCAAATTTCCATCGGGTGCCAAAAAATCTAATAGAATAAACATGTAATTACTGGCAACTTTATTGTTGATAGCTCTATCATTTTCTGTCTCCCGCTTGGCACAATCATCGTCGCTGTATGGATGCAACAAAATATTGAGCGTCAGGTTCTTGAGCAAGCGATGACGGTTCATCAATGTCGAAGAAAAAGCTCATTTGAATATATCAAGGTCTTCACTAACGACGCGCAAGGACCGAAGAGTGATGAGTTCAACAGCCTCTTGCCATGCGCGTAAGACTGCGGTATGATCGGATAGAAATGATTTGTCCTCATGGTCTTGAGGAAGAAATCTGATACTTTTGTTCAGTAGTTCTTGTGGAATTTCCATACTGGTGACTTTGGTTTCTCAGTAAGAAGTGCGAGGTTATATCTGCCGAAGCAGACGAAAACCGCAGACGCAAGGTCGAGGTTGCTCTTAACAATGAATGCTCTTAGCTGTTTTCAATCTTCCAATACCTATCTATGGCCAACAAAAACAATCTATCAAGTGCCAAACTCAGGCAAAACTAATAAGCTATGAACTTGACGTGTGGGAAAATGCAAGTTGAAGGTCTTGAGAAGTATTGAATGGGATCAAATTGAACCTCTTAGATTGATACAAATCAACTCGGCTATTATTCCCACAAGGCTAATTTGACATGCTTTGTCAAATTACTCTTTGGGTAGGAAAAATTGCAAGTGAATGGGTGGCACCAGAATAGAATTAGGATAATCTGACTGAGAGATATTCAGGAGCTCGAGCATCGTCCTTAAAACCACATGTTACTGACATGTGCAAATGAGATTTACAGATTTGCAAGTAAGTATATCTGAGATAGATTCATGTGTTAGGATCTCCAATGCAATCCGTAACAAATGAAAGGAGAGAAGAGAGGTTGTTATAAATCAGCATGTACATACACACACCAAAGAAAGTTCGAAGAATCAATATTACCACAGACAAAGATATAAAGGCGGTGAAGAATATATGATGGCATTAAACCGTATTAGAACTAGACCGATATCTCAATAATCGTTACACAAAACTTTTTCCTGTGCACCTACATTTCTTTCTTCCTCACGCAACTTAAACGGTACGAACAGCATTTGATCGTTTTTTCTCCTACGATGTGTTGACGTGCTCCAATATTTACCGTAAGGTTTACTTTGGTTGTTGCAAGAGGAAGATTTACAACCACCGCAAGTTTGAGGCGACCAATAGCTTTCGAGCTTTGATTGGAAGTCATAGGAAGACGGTACATCTCTTTTGGAGCAGTTGATATCTATCTATCTAGATATTGATCCATTCTCGTAGCAGTTATCACCTACAGTTACATTCTAAGTGAATTCCTATATGTAAAGTTCCCTAGCGTCTGCCATGACATTTGCATTCCCCCTTGTCAGTGAACTCGGTGACTCTTTATTGAAGCTTTCTATGGTCATATTTGCATTGCATTATCGTACCTCATGTTGTATTCAGCCTCTGACCGCAAACCAGGTAGATACCAATATCCTAACTAACCTGCATCTATGCACCCGAAACCTTATCGTCCGGCAGATCCTCCATTACACCAAAAAGCACCTTGAGCCAGAGACTGCATCCCTTACAGCCCACACTGATCTCGCCATCTTCAGCCGCCTCTTCCAGATCCTGCTCCCGAATCAAGAACCCTCGATCATCTCCACATCTGCAACTTCTATACCAGATACCATCTTCTTCTTCGACATTCAAATCGTCTAAATCCACTACTTCGACCCCCGTTCGGAAAACTTCTCCTTCTTTTTGTCCAGCCCCATTTATTGAACGATTCTGCAATCGCAATTCCTTGTCATATTGTGCTCGTAGTTTGGAGTCCGATAGCTGAGAGAAAGCCACGGATATTTGATCAATCGTGTAAATGGTTTGAGTTTTGTTTGTAGGACCAAGTTCTTGGCCTGAAGATTTGTCTGGATGGTTCCGAAGAAGTGCGCGTCGGTATGCGCTGCGCAAAGTTGCTACCGGAATGTGTGTTTCATTTTGAAGAGCCGATGGGATGCCTAAGATCTCGTAATATGTAGATGTGCAAGTCATCGATCCATCGGGTTTGAACTTCGCTGTTGCTGTCGTCTTTTGATCGTGTTCTTGATATCTACTTTTTTTTTCCTTTGCGGCACTATGCATGTGAAGTGGGGCAAAATTTCAATCGCCTGAGGCATAAATATGTTCTCATCAGCTCACATGAACGCTTCCCTGGTGGATGCCCTCATCTTCCTCAGATACCTGAATCTCCTATTGCGCTCTGTCCCTGCAAACAATCTTGCGCATCATAGAGCAAAAGTTTCACCCAATCCAACCTCATTACCTTTGATTTCTAAGTACACACAAAAATAAACAGAGATGCATTCCATGTATATTTCCATTTTCAAGAATCAAGACGCTTAGGTTATATCTGAATCTAATACTTCTCAGCATGACTCTTGAGGAACTCTTTCTCTCTGAGAATAAGGTACCTATCGCACCAATAATAAAGCGCTAAATGCATATTACAATCTCCACTATACACTCCTATAGACATAGCATTATAACCACCATCAACCAACTTTTCACAATCGAAGAAACTCAATATTCCCCACACCCACTCTCAAAATATGCATAAATTTGCTTTTCTTCGGCCTAAACTCGTCATATTAGCAGTGGGTTTTGTGTCTATATGATCACTGTAGAATACTATATACTACCATCCGTCAATATGGTTCTGGCATTTTGCCGAAGGCATTCGCGTTGCTTCTATGTGTTCTATGTTTTTGGATTTGGATTTGAGCATAGGGTGGAAATTCTGGGCGAACGGAAGCTCTTTGGGTAGTAAATGTATCCATAACCTCGAATGACTTACTCTACAAAAATTCGGAAAAATGAAATTAGATTCGTAATGGCTCTCTTTGATATTGGGATTAAATGAGGACTTTGGATACATTTCCATCACGTTACGGTATATGCACCAGCCAAACATTCCTCTGCCACAATTACACCTCGTCACTCTTTCCCAGGAATAATCCATCAATCAGCACTTGCATGTATAACCATAATTGGTTCTTCAAGTTCCAGAACTTGAAATACCGTAATGGTTGCTATACTTGGGACTGTTATTTGTATCACAGAAATTAATGGTATGTTTGATTTCTCGTTTGAGTTCGCGTGGTTAAAGAATGAAGCCGTGAAGAAGAGAAGAAAGTGATTGGAGAAGTGGTGAGAAGGGAGAAAAGAAATCAGATATGACAATTTGTTAGCCAAGAGTGGTGAGTAGCAAGTACGTAGCTGATTTTTGTACGAAGGATAGGTAGTTGTAGTAGGAAACTTAACAATGACAGAAATTCAAAGTAACAACCATTTTTATTAATATTTAAGTAATGGTGTCGAACTTTACTTTTTTTTTTCATGCGCAAAGGTGAACCTTTTCTCGTCTTCCATAGCCCTCTCCATCATTGATCTAGACCACAAGCACAAACCTCGCGCTAACAATAACTCACTCACTGTCACTCAGTTTTATCTGGTCCAAGGTCCATTTCTGAAACAGAGAAATCTCTGACAGATTCTTGACGAGTTTTGACAACAATCAATCTTGAGTCTGTGTGGAAAGATCCAATTTTTCCTGGGAAAATGGCAAGTATCCCCGTCCAAGCGTGTCTGTCAAAGATGCCAACCAAAATAGATGAAACAAATTAATTAATGTTTGTAAAGGCTCCCAAGAATCTGCCACCAGCAGCCAAGCAGGCAAAAATCCTCGAGTGGTTTCGAACCACGATGGGAGTCTATTCTTTCAAAGAGCTTGAGAAACTACTTCCGTCCGTCGGATCGATCAACGGCATGCTAGTGAAAGAGTACATCCAAGCACTTACCGACGAGAACCTGATCCGTGTTGAGAAGATTGGCAGTGGTAACTGGTACTGGTCATTTACCTCGGATGCCAAGAAGAGCAAGGAAAATATGATCAATAAGTTGAAGGAGGAGGAAAACAAACTATTGGCTTCCATGAAGGATGCTGAACAGCAAATCGAGAAGGAAATGATGAAACGTCAAGAGGACGATGAAATACTCCTAGACGGTGGATCAGACAGACACACTTTGATGGATGCTTACGAGACTCTTGTAAAGGAGAACGATATTCTAGACAAGGAATTGGCACTCTACAGTGACAACGACCCTACTGAGGTTTTGAGAAAAGTGGAGGAAACCAACAAACTCAAGGAGAGCGCTTTAAGATGGACCGACAACCTTGAGTCACTGGAATCCTTCCTTGTCAATTTGACCGGAGACCGAGCTCAAGCTGGAGAAATCATGTCCCGAACATGTGGTGATGACTATGTTATTGGGGAAGGGTTGAAGGAACTGGTGGCCCCAAATTAGTGGATACATCTTGGCTCTCCTCTGGCAACGAAGAGAATCTCGGATCATCGGAAAGTGATATGATGGACACGGTATTACTGGCTTCCGATTATCGTTACTCGGCCTGGTCGGTCTGACCGGTCTGGCTGGTATAGCTTCATGGTTCGCTGTCACCAGCTTCTCCCAAATATGATATTGAGGACAATATGATCAAATATCGGTGATATGGCATGCACCGTAGGAAGCTGATCATTTCCGACACTAACCTTATTCGTTCAATTGCTTGAAGATTCGAGAAGTTGCTGTTTCTCTGCTTGCTTTTTCTAAATCAGATTGCTGATGATACGTTGATGAAACATTTTTCATGTTACAGGTGGTGAAAATTTACGTACGCAAACCCCACCCCAACATGTCCACTTGGGCGGGCCACTTAAAAATATCCCTATCTGACAGATGCAGAAATTCGTCTATCATAGCCAGGGAAGGACTAGACAAGCTTTTCTCTAATCTCACTAGGCTGATCGTGATTTTCGAGGGACCAGCTGGGCAACAATCTTCAGTGTCACAAATGGGACTACGGGGATTTTAACCAAAGTGTACCCCGCACCGAGGATACATCATTTAGGAAATAGACTGGTGAGATGTCACTGTGTCACATCATATATATCCTCTGTCGTTTTCCAGACGCCCTATCATCTTCTTCAACGCTTCAACATCCAGTAAAGATTGCTTGATATGGCTGCGTGCATAGACCTGAAGGCGCGATTCAGTGATAGCGCTATGCATGATGAATGGTACATGATCGCAAGCTGGAAATGCATATGCCCACATGAATCGAAAGAATGCCTAGACAGTGGAGAATTTGATGCCGAAGAAAGGAGATATACTTTTGTGGATATTGCAAACTATCAAAGTGTGATCATGGATGAGGTGTTATTCCAATGAATTGCCGGCAGGCGGAGAGTACAAGCCGTACGGGTGAACAAGTATGCTGACGGCAGGCGACGTGGACGTTGTATGGATCGTTCGAATTATAGTATACTAATGCGCTTGATCAGTTCTCTGTGTCTAGAACCATCCAGCCCTACTGTACTCATTCTCTTGTTATTCCTCGAGGGTTAGTCGTACCGAAAAGTTACCGAAGAATACATGCTGTACATCATGAATTGTGAAAGTGTAAGCGACTTTGGTTTGGTTGGATGATAATATTGTACTGTATATCCTCCGTACATATACTTTCGATTGTACCGATGCCGTCCCGGATAGTAATCACTCATACCCAATATCCATCCCTAAAGCCGAAAAGTTAGGTATCTTATCGGCCGTGTTCTAATGGAGTAATAACTTCCCTTTGCTTTCCTCGAGGGAACCTATGTACAGTGCTAGAGTCGGGTATCCATCCTCCTCTTCATCCTTTTCTTGCCAGGTACATATATATTCGCTAAATAGATTCTTACCTATTTATCTTTATTATTTATTACGTACAACGTGTTACAGTATCCTCGTCTCCATCACCCTCTTAATCCTTTCTTCTCCCTCTCTCAGCCTTATATAAGTAAGAACGAAGAAGAAGAGAATCCGAATTTGTCAGGGTTTCAGAGAACACACCGACCCTTAAAAAGCACAATTGTGTCAACCGTGGAACTGTGGATTGTGGACTTGGTGGATCCTGGGCAAATTCAAGCTTTCTGCAACACGTCAGGGCATCTTTTGGTTCCCTCTTGGGAGACTTGGATCTTGTTGGAAATTTACCTGGGTGACCATTCGTTGCATTCTATCACGATTTGTACCCCATTTTATTCAATTCTTTAATTAAACAAACTTTTGTTAGACGGGAAGAAGTTCGAAACGTCCTTCCCAAAGTTTCCAGAGTTTCCAATATTTCCCATATTCCCTCATATGAGAAACAGAAGAAAAGGTTCCCTCCCGCTGGCTGCTATTCCTGAATAGACACACCTAACCCCACCCTTCTTCTTCTTCAATAATCAACACATACCGGTACTCCGTACATTGTACAGTAATAAAGTATAACCATACCATATCCATATCCATACCCATACCCATACCACACCCACATTCGTACCCATATCCATACTCTCGGACTCGGACAATTTAATGGATAGGATTGGTAAAACATTGATACGTTCTAGCTCGGAAAT